TGATATTAGCCCCTACTTAAAGCTTGGTCGGATTATTTTGAGATCTTGCAATCCGATATTTCACTCTTTTATATAAAGTTTTAGGGGCTATATTATGGTCTGAGTCGCTACTAGAAATAGATTTTGTAGGACGCTTGTGTATCCCGTATCCTCTTATGAACCTGAAGAATACGAGAGTTTTTTCTGCAATAGCGCGCTGTAGAAGGATCTGGGTTAATAAAGCTACTTTTGCAGCCAGAGCCACTAGTATCTGATTCTGTTTGAGATAATTCGAAACCTACGCTCTCGTTATAATTATGGTCTCGGTTCGTTACTATCTGTATTTATCAGCTAAGTAACCACAGAAATAGAAGAATAAAAATAGTTACGATAGACTTCGGCTCTGTCTATTATACAAATCCTAGTGCTAAACAAGACAGCCGCTGTTCGTATCGAATAAGGAGTAAGTATAGGCGCTTAAGGGGCGGTCGAGAGTAAGTAGACTCTATCGGCACAATCGAAACTTATATATTTTAAGTAGCTGCTTACGACGACTTATTTACAGAGCTATTGCGCCCTTGTGGATAATCCATTTTCGGTGGCATAGAACTAAGGACTAGAATCGGAACATTATTGAGACGCTTGGGCGCCTTAGGTAGGTCGGGCTTATATTAGCCGGTACGTGCGCGAATGGCGACCACGGTCGTGGCAGAAGACCTCGGGGCCAACGACACCATTTTCGGCGTTATTCAACGCCGAAAATAGCAGCTTCCGCCCAAATCGAAATATACATTGAGTAATATAAGTAATATAATATATTATACGAGAGAGATATAGACTAGGACCCGGCTAGGTTAAGTATAGTATTAGTAAGACTAAATAAAGCGTACGATCTATAGATCCTAAATCTACTGCTTAAAGCCCTAGTAAGTAGGATCGGTTTCCGGCCAGAAAGAATAATAGATAATATTAGGGTAGGTTATATAACTATAATAAAGAAATATATTCTTGCAGAAAGAGTAGAGCCGGCGCTAAAATATATTATAGAGGCTTAGGGGTAGTATAGCAGTTAGGAAAACCGTTTGTATATTTATCTACTAGAGATAGCTAATCTGTATAAGCTCCGGACAAAAGGTATTACTATTATTTAGGACTATATAGTATTTATTGACTATAATCTGATCTAGACAGTAGAGGGTTACCTAGCGGTTTAGAAACGTACAAAAGATATTAGTTAGGGTAGACTCTAGGGTAACCAGAACAATAGAAGCTTTGTCCAGAGGGTAGTAGCTCTCCTATTCTGTATAGCTAATACCTAGGCTCGTACAACATTTCTAAAGCTCTTTACGTAGGGTAATTAAAGGGACTACTACTATAGTTAAACCCTTAGAGATCTATACCAAAAGCTAGAATAAAAGACTCTTTTCTCTATCAGTAGGTATTATAGCTATAATAGGACTAAACCTATACTGAATTACCTAAAGAATCTCTAGCTACTTCTCTTTAAATTATACGGAGGGATTACCTAGGAAATACTGTAATACTTTCTCTAGGTTATAATTCGCTAATTTGTAGCAGCGGATTAACTAGCTCTTCTGCTGCTTGTTCTCCTAGGGGGTATACTTTTACTTTTTGCTCGGATGCTCTAGGGCTATAGAGATATCTGTACGAAGAAAGTCTAGGAAGTAATATTAGTCCTAGCTAATATTACGAAATATCGTACAACAAAAGGCTATAGTGCCTAGAGCCTTATAGAGCTAGCGGGTATATATAATCCCGGCTATATAGGAGGAGTAGCTAGCCTAGAGATTAAGGTAGCTAGCCTTAGGATCTGCCTTCTTATTAAAAGTATTGTCTAAGGTAGCTTTGTTATTAGTATTCTAGGAAAAGATACTGCTTATACAAAGAAAGCAACGGCTGATCGCAATAGCGATATAGTGCTAGTTAGTAATATTTATAATCTGACTACTAAGACTAAGGTAAGACTTCCGCTATATTATATTACAGAGATAATCTAAGGTCTAGGGCTGCTGGCTTATCGGGTTTGGTCCCTAGAGTAGTGCTATATAAGCAGAGGTCGGCTGATTATCTACTAGACTAACTAAGGTATTAAACTGCTCTACTAAAGGCAGGACTAATTAGAGATAGTAGATAAAGATAGTGCTGATTATCCAGGGAAGATAACAGTAGATAATCCTTAGGTTATTGTTAATATAGAAGCCTTTATAGTAACGGATAGTAATTACTACCTAGCTATCCTTAATAAAGATATTCCGGTAGGTATTAGCCGTATTACGATATCGTACGGATAGAAGCTTAGGGGTACGGGCCGGCTAGCTACTGGAGAGATAGATAAGGATAGCTAGCTTCTTCTAAAAGAGGCTTACCTAGGCCAGATATTGCTTAATTATATTCATACGAAAGCAGCTATAATTAAGATCTAGGAATTACTGTTAAAGGATCCGGTTAGAGCAGAGACAGTTAATTAGCTATTAATCTCTGCTAACTGGCTAATTTATATAAGAGTCTTAAAGAAAGCTCTAACCTGCTTTCTCTTCGGATAGATTATTAGCTAGGGAGGCCTAGGGTACTAGAGGGATATTAGTGGTAGTTAGTAAGAGAAAAAGATCAGACAAGAGAAGATCTTAGACAGTATAGACTAGGCTATAGATCTAGCTCTAAAGCTTACTAGTTGTAAAGCTAAGCTATTTATAGAGCAGCTAATCCTGGCCTATCTAGCCGATATATCTTAGCTAAGTAGTACTAAAGCTAACCTTTATTGTATACATACAAAGATTAAGGATCTACTAGAATAGGGTATTAGTACCCCGGATTATAAAGCTCTTTATAATCAACTAGACCTATTCCTAAAAGGTTTTGTCCGTATACCTTTAGAGATACTAGCTAAAGGAAAGAGGGGCAGAGGAGGAGTATAGGGAAGATAGGCTATCGGTAAGGAAGGGCTCTAGTATCCTTCGTCGTTGTATAAGAACTAGTACTTAGGGTTATCTAGTAGGCTAATAAGATTAAAGTTAGTACTAGTAGAATTACTACTAAACTGCTGTATAATCTGCTTAGTGTAGAGATTAAGCTAAAGAGCCTAGCTAAGAACTATAAAGTAAGTAAGCTTAATAATCCTAGATAAGATAGGAGAAAAGGAATCAGGGGTATACTAGCCCGTACGAGACCGGCTAAAGACTATAAGGGTACAGACTAGGGTATATTCGTACTTATCTGTGCTAATTTACTAGTTTAGCAGCTCTAGACAGAAGGTTAGACAGGTATTCTTAATTAGCTAAAAGTAAAATAGGGTTTTCCTAGTATCGGATAGGCTTAAAGGCTTATAATTACTCTTATACAGATCTAGGGAGCTAGATCGGCTAGCTAGCCACTAGAGGGTCTTCTAGGCCTTAGCTTAGCGGTGATTAAAGTAGTAGTAAGGGTAGGCTGGATAAGAGAGCTCTGAAGGCTGCTGTATATAAGTAAAAAAACAGATAATCTACTGCTAAGGTATAATATAGGAACTAATTATCTTAATGTCTATATAGGCTTAGAGGGGGGTATAGGGGGTCTGGTTAAGCTCAGTACGTACGACCTTAACCTAGATTAAATAGCTACAGTATTTAGTAATCTGTTATACTGTATAAGCTATACTATCTATAGCCTAGTAGATTTTCAATAGTAGATCTATAGTATTAAATTTAGGTAGCTTAATTAAGGACTAGAGGACCTTAGTATACTGGTTTACTAGATACTAGGACCACCGTATACAACAAAGCTATAGTATAGCCTTATTTAGCTCTAGTTCCTCTATTGTATAATTAGTAGGTTAAAAGACCTGCTAATACTGCTCTTCTAGATGGTTAAAGAGCTAATTAAAGGTAGTAGAGATAGAATCTAACTTATCTGATTTAGACTCTCTAACTTTAGGGTTAGTTACAGTAAAATAGTGTAAGTAAGACCCTTGGCGATAGAGACGTTAGTAAGAGACTAAGTACGTACGATTCTCTAAGAGCTATTAGATAGAAGCTGTAGAGATAGCTTAGGTAAGCTATTAGTAGGACGTCTGTTAGTGTTCTTTTATAACCTTCGTTGTACAACAGATATAGTAATAAGTAGGGATAAATTAGCACTAAATACTATTATAATAAAGAGAAAGGTAAGGAAAAGATAGTAGTTAATTAGGGATTAAGTTAGATATAAAGGTAGTAAGTAATTAGGGCCAGAGTATAGAGAGGGCTTTCTAGATCTTAGAAGTAATTCTAGCTAAAATCTTATATACAGAAGAGGTTAAATAAGTAATAACTTAGCTTAATTATACAGCTAATTAATACTTATAGCAGATAAGAACAGGTAGAGTATAGAGAGAAGTAAAAACCTTCTGTATAAGAGTAGGAATATTAGTTTCTATAATTAAGGGTTAAAAAATAGGAGTAATTAGAAGGTATTAGAAAGTAACTAACAAAGTAATAATATATATTTAGGGGTCGTACATTAATAATTACCTTTTAGAAGATATTAAAGTAGGTCTAAAACCCTAGAGTAGAGTCTCCCGGTTGTACCCTATCGAAAAATATTTAGGGTTTTGGATAATTTAGGGTTTACTTATACAGCTGCTATAGGGGATAGTAGCTTCTAGAAATTAAACTAGAGATAGAGTATATATAAACTTAGAACTTGTAAAAATCTGAAGTTAGTCGTACGAAAAAAAGTACTTACAGTCTACCCTAGAAAAAGTGCTTGCAGTCTACCCTATAGGGCAAATACTGCCTATACTTAAGAGCTCCTTACCGCTATGCAGTTAGGTAGACTGCACCAGGTCCCTTGGGTTAGAAAAATATAAGAATTGTTTTAGATTACGCTGGATGTGAGCTTTCCAATGATACTAAATCTATTTCACTTAACGCGTTGTGGTGCTTCAGCTGCTACCCACGTTTTGCCAGATATGACTTGCATGTCGAAATTTATTAAATTTCTTATAAAATTAATTCTCATGAAGGCATATAACTATAGACAACCATTTAAAATGGAATTTTGGCATTTGTCACGGTCTCAAACCCAATGAACAATGGCTCCGGCTCTCCGATCTCAGCGGGTCGCTGTTGCATCAGGAATCTAAGCGTATATGGCATCCGTTTGTGCATGCGATAAGCAAGCGCATTGTAGGAGGGCTCCAGAACTGTAATGATGGTATTAGTCTAATAGTGGATTTGTTTGCTTGTGTATCTCGTTTTAGCTTACCAGGATCCATAGACCGCTCTATATGGCCACCACAGATGAAGTCGGGAATCGGTTCCTGTCCGGTTTCGAACGATGCATGAAGCTCCAGAGCGGCTGCAACTCGTACTCCTAAATTTGTAAGCCATAGATCCTCCCCCTGTATCCGAGATGTCTCAGCAATATGCGATATGGATGAAATTCCATAGCTGGTATGGGCATAGTCACGACAAGTCTCTTGTGTAATGCCGCTGATATTGAAGTATTGCTGTCCTTGCCAGTATTTAATGAGTGCCGCTGGGGTGTCTTTCACACCTCGGCCAGGCACCGGGTACGGACCATCGGAAGTCAAGTAAATATAGGCAGGGACTCGGCCCGCAAATTTGCTCATTGCATCCTCATACGTTGTTTTGTTTTCAGTGAATACCGCAATGCCGAGGGAAGATTCCATCATGACTGCTCAGGTGTGTCAATTGTTTCTGTCTTGCAATATATTCGAACTAATGTACATACCTAAGTCCCAATTGCCATTATTAGCCGTATCGCCCGGTAAGACAATGGAGAGATAGACTTCCGTCAACATATTCTCGAATTTTTGGATGCCCTTCCGCGACCAGCCTCCACCAGGGGCATAGCGCATTAGTTCACCCGCACGAACCCAGTTAGCAGCAGACCAGGCTGCCTGCAAGGGAGAATTGGAGTTACTATGGCCTTGGATCGTGCTGGACCAAGCGTCCATGTAATAGATTGCCTTTTCTGCGTACTTCCTTTCCTTGGTGATCCAATATGCCAACGAATTGATGTATGCTGCCATAGAATCTTCGCGCTCCTGATAACAACCGATATTAGGCGTAGATGTGGGCCCGCACTCAACGGTCTTGTATGGGACTGCAGTTCTTGATGGAGATGAGTAATTGTAGTTCATCATGCTGCTAAATGCATTGCTCCAAGGCTCCGCGCTACGAGCAACCTTCTCGCTGACGAAATCCAGCTGCTTCGCATTCACAAAAACGCCAGGATGGACCCATCTTTTAGGAGCGTGAGTAGGTATCGGTATGAAGCTGGCAGCTGTAGAGGCGAGCTGACGATTCGGTTCTGGAAGGACTGTAAAGGCATTACATAAACTGATAGCTGCGAGAATGCCAAATTTCGAATACAACATGAATTTTGAAAATAACATGGTCCTACTGTAGGAAAGTTTTGCCAAAAATGACGGGAGACAAAGAATGCAGGAGAAATTAAATGAAGTTTCTCTGGAGTCAACCAGGTTTTATTGCTGTTTTCAATACGTAAGAAAATCACGCCCAGTGCTACTTGAACTTTATCGGCGGAGAATTGAAACCCCACCAATTACAAATTATCAAGCCTGTCACTAGAAAAATGGAATCCTCGTAGTAGAGATAATATATTGAGCAAGGAGATGGTTGAGTTGACTTCGTCAGACGAGTATAATGCCTCATGCCCGGTTCGATATGTAGAAAGCAACGACCGATTCAGATTATTTAACCATCTATTCTCAACCCGACTGATACCTCCCTTGAATTTAATTTTTATGCTGCTTATTCAATACACAGTGAGTCCGCCGCATTCGTCAAATGCTAAGGTACCGAAACTAAATTCGGTGAAGACCTTCCCTATCCTCCTTAGAGGGGCTTTAGAGTTTATCCAGTGGAGAATAGCAGGATGGACGACCGGAGTCACTAATCTTGCTTCAATAGGTAACCCCAGGCTATAAGACAGCTAATAAGTCAGCAGGAAATTTGAGAAACTTTTACATTACTCTGGCATCCGCATTTCTAACTGTGTTAAACCAACTTAATAATGACAACTGGATATTGAAATGCGGTTAGCTTAGAAGTTTGTCGTTGTGGACCGGTAGGGTGTTCAGCTCGGCGACAAATCAGAAGAACAATTTAAAGTGTTATAGTTACCTGTTTCCATGAGTAAAATGCTTCTATTCTATTGATTCGGTGGGACTTCAATCCACCCAATCCTCAGATCTCAAAATGTCTTTTAACCGTTGGATGATTTAGGGAAATATGCTTGGCCGATCGGTCAGGCTAGCTGACTGTTCCTCATGGCAGAAGAACCATTCTTCCTTATTTCGTTTGCGACACCCTATTTGTGCGAAAACCGAACCCGATTCGAGACTTTCTTTCTTTGGGGTGATACCATAGCGTATATTTGCATGGCTATATCTAATTCAATAGCAAATGCCGAGGATCATTATGCAGCTCCAAGAAGAGAACGGGCCGGCATTGATGCTACTCTCAGATGGAGTAACATGGAGGCGAAAGCCAATAATGTAGCGATTCGACTTAACTATGCGTTATTCATTCTCCACTTCAGGAGATTTCCAGGTTACATAGACTTGAAAGCGGGGGCGGTTTGATCCCACCAGGCGGACTTGGGAAGGAGAACGGGGACCGTGCAGAAAAGACAAAAGTCAATATTTCCTCTGAAACTGATCTAGAAGGCTGGCTAAGCCCATTGAAGAGCTGGAGTATGATACCAAGGCAGATTTATATCTACATTTGGATGCCTCACCAGCGAAGACTAATGCACACGCACCACAAGGCCCAATGAACTAGCTCCAAAAGAGACTTCGCAACTGGTAGAAAATGTCGTTTTGTACCCTATATAAGTAGTGCTGTGTCTTTAACAAATAGTGCTGTATCTACATAGTAACTACACCTTCACCTCCCCATCTTCTACCCATTGAAGAAAGCCATGCTTCTCAAGATCTCTCCTATCATAGTGGCATGCAGCCTCATGGTGTCTGCTACCCAGACGTTCAGCAATACCGGAAAGCTTGCAGGCTGGGATGCGCAGACAATCGAGAATAAAGGCAGTATTCAGGAAGTCAGCAATGTTTTCTACAAGGGCCCGTCCGCCCTCAAGATGACTCAAATTTATGATCCCAACTGGACCGGTCGCTTCCACTCAGAGAAGTCTAAGTCTGCTGCCTACAAGCTCGGCAACGAAGGTTTCTATGGGTTCGCCTTCCGCCTGCAGGACGACTGGCAATTCTCTCCAGCCCAGTCGTACAATCTGGGCCAATTCATTGCCGATTTCACGGATACTGGATGCGATGATTGGATGCCATCCAGCATGATCTGGATTGTTGGCGACCAGCTCTATACTCGTCTGAAGTACGGTACGGTCTGCGAGCAGCAAATCCGGACTTTCAGCAATATCGCTACCGTGACACCAGGAACTTGGCATCGGGTCACCATCCAGGCCAACTGGCAGTCTGACAACACCGGCTTCTACAAGGTCTGGTTTGATGGCCAGAAGGTTGTCGAAGTGTACAACGTACCGACAATGATCAACGATGCTCGACCATTTGACTACCATGTTGGTATCTACGCGAACGGCTGGCATGACGATGGTGGCATGAAAGGAAGCCAAGGCACACGTCAAATCTGGTTTGATCAGATTTCTGCCGGCACTTCTTTTGCCGATGCAGACCCTGCTGCTTGGTAGAGCTTTAAAATTCTTGAAATAACCGATGATGGGTCACTGATTGGAGTCTTGGAACAAATTGAGTTCAAAGTTCACTGAGCTCTTTAAGGATACCGATCTATTCATGGATTGGTAAGTCTTTGAGCAGGATACATGAAAATTGACAGATTATTAGCAAATTGAATATGCTAGTGTTATTTGTTGCTTCTATATTATTTTATTTTTTGGCCACTTTGAGCAGCATTCAGTTAGAATGATCAACAAAGAAGGCTCATTTCTTTCATCTGTTGTATGATAATCGTCAATGAAGCTCTGCTCTGTCATTCAGGTTCCGTGAAATAACTCAATTGAGTTCCATCAGGGGAGATTTCGATGTCCTGAGTGCCGCTCGCTGCGCATACCGAGTACCTGAAGTCCAAATTGCATGACGATTGCTGAAAAGTACAGCCCATTACTTAAGGGAATTATGCTAATCTGTTCCGGATTTAAAAGGCCCTTTTTAAGGCTGATATCCAGGGGTTGACTGGGCCGAAACACAAAGCTTGTCAGAAAATGGTTCTTAATCCGTTTCAGACGTAGAATTTTATGGAATGGCTTTGAAAGACCATCAAGAGCTATAATATATATACACATGAACACATATGCGTATCATGACTTAGGCATATAGCATTTGAATTCCCATTCAATGTCTCTATTGACACTGTTGTTGCTTCCGGATGTAGATGATGGTCTAGCAATGAGCCGGGTTATCGGGGTAGACGTCCTGCGTGTTGCAAGTGCTAGGAGGCACAAACAGAGGTGAGGCTAGGTAGATTAGCACCAGTCCCATTTCTAGAATCAACTAACGCCGCAGAACATACTGTTAACGCCATAATTGGTCGGCGGGTTTCGCACGATGGTGTAGCGTCCTCCATAAGTAAGATTATCTTCACAGTCGATCTGATTTTGGCCACCATTGATGTTTGAAGACCCAGTCCAGATGTCAATGTGAGGTTCTCCATTACTATAGTCGGTAGCTTCGGGCGGATCAGCAGAAAAGCTCGCTCGGGGATTTAGAAAACCTTATACTCACTGCACTGCGCACAGTCGTCCTCGCGGCGACCGTATTTAGTAAGAAGCGGAAGATAAACGATTTCGCAAACGTCGAGTTCGCCAGGCGCAGTCGCAATTGTCACCGGGTCATCGTAGGTACCAGAGCCTATCATTCGTATCGTGAGTCAAATAAACTCAGCATTTGTTGACACAACCATACCACCGGCAATATAATTTCGGCCGCCACAGTTGTAGGCCGTGCCTGAGCCAGGGGGAGAATTATCTGGAAAGCCGTAAAAGGTTATGATGAAATTGCCTGGGGTGGAGCAGGCCGTCCCGACACCGGCTAAGACTGCTCCAATAAACAGAAGCATGCGGGTAGTCATTTTGAGATTTCGAAAACGAAAGCAATAATTTGCGCTGTTATATCAATATTAGAGGCTTGTCTTTGAAACCCGCCTTCTTATACTAAGACTACCAGATTATATGAGATCTGCCTTTTACGCTGATAGCTAGTGCCATTTACTTGCGGTAAGTTCTGATCGATGCTATTGCGCGTAGCGATAGCTACGCTGCAATGCTACGTTGAAGAATCAACTAGCAGTAATCATATTATAACTGGAAGCATTACTAGAATGGTTTTCACCCTGCGCACAATAATTTGATTCTTGGTGACCATTTTCAGACACTTGGGAGCTGGGTCTCGAAAGCATCGCGGTTTACTTTTTAGTGTACGTGTGCAAAACTTTTGTGTAAGCTAAATCTCAAGGTCTATACAGACCCATCAGCCTGGCTAATGTTCGTTGGCTTCATTCCCATCCTCTCGACCATCCTAGTCTTGCCTGGTCATTTGAGCAGTAGTTGACTCTACTTTTTACTAACACATCAGAAAAGTAGTCTTCTCTTGTATTCCATCTGCGAGAAACCACTAATAAACTCAAAATTTGACTTGGAGGCAAGGTCACAATTGAATGATTGCGTGTGCGGATCCACTTTCAGATGGGGTCTGGTCTCTTCTTTGTTTAGCAACAACCCTTCTGATGCCTAATCGATTGTTTGACCACTTGAAACCTTCGAAACGGTATTAATCAAATTACTGGATTTGTGGATGTGAATGATTTTGAGGGGTGTTGGGAAACGACAAAGTACTTTTGATCTGGTAGATCGTTCGTCATATTTCCACAAATCAAAGAATCCTAGTGCCGCGGAATCACGGAATCTACGACAACTTAATGAAAATTGATTCTTTTATCAGCATCTAAAGACAGCTTTTTGCCCCGGTAGGATCCACAAAAAGGGCCAAACCTGGGCTCAATAAGGTTAGCCTTCAAAGCTTAGTACGAATCGAGCCTGCATCCCGGGGAATACCGGGGGTAATACTACAAGCAGACCCTAAGTTAAGCTAGGACTGACGTGGGCAAATACGAAAACGAACTTCGGCTCTTCACCAATTTCCTAATCTGTCACTGGATATTCGGCACTGTCGGCAATTCACCTCGAACTGGATACCTCTACTTTCCAATCGCAGTAGGTTCTAGAGGCGTTGTGGTGATCCAGTGAAAGATGCGGGGTGAAGAAGAGCCTGAGCACCCTGGCTCATGCCCTCCGCCCGGGATTGCGTCGCAGGTTGTTTCGAAGGCCGACTCCACTTGAAATTTATCATAATTCACATAGGGAATTCCTTGGATGGGCAGACGATACTAAAATTCCCCAAAATTAAAATTTCGAGGGTGGCATTACAATGGATTTAAGGTAGCGGCCCGAGTATCCAGGAAACTCCAGGCCCTGATGAGAAGAAAGATCCGAGGAAGGGCATAAATAGAGAGGTCTCTATCTTGGGAATATCCATTATACTAGAGCAAGTGGAATAATCTGCTATTAAACCCTAAGAATTATCTTGCATCTACGACATGCAACTTACTTCTTTTACACTCTTCGGCTTGGCTGTAGTCAGCTTGGCTTCACCTGCAGAGAAGCGAGCAGGTTCGGCCTCTGCATTCAGCTCCAATTCTGCTAAAAACTATAAGTTGTCATCAATTCCCGCACCGATTCAAGGCGGCGGAAATCCAGGCTCTGAGTCGACTTGGAAGTTGACTGTCGATGATACCAGCTCCGGTCACAAGCAAACCATCGTCGGATTCGGAGCTGCGGTCACTGATGCCACCGTCACTTCTTTCAACTCCCTGTCCAGCTCGAGTCTTCAAACTCTGCTGGATACCCTCATGACCAGCTCAGGTGCCGATTTCTCTTTGATGCGCCACACGATCGGAGCGTCAGACTTGTCTGCTGATCCAGCTTACACTTATGATGATAACAGTGGCTCCCCTGACACATCGCTTTCCGGTTTTGCTCTTGGCGATCGTGGGAGCGCAATGGCCAAGCTTTTGGCCTCAATGAAACCATTGCAATCTAATCTCAAGATATTTGGCTCGCCCTGGAGCGCTCCTGGCTGGATGAAGATGAATGGGGTAATTGATGGAACCACAACCAATAATAACTTGAATGATGGTTATCTAAGCGGTGGCACCGGCACTTCAGGCTATGCGAGCGCATTTGGTCAGTATTTTGTCAAGTACATACAGGCCTTCAAGAGTCTAGGTGCCCCCATCGACGCGATTACGATTCAAAATGAGCCATTAAACAGTCAGTCAGGCTACCCTACAATGTATGTGTACGCCGATGAATCTGCGCAGCTGATTCAAAACTATATTGGCCCTGCTATATCGAAGGCCGGCCTCGACACGGATATTTGGGCGTATGATCACAATACTGATGTACCCAGCTATCCTCAAACCGTCATCGACGGCGCAAGTGAATACGTTGACTCGGTTGCTTGGCACTGTTACGCCAGCAATGTGGACTGGACAGTTCTCACCTCTTTCCACAACAGCAATCCATCCGTGAAGCAATACATGACCGAGTGCTGGACTCCCTCGGGAACGTGGAATCAAGCAGCTGATTTCACCATGGGGCCTCTTCAGAATTGGGCCGTCGGTGTGACGGCATGGACCCTTGGTACAGACTCTAGCGATGGCCCCCATCTCTCCAGTGGTGGGTGCGCTACCTGCCAAGGCCTAGTCACCATCAGCAATGGTGCAGTGATCTACCAACCGGCTTACTATATGATGGCCCAGTTCAGTAAATTTATGCCCCCTGGGGCTATTGTGCTGAGCAGTACTGGTAGCTACACTTACTCAAATGGCGGAGGGATCCAGTCGGTGGCATCGTTAAACCCAGATGGCACTCGTTCTATTGTGATTGAAAACACTTTCAGCAACGACGTCTATTTGACTGTCACAACCGAGAGCGGACAGGAGTGGAGTGGTAACATTCCCAGTGAATCGGTCACTACTTGGGTGCTCCCGGCATCCAGCTAGGGCGTACTTTAGGCCAGTGTTGTTAGAGTCATGCTTTGTATCGAAGCCATTTGGCTTTGCACGGTCTGACCGGTGCTTCTGTTTCTTTGATTTCATGTTACCGCTTGTTATTTCAGCGCGAGAAGCAAGCTGCTCAATGGTCATATTGCGGTAATCGTTGAGTGCCATTTTCTTGATTTCCCGTCGCTTCTTTGCGGCCTTGCCATCTTTGACTGGCGTGGCCTGTTTCTTGGAAAGCTTTTCTGCTGCAGCAGAATTTTCACTCTTCTTATTTTGAACGGGCGACGGCTTCTTCTCTGCGACAGAGGCAATTCGTTGCTCTTTGGTACGCACCGTAGGGCGAATTTTTCCCCTGCGTTGGACAGAAACAAATCCCAGATTCATAGTTTCAGCACGCCTATCAAGGGCTTGTTGCCTTTCAGTGTCTTCAAGAATCTGCAACCACATCTCCCAAACAGCGCCATTGTTTAGGGAACTAGTGTACACCTGAAGGGCCCTGCGAGAGATCCAGGAGCAATGCATCGCCCTCGTGAGCTTTCGAGTCCAGTCCTCAAATAGCGGGAGATTTTCGCTCGGTGGACGCGGCACCACGAAAACTTCACTGAGAAGCTCGGTAGAGAGCCTGGAGAGGCCACATACTTTCATTTGCCATCAATGAGAATGTGTGGAAGCATCTCACCCTACACTTGCTGGGGAGAGTGTATAGGAGGTACCGAAGTCTGCTAAAGAGCCTTTACCCAGCGATATCTGTATGCTCAGGAAGAGTAGGATCTCAACAAACAGGATCATGAGAACTTCATGATACACAAAGCGAACGAAAGGAAGAAGAGCAAGCATTTGCGCTTGCAGGTAACGGTTCGTATGAATAGCCTCACCACTAGATCGCTAGCCACAGAGTATCACTACCTTATCGTTAGCAAGGATACACCACGGAAGAAGATAGTGAAACTGTCCAAAGGGTTCAAGCCCAAGGAGGAGGTTCGTACACAGGTACTTCGCGAACCTGGAGAGCGATAATCAAGCAGCCTACGAGAGACGTCAATATTGACCACTGGACCAATCTCCATGAGGGCAGTGCTGCAGGTGTACCGGCTCCCTTTGAGGTATTAACGTCAGTATTTAAATAAATAAACGATTGCGAATAGCTCTTGATCCGGTGTTGTATAATTTCGTTCTGTAGACGAGAACTTCTTAGACCAGAACACAATAGGGTACTATATTCCCTGGTCGTCCGGTTGCAAGAGGATTCCGGCTATTCTAAAACCTAATGCGTCAGTTTCGAGTCGAATAGGCCTTTCTGGATTGAAGTAACAAAGAAGGGGCGCTGTTGAGAAGGTATAGAGAAGGTCTCGAAAAGCTTCCGATTCCCTCTTATTTAGTTTGATATTCCCCGGTTTTTTTCCGTCTTTACTTCCCTTAAGAAGCTCTATAAGGGATAACGCGATTAAAGAGTACTTCTCGATAAACCTTCGATAGAAGTTGCAGAATTCGAGGAAGACTTAAATGTCCCTGTAGGACGTTGGCTGTTCCTACTCTTATATGGCTCGAACCCGCTCTGGGTCTATAGAGATGCCGTTTCGACTAACAACAAAGCTAAGGAATTCGACTTATGATCTATAGAAGCTGTATTTCAACGCTTTGACGAATAGCTGTGCTTTCTGTAGCCTTTCGAGCACTAAACATAGATGTTTCGTATGTTCTTCGCGTGTTTTGGAAAAGATCAGAATATTATCCAGATATACGATACAAATAGTGTCGAGAAGACTATAAAGCGCGGTATGGATGTAACTTTGGAATGTTGCGGGTACGTTAGTAAGACTAAAGGGCATAACCATATATTCAAAATGGCTATATCTTGTTCGAAACGCAGTCTTCTATTCTTCTCCTTCTCGAATACAGATCCTATAGTATGCGTCCTGTACGTCGATCTTACTAAGGAACTTAGCCCCGGAAAGGCGGTCAAGAATCTCTGAGATAAGGGGCAGAGGATACTGATTTTTAACAGAGACTTTGTTTAACCCTCGGTAATCAACACAGAGGCGTAGGCCTCTATCCTTCTTCGGCACAATTGTAACGGTAATGCCTAGGATCATGTACCAATTCCAATAGACCAAAACGTCCACTATATCAAAGCTCTTGCTTTGATATTCCTAGGCACCGATATACATACTAAGGTAGCGCGCGGCAACTTGTCAACCCTGTGACAGCAGTAACTAAGATAGTCGAAATACTACAGAGTTCTTCTAATAGGTAATAAACCGTACGTTTTCGGAAAAGGTCAGTAAGCTGCTAAATACTGAATTAACCTATAGCGACGTTAAACTATCTATTAACAACTGTATTATTAAGCATTGCATCTTTATAAAAGAGAGCAGAGGCCTTAGGTTAAAGTATATAGAATCAAGTAACCTAATCCGCACGTTTAATCAGCTAATTCTGTTACTAATTATATAGGACCTTCTAGGCCGTGTAGGTCTGTAATTAGACTAAGATGGGTTTGTGTGTCTAAAAGGCGAAGGAGTCGACCTCCCCTAAATTAAGCTGTAAGCTAAAACTCTTCCTCCTTCTCCTAAGAAGAGCGCTACCCTGCTAGAAACCGACGTTGTGTCTATATCTGAAGATTATGATATAGAAGAAGAAGACGGTATTTTTGGTGAGGAACTACCTGCAGAGGACTAAATAGACCTAGATTAAAGCTTAGATGTTTAGGATAGCCTTTCTGATCTAGAGATATCTCTGCTAGCTTCTTTGCTAGCTTTCCCATTACCCTCAGCCGAACTAGTTACAGATAAAAGCGATGATAAGGTTGTTCTGCCTACTTCGGAATATATAAAATACAGATGTTTGCTACGATAATCAATATTAGATAGGGTATTTAAGGATAAGACCTTCTCTAAGCGAAAAGAGAGTTTAACAGCTCTCTGGGCTCTAGGAAGACGACTTACTGGATCTGGTAGTATTAAAACTAAGAACCTCTGTACTAATTATACTAAGACCCTAGTAGATACCCTGCAAATATTGAGTATGTCTAAGAACTATTAATAATTAGTTACTTATATTCTGTTATTATACCAGTATATCGGTAAGTAGGACTAATTTATAAAGGATTACCCTAAATAGTTTTGTTTCTGGCAGAAAAATAATCTCGGCTTCTATTGATTTCGACCGGAACAGTACCCTCTGCTTATCGCTGACTTTATAGCTTATACTGAATAGCTATCGGTAGAAACCTTACTTAACAGGATCTATGCAGAAGCTTCTCTAGATATTTGCCCTACAGATAATATATATAACTATAGTAGTATGATACTAACAGATCTTTTCTTATAGCTCGGTGAAGACCTTAACGGTGAACATTCTGATAGCTTATGGCCCTTAATCTATTAGAAATTCAGAATATACTACTACTACCTTAGCCCTATAAGTAAGGAACTCGGCTGGCTTAGGGGGGATATAGTATTCTAATATTTTATAGCTAATCTGCTAGAATCTGTTCTATTATATATCCTATATCTTCTTTTGATCTGACTATGTATAGCGTTTGATCTCCTATCTCTATTATGCTAAGAGTACCTAACCTAGGGAGAATACTACGTTTCGGTATCTAGATATTAATATCTATAAATATCTTGATACCGGTAGAGAGGGAAGCTTATTGCAGGGATCTGTCTCTCTTACTAAAGAGAATAAGAGGAATTATACTAAACTACTGAAGGGTATATATAAAATAGGGCGCCTATAGTCCTAGTAGACTAATATTCAGAAGTAAGGCAATGTTCCGGATAGTTTTATAGCCGGTATTAGAAGATCTATATAGATACCTGTAGATAAAGAAAAGTATAGGATCTAATAGATAAAATAAATCTGTAATATTAGTAACGTTTGTCTTTCTCTTCCCTTGCTCTCCTATAGTTTAACCGGTTCTGCTATAATAGTACGCTGTACCTGCCTACCCTGGTATACTGCTATCTAGAATAACTACAAGATACTAGACTGTATAGAAGCTAATACCTAGTAAGAACTAGCTGATATGTATCGTACAATAATACTAGTATTGAAAATACCCTCTGGCTATCCTTTCTCCCGATATAGTACTATTCTCTTCCCTTTTGCCGTAGGGGTATAGTTTCGGACTATCTGCTATAAAATCCCGAACTGTCTAGTCGGACGGCAATAATAGGATAGCCCTTCTGTATATATAGAATTAGACGAGCTTTTTAGAAAAGACCTGAAGGCAGTAAGAGACTTAATTAACGACTAGAGAATAGAGGCCTGGTATAAATACCTGTGCTGCTTTGAGATAATAAAATATCTTAAGAAACGAAGAACTCTTTCTTTGATCGAATTAATAAGGGGATGCTTATTGACTTACTAGAATATAGACTGCTACCGGAAGGGCCTGTAACCGCTACAGCTAAGGACTTAATACTATCCAGTATTTAGTAAGCTACTCCGGAAGCAGAGGTAGGCTTATCCTATAGGGGCTAGGTGCCTATTAATCGGCGATAGGGTCTAGAGAGCTTAATAAAGGAGTATTCAGAGTGTGGTTATCCTGTCTTACTAGTTTTGTTTTAGTATTTTTGTTTTGTTTTGTTTTACAAATTAACTAAGGGACGGTTAATTTTTCGGGGGAGGGTAGTATATAATAGGGATTTCTGCTCTCAACATCGGTGCCCTAGGGTTATGTGACAGAAGCCTTAGCAATAAGGCCCCTGCTTTGTTTCTAGAGAATAAGTAGCGTTCGTTCTAGATTATTAATTCAATATATATGTTCCCCCCTTATGAAATGTTCTACTGAGGCTGCTGAGGTTGCAGTATCGGTATACTGCTTATGAAAGGTTCTGTTATTCGTTCTGTTATTCGTTCTGTTGATTCTCTATAGCGTCACGCTTGCCTATCGTCTCCTTGTACTCTGCGAGTGTGGTGGTGTTGTCTCCTCGCGATCGACCCGTCTGCCAACGCAGACAGCCTACGAGCATTCCCATCTTTCACCAGCTAATAATTGATGAAATCTTATCTAATCTCTTAATATTAAGACCCTAAATAGTCGATCTTATAAATACTAAGTGCTTTCTTAATCCTGAGGATAAAATAGTCTAAGATGGAATTAAGACCTTGGATAATATAGTACTCAGTCAATTTGAGGAAGAAGTAGATGATGATGATATATCTGTTTTGTCTGATATACTATTAGTATTAATAAACAATGCTATAAAGGTATTGGAGACACTATGCCTATATAAAGAGCAGCAAGAAGAAGGCTCAGCGCAGATGATATCTAATCTTTATAGGCATGAGAGAGTGATACAAACTAGGAAGTTAAATGCGCAAAAGCAGAGTGATATTAGGTCCTTTTTTAAATGAAATTTTGTATGTGAACCAAAAATATATATTTGAAACATTATAATGCGATACCTCCTTAGTACGATACAAATTGGCTGTGCACGTGGCATCGTACTAAGCAGGTTTTACAGTACTACTCTTCTTGAAAACAGGTCATTTCGTGCGGACGAGTTGATCTCGACGAGATGCTCAGAAAAAACTGCCGCACAACACGATGTCTCCAGCAATATCTGTCGGACATGCTGCGCAAATAAGCCTCCTGGCCGTATGTTCCCCAATCTACCATTTGTTATTTAACGTGCCTTGATAATTAACATGTCCGCACGAAAAGATTCTCTTCTACGCGGGGTGGACAATAACTTACAACCGCTACCTCCACCCACTGAGGAGTTACCGAGGCCCCCTCCTCTCAACCATCTCTCGAATCCCATACATAATTGCCTACACGCAGGGCCGCCTCCATCTCTATGTGCACGCCCTCCACGACCGATACGGCGATGTCGTTCGCATCGCCCCTGACGAGCTGAGCTATCGTGATTAGACCTGTGCATGGGAGTCCCATTCCCATAGGTTCCATGGGAGTCCTGCTTATATAAGTGGGACTACTCCCACTTACGTAAGTTCCATGGGATTCCCATGCACAGGTCTAATCGTGATGAACAAGCCTGGAAGGACATCTACGTCCGCTCGAGCAATTTCGCCAAGGACATGCGCTTCTACCAGTCGTCCAAGAAAGCGGCGAGTATTGTTGTTGCCCCTGAGGTTATCCATCGCCGGCAGAAGAAGGCTATTCTGCGTGCGTTCTCGGACTCGGCTCTGAGAGATCATGAACGGGTTCTGCTGCCTTATGTCGATGTTCTGATTGAGAAGTTGGGGGCAGCGGTGCGCGGAGAAGGCGGGGGAGGATGGATATGTAGATCTGACGAAGTGGTTCAACTATGTTATCTTTGGTTTCATGGCGCAGGAGCTGTTCGGGAAGCCACTTGGGTGCCTTGAAGAAGCGAGCTATCATCCGTGGGTGGAAGTGCTCTTTGGGACGGTCAAGGCTTGGGCGTTTCTTGCCATCCCGACGTTCTTTTCGTCTGCTGCCATGCTACTTAAGCCTCTCGTGCTCTTCCTATGTCGGGACTCGTTGGGGCATCGCGATACGAAGTATCGTGCTCTCTCCGGGCATATACCCAAAGGGGACGAGCAGAAGAAACCGGTCTTCATGGCTCATGTTCAGAGCAGCAGCGGCAATAACCCTGAAACGGTCTTACTGCAGGATGAAATGCTACCAAACTACAGCTTTTTGATGATGGCCGGGAGCGAAACGACCGCTACATTGTTGTCCGGATGCACATTCTACCTCCTAAAGCACCCACATTCATACCAACGGCTTACCTCAGAAGTGCGACAATGCTTTTCAGCGCCCACTGAGATAGTCCTTTCATCGCTAGCAGTGCTTCCATATCTTCACAGTGTCATTACAGAGACATTGCGGCTGTATCCTCCAGTGCCACTGGGCATGCCGCGTACAACCCCGGCGGGTGGCGCGATGATATCCGGCCGATATGTTCCGGAAAAGGTTCTGCATATCGCGCCTGTGCCTTTTATAGGATATAAGCTAACATATTCACAGACAACTGTCAGCGTTCCGTCATGGGTTACCTCCCGATCCCCATCAAAATTCTCCAGCCCAGACCAATTCATTCCAGAGCGATGGCTGGACGATCCACCGTGCCTGAACGATAATAAGGCCGCTATGCAGCCTTTCTCTCTAGGTCTTAGAGGCTGTCCTGGCAAGAGGTCTGTGTTCCATTCCGATAATCTCTACATCCACATCCGAAGGAATGACTTGACGAAACTGACATGGTCATAGCATGGCGTACATGGAAGCCGGGCTCATCCTTGCGCGAATCCTGTGGAGCTTTGATCTGCAGTTTCGCCAGGGTGTCATAGGTGGGATGATCATCGGGCGTTTCTAATTTGGGAGAAGGGGTCTCTGCTTGTGAGATTGATGCCGAGGGACTGATACATGAGTTTTTCTTCGAGGGCGAGGTATCAGGAAGGAAAGAAAGTGATGCATGGTACTATACGGAGTACTGCGTGCGCGTGAAATGTGAAAGTCCATCTTCAGAAACAGAAACCCCTAGGCGAAGCCACGTACTCCGTACTGCGGTGACGAGCATGCACCAACGGGCAGTAATTTCAGCAACTGAGCAGGAGGTTATCTACTTTCTGACCTTCCACTGACTTCATGTTGGGAATGATGAGTCAATAAAATCGCTGTGACCATGCAAGGCACGGGTGATCAAAACCCCACATACTATTCGTCGATTAGACCCGTCATGCAAATCTCAGATCGGCATTGGAATTATGCCTGTGATAAACAGTTGGTGATACCTACTATTCGCGAGGTTTTGGAGGGACAAGTCTCTAAATTGTGGGATGAAAAGTTAGGTTATGTCGTTGATTTGTTAAACAGATCTGTCATAGATCACCCTAGACCGAAGCACAACCGCATCTGTAATCAACGTCTTTCCGAGTCCTTCTACTTCCCCCGCATGTACAACCGTCCAGCATCAAATCACACGGTTCATCCCACAATCAAAGTCCAACCAGCCCACCCCGCAGAAACAACTCCCGCTATTACACGCCACCCAACCTCCTCTACAAAACTAAACGGCATAACCTCGTTCGTCTTAACAGGCAATCTCAACGCAGTATATGCAAACAACGGCACAGACAGATAGGTCCACGTAAGCAGACTCAAGATACCCAGATAACGCGTCCACGCTGTGTCGGAGTACCTGTCTGCTCGAGGTCGAGGCCTGACGAGGTCCTCAACGACGATTGCAGCGGCATTGCTCACGAAGAAGAGCATTATGGCACCGATGTTGTCGGGCACTCCGGCGTATACAGCGCTCAGCATGTGCAGGATTCCGGAGATGGAGAATATCAGGAAAAGTTGGATTATTCGCTGGGGTTTGCCTGGGGCAGGGATGAGGCAGTTTTGTATGGCGCTGCTTATTGTTACTAGGGGCCAGCGGAGGAGGCTATGCCAGTATATGCTGCGAACACGCAATAAATCAGTATCTAGTTGTTAAGTACGAAAAGATATCAATTAATAAGAGAAAACTTACGCCCAACAATCCCTGACACTGAAACGCCTGAGATCACACACCCTCCCAAAGAGCGGCGGCCAGGATTCCGGAGATCCCAAGAAGAAGGCAATAGACACTAGGGCAATAATCTTGTAGATCATCGAAAACAGCAAGCGCAGATCGACCAGTAGCAGGCACGAGAGCGGAAGGCGCGCAATTAGCTGCTCCTTACTCGAGGCTGGCCCGAGAAACTCCGCATCTGCGGCCAGGGCGCCGGGCCATTCTCGCTGAAAGTAGCGAACTGCGCCGAAATTTAGAAGGTCGAGGGCTGTGTATTGCCAGATAAGGGTAAGTAGGGTCCTGGCGATGTACGCCCCTTTTGCTTTTGGGGGTTGGTTTGGAGGTGAGGCATGGCCACGGTGTGTCCAGGTATTCACCTCCCACCTTGTTCCGATTCCGCGAGTACTTGTGACGCAGTTCAACGAGGCCAGAAAATTGGCAGGCGGCTTGTGAATTTGTGGAAGTAGTTGGCTGATTTCCACGCGGAGGATGAGGAAGAGGCTGACGAAATGGAGCGTCTTCACGAGACAGGCGAACGCGAAGACTCCTCGCAGCAGCTCAGGGCCCGACAAGAAAGACAGGAGCCGCGTTTCGAGGACTGCTAGAGCAAGAAGGGAGAGGCAGCACAGTTTTCGTACGCTTGAATCTTTTGCGGTGAAGGCAAGAGTTACCGAGGCGACCAAATACTCTGCTGCCATGGTGGCCGCCAATTTCAGGAGACACGACATTGTGGCATGAGATGCTGTGAATATCAATCTGGTGACAACTCTAAAATACTTCAGATTGAGCGCTGTATCGCTATAAGGGCTTCATTACTGCTCGATCGGCGCTCGTTTTGCTTTTTCCTCGCTAGGGGCAGCGGAGTCTCTCTCAGCCCGCATTAAGGAATGTGACTCCTGCAAGGTGAACGCCTCTCGCTGCGTAAGGTGATTAGACAAACACGCACGCCGAGTTTTGACACGGCGAGGACTAAGAATATCGTCATGGGAGACGCGTCGAACGGTACTTGTCTCTCGGGCGGAAAGGCAGTACCACTGGCTTCTGGGTTTTCGTGCTCGTAGGGTTTCTACTATATGGCTGTTCTCTTCATCGGTCCTCATTGTTGAATCTGCAAGATAACAGATTTTTGGGTCCTTGGAACAATGAACACCAACCAGTCTTCTGCCTTCCATCGCCCGACTGTTTTTTAAGACGACTCAAGCAGTGCAAAAATATGCTTTGCATCTGATATCACATCTCAACAGCTTCCCAAAATGGTGAATCAGCTCATATTGCGCCACTTTCCAAAACTTCAGCTGCTATCATCTTTCAACAGACGAGACTTTCATTGCAGGCATCCTACCAGCCTTGCCCGATCTATGGCCCCACATACTATGCTCTAGGGGGACGATCCATCGTGTTCGTTGGGTACAAAGTGACTTTCAATACTACGATTGTCGCGGAGTTACAGGCGTTCTGAGCGGCAGCTTATCTCAATAACGGATTCCCCGCTTCAAGCCCGGTCGGCGAAATTATGAGTGGCGTTGGTGCTAATCATTCGACTGATATTCTATTTGAGACGAGTCTACATACAGAGTTTGGGAGGTGGCGGTCTCCCGGTGCATGTGGAGACCACTGCTACCCGGATTTGGTCTTTGATATTCTTCCCTACATTGACATGCTTTTGAAGGATTGCGTAACTGTACGTGCCGCAAATCGAGACTTTGGGCACATTGATTTGAGTCTCATGATATGAGGGATTATTCTGGCATGGTTACGGAGTGGAGTATGGCAATTAGGGAACGGACAAATATGCTGACACCTTATGATAGGATGACGAATTGATGTACTAGCTAGTACTGAACATGTCAAATAGAATCATATGATTGATTGAAGGTCTTCCGATCACTTCGAATGGCCTGGGGGGCCTTTCCATTCGAAGTAGGGTGTGTTGTGATACAATACTAGGACAACTTGGATGAACGATAAATAAGCATATCCTGAGGGGTCCTAGTGGTATTTGACCACTCTCTCAGTTCGTCAAATGATGTTATTTACAAGATTTAAGTTCTGTTTCTTCTTTCGTGCCTTTATCTTTCATCCGTCGCCGGCCCCTTTCTTTCCTCCGCCCCATGGACTATTACTAAGTGCTAAGCAAGAAAGGTTCCATTTCATTGTAGGTAGAATTCCGAACTGGTCTTCGCAGCTCATTCTCATCTCATTGATAAATGTATATATATACATATATCTATATACATTGATTTCTAGCCCGCCTTTGTTTAAAGCATCTAGTGAAGAGGCTACTCAGAACCACAGACGTGCCGTTCTCAGGAGCGTCGTGTCAGTTTGGCGAGTAATGGGCCCTTGTCCCGGATTATATATGCCCGTTGATCTGTCCAATTCGAGAACTGGGGAGATAACTCCAGATCAAACGCCCATATTAATCGGGCAAGGATCAAGCTCGCCTCCCCAAACGCTAGACTGTAGGATAAATCAGCCTCAAACTGGAATCGTCCACAAAATGGATGACTGACTTCTTCCCTGGACACGACCTCGAACCCACTGAGAAGGGCTGCATGGCCCCTTTGACATCTTCACCTCCAGCATCAGCATCTAACCATGGCTTTGGAAGGAACAACTGGGAATCCTTGAAGTGTGACGAGGACTGGTAGATCGCCCAGGAAGCAACCGCCACGCAGGTCTGGGGTTATCAGTACTTTTGAAATACCATCCTCACTGTAGTGAATTTGCATATGTTCTCTGGGATGAATCGCCCTGAGATTACAGCACCACCATTTGGTAGAATCGCGGCATGCCAAGCGGTAGAGGTGGTACATACGCAGTGTTTCTTGGAGGATAACACGCAGGCATGACACATCCGCCAATGAAGAGAATATCATTTTAATCGGGGAGGCGAAGCGGTGCCATATTTGGAAAGAAAGCTTCTTGTATACTTTAAGGCGAAGAATGTGCAACCGGATAAGAGGGTCGCTGTAGTCTCACTTCCCGCCATCATCATAAAGCTGGGATTAGACCATACCTCTTCCTTAGATAAAAGTCGACTTGTGGTCATTAATAGCCCAGAAATATGTGCCAAAGTCAGTATGACTTGATTCTGAGACGTTCTCTTCAGGAATTTTAGACACAATTGATGCAAACTTGGCGGACCGGTGTAAGAGCAGGTCACGACGAATTAAGAACACGGCACCTTTCATAATTCAGGAAAGTGAGGGGAAATATCTAGATTATCTGACGAAGGCCCATGCTTTGATAGAACCGAAAAGCATATCCACCCAGGCGTGAGAAGTCCCTTTCTCAAAACGGCGTTGTGACTCACCAAATAACTCAAAGGCCATAAAATCGAACAAGACATAATTGTACCATTCTGTCAGATCTACGACGCTTTGCTTCTTTCCGCGCATGGGATGGAGCATTTGGACGAGTGTATCGACAAATGGTCGCAGAAGATGCTCATGGGACTGAAGTGCAGATTCTGAAAATGCACGGAGGATAGCGCGCTTCTGGTTGCCGTGGATGCTAACGTGTTTCATGGGTAATCCGGCCACCCGAGCTGGCCGGCCACCCAAAACACCATATTAAAAGCGATAAATTATAATTCGATATCTCAACAACCATACCTTTTTTCGGTCTATATTTTATCAGATATTTCTATTGCAATATATAGAGCAATATATCTCAGTTTTAATTAATATTATTGATTTATTTATCAGATTACCATTAAATACACTGTAATTTGTGTATTTTGTCAAAAAGAGATATTTCGCGAGATATATATATCCAGACTATTTTTTCCTTCGGTTTTTGTGACAAGGGTATGATAGAGGTTATAGAACTTCAATATTTAGCTTTGAATTACTATGGTTGTTGAGCTATCGAATTGTAATTTATCGCTTTTAATATGGTGTTTTGGGTGGCCGGCCAGCTCGGGTGGCCGGATTACCCATGAAACACGTTATCGGGAGCGGCCACCACACTTGGGGCTTTCCTCTTGGACACATTACAAAAGCGCATCTCCCTGGGAAACTTCCTCAAGAGGCTATATATGTCTTTCCATGCTTCCTCATTTCGGTCGCTTAATTCATCTGGGGCGATACGGACAACCCCCCCGATACTGGTCATGAAGGCGCTTCATTTGCCTGTGCAGCTTGCCCTGAGCATAGGCAGTCGCATAAGAGGCCCTCGACACGCTCTAAAGGAACGGACCAGGATAGCGGCTCAGGGGATCAAGGTACCTTCTAGAGAGTATTTTCCTTGCCGAGAACAGAAGAGCCTAGGAACCGTTCATCAAGCTAATGGAGCTTGTCGTTCTTGCCTGGAAAGACTTACCAGAAAAACTATTTTGTAGATGTCGGAGATCATGGGGGTTACACGATCAGAACGAGCGGGTCGAATAGAACGTGGATATGGTATCAAGATACCACCACCACCATGTAGCGCTCTGGTAGAGGGCAGGATGAGATTGCGAGAGTGTAATGTGTGTCTTCAAGCTATTCCTGCCTTTCGAAATGAAGATCCAATGGGAGCCTAGGCTACTATTCTAAATCTAACCAATCGCAACAATTTACCTATATCAAACGCTTCTCCTCATTGCACTAGGTAATTTCAATCAATTGAACCATTAAATCTGGTATCGGTTTCACGTAGACCGCCTCAGTTGACGCAAAGGGTTGCTCTGGGTTCTCCAACGAAACCTGATACTGACAGATAAATGCGGCTGTTAGGCATGTCAACATTTTTCTTGCGATAGACTGACCAGGGCAGCTCCGTGGACCATGGGAGAATGTCATGTTTGAACAAGGGTTTTGGTTGGTCGACTTCTGGCTTGCTGGTCCTCTACTTAGCCAGCGCTCAGGATTGAATACCGTGGCGTCCTTGCCCCAAACTCGAGTGTTTAAATTCGCCGCCAGTGGGGGACATAGTAGCAAGGTTCCCTTAGGAATCGGGATATTCATGATCGTGGTGTCACGAGTCGCTTCATGCTCCGTTAATGCAACCGCCGGATGCAGCCTGAGCACTTCATCGACGACTGCCCGTAAATACGGGAAAGCCTCAATCTGCAAAAAGAGAGACTTGCCACCGTCACTTCTAGATAATGAATGCCCACGAGACTGAATTTCATCACGCAGCTTTGTCTGAACCGCTGTGTGTCTGCAAAGTTCGAGAATCATCCATTGGAACGTCGCGGAAGTTGTTTCTGAGGCTCCAGCTAGGAATATTAGGATATGGCCCAGCATTTCCTCGTCGGTAAGGCTCCCATCTTTGAGCATGACAGAAATGATGTTGATGGTGTAACTGGGCTTGATTGGCTCCACGAGCTTTCGTTTTTCGATTTGTAGCAAGTCTCGCGCGACATATTCCAGATACCCCAGATCGGCTAAGTCTTTGCGATTGCATAGGGTCAACATCAGAAGCGAGCGAATCAGGCGAGGAAATATTGACAGAACGGCCTTCTTGACCTGTCCGTTTGCCACCCTGCGGTCCAAGCTCCCAAGAAGACATGGATATCGGGACAGCCAATCACTCTCTTGACCAAACACACATGTGCCCGAGAGCTCTAGGATGGATCGTGATGACCACTGACTAATGTTTAGAGTGGGTGTATGTTGTCCAATATCTCGAACCAACTCCAGACAGCCCTCCCACAAGGAAGTGCTTATCTTGGCCACTGTACCGGGGTGAACACCGGTGAAAATAATTTGCGAAGATACTATTTGGGGATGTTAAGCCAAAGATTTATAAATGAAGTTTGCAGGAAGGATTAAAGGATTATGAGAAATGTTATCTATAATCTTCTGAAACATACTTTGTGCTTTCGTCCTCTTGCGGCAAGCAACCCGGGGTAACCTAAGCCAGCTTCTGCAAGAAGCTCGATGGTTTTGGAGTGCGAGAAGCTGTGATGTTGTTTTAAACACAGTTCAGAAATAGCTTCTGGTCCCAACACGATGATCATCTCAACGCTGAAGAAAGTGTAATATCTGATGATTTGCTCTCCCAGGAACTCATTACAAAGCTGGGGAAGTTCTCGGCCGATTAATTTAACGGGTTTGGCGTGATTACCCAACCAAAAGCTTCGGGTCTAGAACAAGTTCCTATATATCAGTCTCCCCTTTTGCCTTTTGTTTCTTTTTGAGGAAATACGGCTGGAGAAACTTGCCTTGGGGGTGGGCAGGGATCGGAAAGGGGTTGCATAGACTGGGTAAATGTGACATTGGTATATCAGGGCACCGATTCCTCCAAATATTAATAGGATGATATAGGAGGACTTAGCACCCATGATCTTCAGCAGCCAGATTATGGTTATCCATGGGAGGGTAGATAGGAGTAAAGTGTGATGATATGAATGCGCCATCGTCAAGGTGGTTTGAAATTCTGATACTGGAAAAAGGTTTAATAAACAGCTGTAATCTTTTATCGCGTGATATATACCACTTAACCGAAGTCTGACTTTTATTCCGCTGACGATTCCCATGCAAGGGATGAGTGACCTATTGGAACTTATGTATGACACAGGGGTTTTGGAATGAAAGGGTGTAAAATATGTTGAATTACAAATACTTTCTCTTCTTTCTCCCCCCTCTGTCTTCTTCTTACATTGTATCAAAGAACAACTGAGTATGATCCACTTCGGTTTTCTACTCCTAATCCAGGAGGTCCTAAAGAATTCCTGAATGGGACATGTTCAGTCTGCGCTAGCCACCATCAAGGTCGGCAGTCAATATATGCTGATCTATTTTATCCTTGGATCTGCTACCACTTTCACCTCGGCTAAGTCCTCATTGCGTTATATCGCCATTTTCGTCATTATTGGGCTTGCCATGTCCATTCAAAGTGCAGTCTGTCAAACCCATCATATCCCCACTCCCTTACGAGGAATCCTGGCAATGGGAGCCTGGATCTAGGTCTTCAACAGCTATGATATTCTTGTCCACAGCCGCATCAGCTACGCGGAGCATCAAGAATGGAAAAATGAAAAAGGATTGATTGCGAACGGAGATACCATCTGGTTTACCTTGTCTATTCCCAATAACTTCCGTCGCCTTGATACAAAATGGCAAAGTATCCCGAATTATAGCTTTGGTGGCAGCCAAGGAGAAGTTCTTCGGAGGGGAAAATTCGTTCAAGAGAAATTCCGGAGCCTTTTTCTCATCTGCTGTACAGCGGTGTATGTCTTCTTGACCTGCTCCTATTTGGACTGGATCCCCAAGCAAAAAGAGATCTTTCCACTCCTGGGCCAAAGCAGTATCCTGCTCAATTTATCCTGGGAGTGTTTGCCGCCCCTGATCCATCTTCATCTCTTCTTCGTCATCACTACCTTCCTTCTTCTTAATGCTATCTATGAGCTTCTATCGATCGCCGCAGTGTGCCTCCATTTCTCGTCTCCGTCACACTGGCCCTCATTTCATGCATCTGCACTTGAAGCATGGTCGGTTCGGAGGTTCTGGGGGTGAGTGAGGACGCAGCATCCTTTTCGGTCCGTCATTAGTGCTAACAATGTCACCATTAAAAGGAAGTTTTGGCACCAAACATTTCGCAGCTTCCTCACCTCGAATGCTGACTTCATCATATCCGTAACTCCTCTTCTCCCGAACACTATCACTTCTCGCTATGCGCGATACTTCCTTTGCTTTTTCATTTCTGGACTGATCCATCTTTCACTTGATCTTGCGATCGGTATATCCCTGGATAATGCAGGCGCTACGATATTTCTTACAGTCCAGCCAATTGCCTTTGCAGTAGAGAATGTGGCCAAATACCTGTCTAAAAAATATGGGATCATGGCAAACGATACGGCTCTGAAGAGAATAATGGGTTATGTTTGGGTGTTGGCCTTCTCTTTTTGGAGTTGGCGACCATGGGCCTATCCGATATTGATGAAGTCTCTGGAAGTTGGGGAGCCGATTACTTCAACTTATCTCAAGACTAGGGGGTTTTATATCAATCTCTGAAACTATCCGAGGCAATGTAAATGTGGACATTCGAGGTTGATCGCTATCCAGATTTCCAACCCCAGAAGGCAAAAAGAAGATACGACAATGCGCGGTACAGAGTCCCAATCAAGGCAAGAAACCTGTGAGGTTAGTGCCAATGTTACAACATCCACACCAAGTGGTGGAAATATACGTACCCCATATCCATTGCAGTTCTACCTATCTTGTAGCCAGTGAATGTAAAAGCGGCTGGTATGTTGTAAAGGTAAGCTACAGGGGCCGTATTTTCCTGGTAAAATGCCTCTGAGAACCAAGTCTAAAGCAACGATAGGTGAGTTCATCTTTAATTCCAGCTTGATTATGCGAATGCAAGGAGCATAACTTACTGCTGGCCATGAATACCAAAACCATTCCAGATGCCACTCTCGCACAGTCGATAGCCGGGGAGCACATCCACTCAGAGCTGAAACGATGAGACTCAATAGCATGCATAACATTGGCCCATCCTCTCGCCGTGTTACGGCCGATACAACGAACCCAAGGCCGTATATACCTATAATGATGATAAACAGGTAAATATAGATCTCAGATTTGGAACATACCAACTTACAGTAGGAATATAAAAAGCCAAGGACAAGCTGTGAGTTAAATGGGATCATGGGAGCTGCTAATACCAAGTAGAATGCCGTAAAATGTAAGGAAGACACCATCATTCGGAAACAGACCGCCAAATTCTTCCCCAGGAAATAAGCACTGCGAGAATGGCCACACTGCGATTCTCGATAGAAAGTCAACTTCTCCTCCCCAAATATCTTCACCCCAGGAGGACCAGCCGCACAAGCTAGGAACAGGATAATTGATTAGCCAATGACAGTGTGGCTAGATAAGAAACACGAGAGGCCCTACCAATGGCGAGACAACATAAAAGGCCCTGTTCGGCTATCAGCCGATATTCAACGGCACTCGAAAGAAGGTCAAACGGATAGTGATAGATCCCTTGGAAGAATTGGCCTCTAGATTCAAAAGCAGCCAAACCAATCATGAGACCAATGACTGCACTAGATACAATCTCTAGAGCGAGGCCTGTAGTTTGTCGGCTTTGTTGTATTATACTCCGGCAAAACGCAAGCCAAAGTTGGCGAGGCCAAGGCGCTCTTCTTTTCTTCATTACCTCAATGAGTGTTGTCGGGTCTGCTATCCCGATTCCAGAAGGCTGGTTCTCTTTCCAATGCGGGGCATGGGAATAATGTAATAAGACATCAAGGATGACATCTGCTGGGTTTGATGTGGCAGGGAAGTTGTGGCCCAACTGCTCGAAGAATAACTGCGCCTCCGCTGCCTTTCCAAGATAAACCTGGATCCCAGCGTTCAGAGTCATGACATCATCTAGGAGACGGAATATCTCGACGCGCGGCTGGTGTATCACGCAAACCACCATGATTCCCTGGCGGGAGATTGAGTGTAAAAGCTTCATCACTGAATATGCAGCTGTAGAATCCAGGCCGGACGTTGGCTCGTCCAGAACTAAAACCCTCGGTGCGGCAGCTAATGCGAGAGCGATACTCACACGTTTAAACTCACCCCCGGATATTGCTCGTCCCCTTTCTTTCAGGAGATCACCAACCAACTGATCGCGAATATACTTGATACCCAGAGATGATATCAGAAAATCTATGTATTCTTGAATCTTTTCATCAGGCAGCTGCCCACCAAGTAACACACGGCCGGAATAAAGAATATTTTCGCGAACAGTGATGTCGGGCAGAACAGTATCATGCTGGGGAACGAATCCTATCAGGTCCCTTAGTCTATTTCATGAACGAAGAAGAAAAGTTAGATAGTCAGTACCTAAGCTCTTGCTCTAAGTTATGGAAAGGGACTTTACTCTGCGGGTTCAACTCTCCGGCCATTCATGGAGACCCGTCCCTGAGAAGACCGAATCCTACCCGATAGTATATTTACAAAGCTTGCTACAGTGCATAAAAATGGTTAGCTTTGTTCTGGAACGGAAGATTTAGCGATTTTCACATTTACCAGATCCGGAAGCTCCCATGATGCCGAGAACTGAGCCGGAATGTATGGTTCCTCGAAGACCACACAGGATCTCTCGTTTCCCACGGCGCAGACGGAGACAAATGTCGGTGAAATCAAGACTCAGGCCATATGAATGAATGTTGTCCCTGTTGAAAAAATCCTGAAATTGCTGCACCCGAGGAATATTCGCTGTTGAGCCGTCCTCATCAGATAGGAAATAAGGGCCAGGGCGTACTAAGTGAAAGAATCCTGCCAGTCCCTTTAACGCCGTTGAATATCGTAAAACAATACAAACACCTAGTATCAAAACGTCAAGCAACAGACAAAGGAACAATCCTAATAGTGGAATCTGATGGGAACTGCCGGGGCTGCATATTGACATGACGGTACATTCGAATGGAGTTACCGTCCCCAAAGGACAAAAGTGGCCCCGCGGACACTCAATCTGCTGCTGCCCACCAGGAGGACAATAAAACCCTGGCATACATACTACCGGCTCGAGATTTCCTTGGGGCACTGCGCATAAGTTGTCGCTGCTCTGGAGCCGTATCAGGAGGCAGTCAGGCAAAGGGGGACAATACATTGGCAGGTGTTGTTTCAAAGTGTTGTTATTTGAGGGACCTGAAACTGGTTATGAGAGTATAAAGCAATGGGAAGATCGATCACTGTACAGTAAAATCCATCCTGGCACAAATTACTGGATGACAACGGAATTGGCTGCCTCCCTGAAAGGCACGTATGGTTGGATGAATCTTCCATTTCTCTCGTGCAATCTCGTTCGATGAAGTTTTTGGGACGCAGAAGAAAAGAGAACACAATTTAGGCCTTGGGTACATGAGAGCTGTAATATGCAATGGAATGTATTCTGCAAGGGGTGTACAACTTAGGATTTGCGTGCCTAAAGAATGCAATTAGTCAGATGTTGTAATAACTATGCAAGGGGCTCGAATAATCCATAGACTGGATGCAGAAAAGCCATAAGAAGCGGTACATATCAAAGTCTCAGAGTGTCGAAATATAGGTACACCACACAGCTACGTCCACTAAGAATATCGAAAAGTGACTGCCACATTGGAAATTGATCTGACTTTTCGTGCAGACTCGAAATTTCTACTAGTTTTTTCAACACTATCTCCATGTAGTGTTTCTGGGTGCTGGAACTCTGATGCTCTGCGAGTACCTAGTCTCTTCAATTGCTCTAGCGTTCACTTCCAGCCAAGTGGTGCACTCATGCGGCGCAGCGCGTCATTCCTGATAGGGTTGCGTGGTACATACGTAAGATGTCTACTTCGAAAGGAATATCAGCGGCTACGTCTGAAGTCAACAAGCACATCTTCTCCATCAGTTCCACAAGCCTACCTAGAAACTTTCGAATTATTTCCGATTTTGCGGCTTTGTTGCTGACCTGCGCCAGCCTCATATCACAACACTGCTGGTAATCCGTGTCGTTAGGTGGTGACACGAGAAGTAAGCATTCAGTCAGCTTGCGGGTTGCGACTGCGTTGAGCATAGCATAGTTTGGGGAGAATCGGTCATCCTCATATGAGGGATTCGGCAGTATGGTTAGTTTACTTCCAAAATGTCCGAGAGAGGAGAACATACATTGCCAGCTTCGTCTCATGAAGTAGGTTATACTAGCATCTTTGAATCGCCGTCTGCATTGCGACACGGCCAAAGCAGTCTCCCGCTAGATATATATCTAGGTGGAAGGGATAGCGCAATAGGTCCCACGATAGGTGGTGGTTGATCATCGTTCTCCCATCAAGACCCTTTGCTTGGCTCTATCTTGATATCATGACGTTGGTTACCGTTTTCCAGCTGGCCATAGAAAATCATACCAGAGCTATGCTCTAGAGTTACAGACGGACAGGATATAAATAGTCGACAAAGAGCCTAGATTCCCAGGGACACCTCCCTGCAAAAGGATGGCCGACCGCATGGAAATTGACTCCAGTGACGATAGCCGCGAGATGACTGACGCAAATCAGGAACTTGAACACGAACTCCTTCAGTGCCAACAAGGATCATCTCTAGCTGCTGTGCATTCGCGGCGAATTGTCTCGCTCGGGGTTTCTCCTCATTGTAACGAACCGATGTTGTCTGAGTCACGTGCCCGATCACGTGACCCACGACCCTCCGTTCCATCTGTACAATAACTACGCGTAAGAGCTTACCTCTCTTCCTTTCCTCAGCTTTATTACTTTTCGTCAATACTACATGAATTCTATTCATCCCGAGTCCTTACACTGAGAGTGTCTCATCCAGAGTCCTCAAATACCAATCTGATACCGGGACCTCCCTGCCCTGTGTATTATACCATACAAAACCCAACCCAACCCAACACGCGGCTAGAGCACCCACAATTATGCTCTAAGGCAACTGACGCGAGGGTCACGTTGTCCTAGCGAGAATGCCACTGTGGGGGCGATGCCCAACAAATAGACCGCCGGGGGTTGTCTAGCATTCTCCAAATATCTTCCCCTAGCTCGACGCCCGTACAGCAATACAAATCCCAACAGGATGTTCACTTCACATGTAGAAGCTAGGAGGCCACATCCACCCCCAGAACGACCCCGCAAAGCGCTTCGGTCCCCGCATCGCCAGATTGCCTTCCGCAACGAATATATCGCGACCTCACAAACACGTCTGGTTCTCAAACCACAAGGCGACGCTCAGTCAGCCGTTTCATTCAAGATCTTTGACGACGAAGATGGTTCAGTGAAGTTCACTGTGAGTGGCAGAAAGTATGGCGATCGCTCTTGTCGAGAATTTCGTGACTCGTCAGGACTCCCCCTATTTGAACTTCACCAAAAAGCCGTTTTTACGCATTCCTGGTTCATCACATTGCCCGGAAGCGATCATGCAAGTATAGCCAAAGCTGCACCAAAATGGTCCTTTATTCACGGGCTTGATGACTTTAGCCTATCATTCGAGAATCAAGCTGCCGTGGATGGGAAAGAACAAGAAGAGAGACGAGTCAAATTGAATATCGAGAGACATGGTAGCATCCTAGCGTTGTATGATGTTGTGGACGGAGATAGGAAGGTGGCGGTAGTGAGGGAAAGTATAGAGCACAACGAGACTTTGCCCTTTATGAACTCTCGATGGCGCAGGTATAAACCTATTCTCGAGGTCACTGTGACATCTGGAGCGGACACGTCAATGGTAAGACTTCCATACCACGGTCATTGCCGTATTTACACAGGCTCATACTTGGAACAGGCTGCTGCCATTGCCGTGATTCTATCAGATTGGGTGTTTAAAACAGGTTGGGTGATCTAGTGAGCTAAATCCCAACAGGCAACAATTTGTCTAGAGGAATTAGAAAGTACTAGTTCGTTGGTATAATATTAGTACGGACGGCCCTCCTCAGCTCTAATATTTTCGCCAACGTTCGCGATTTCATTTTCGTCACAGAGATCATACTTGCGGTATACAATGCGTTTGGTTCCTTCAGGATCATATTACTCAGTCTCAAGATACGTATTATTTTCTGAAATCAACGCCGTCTAAATACCTGGCTCGAATGTTAAAGGGATTATATCCAATACAATCACCTTTGCCCCCACAACAGCAAGGCGCTGAGAACCCCCGGTGCCAATTCTACTGCTCCCGCCAGTCACCACCAGTACCTCCAATAAGTGAATGTAATCGTTTATCCCCTCGGAGTATGTGAAGTAAAATGAAGACCTTGAACGATGCATTTAAACAGAACTTAACAAAGTCCCAATATAACGCCAAAAGGCCCAAAGAGAACAGCACAAGCAGTAGATACTGGGCCGAGAATAGCTTTCAATGACAAAAGAGCATACTTTTCCAGCAACGGAGAAAACACGGAATCATTCGACAGCCCTATCTCGGTCTCATTGGTGTATGGCGCAGAATACCCATGCATAACATTGCTCAAAAAGCGGCCCAGGTTCTTGGAAACCAATCCGAAACATGACTCCTCATCAAGTACATCAGATACTTTGAAGATTTTGTGTTGATCTGTGTGTAGATTGTTGTTGCAGGATTTATGGACACAGGACGAGCAGAGATCGACGCGGGCACATTTCCGGCAAACAAAGCGGGGACGATAGATCCAATAATCACAACTGGTGCAGTGGATTTCGAATATTCCAGTTTTAGATCCAATTTCTTGGGATATATTAAGCCGCAATAGATAGTTCGCTTGGTATATGTCACCAAGGAACAAGAAATAGCGACCTAATTGCTGCACAAGAAGCCATTCAAAGTTTGATAGAGAACGAAGAAGTGTCTCTGAGGAAATTAGGACTGATTGGCGAAGTATGGCGAACTGAGTCTCTTTGGGTGTCAAAAAAGTTCGGGGGCATTGGGATTGAACTTCGTGCAAAATCCACGAGACTTCTGCCGTAGCCATCCAGCACGTTAGGATCTGCACCGAAGTCGAGTACTGTGATAGCCGATGCAATAAGCCCTTGGTTAAACGGCTATATGGAGTTGGGCACGCAAAATCTTGTCCGGTTCATTGATTAGTGAGGTGAGAAGCGGGAATTTATGCGAGTAAATGTCACAATATTAGTGAGTAGTCATCTGAAGAACAACAGCGGGCAATGCACGAGGCAGAAAAGAAGTGGGCTGTATGAGAAGAAAACGAGACGGAGAGGGATCCAAATTAGAGACAGTTATAAGTACTAGGGCTAATCTAAATTGGATTGGCTTAATCTATCTATGGCTTTGGAATATACATTGATTATGCCAAGCATGAATAGAGGTTCCACAGTTGCTCAGTGGAAGCTCAGTGAGTGAATGGGAGAATTAAGAAGCAAACTCAATTCTATTTAGTGATTACAAAGTGGCCGAAGTCAGCAGCAAAATAGGAATAAAAGGCCATCAGGCACCTGGCCTTATAATTAGATGCATATGCCTGAGTTTGTAAGCCCCCAAGACAGCAGTGCTGAGCCTCTATACATATGCTATTCTGGTGGCCACCACTAATGACAATATGAGGAGCCATCGAGGAGATGCCCAGGCTACCGCAGCGCTGGTAGCCTTCTCGAAGCTCACTAACGACTGATCGCTTGCTCCAACGTGGAGAACCTGCGATGAGTTGGCCGAGTCGTAGGTGCCCGTAAAGGTGATGCTGAAAGTCACGTTCACCTGTTCGTCATGGGGTCCATTTAGGTCACCGAAACCAGCGATCGTTGTCCCCGAGATGGACAATGTGAGCGTGTCGTTGGTCATTGTCCCATTGAGCATAGCCCCTGACGGCCATCCGATCAATATATCACCCATCGTACTGCAGGTTTCCGCAGGGATATGGATCTGATCTTTATGTATGCCGTCACTCGCGAAGATTGTCTGGGTTGACCTCACCCCCGATACGTCGTAGACCCCTTCGAATTGGACCTCATGGCTGTCATTGCCGGCCTGGGCGACATTAAGGACCACGGCATCGATGGCCCCCTCGACATCCCTATTCGTCTCGTGGACGTATTCGCGCCAGTCGACGGTTGTCTTGAGATGCAAGAGATTCACATCCGTATCGCAGGAGCTGTAGGAATAGGTAATGTTGACGATGGAATTGTCAGACTGCCAGGCCTGGAAGCCCAATGTAAAGGGATTGTGAAGGTTTGGTGGAGTAGGAGTTCTCGGCCCGACCCATGCGATGCCCAACATGCGAATCGAGCCAGGGTCCTTGGGACAATCGGTTCCATTGTAGGTCTTGTTGGTCGGCAGATCGCGAATCACGTAGTCAAAGGAAGCTTCGCCTTGAAAGTACAGTCCATTCCAGTCTGTGTACGCACCAGGGTCGCCAGCGACCATTGTGTAATTGAGGTAATAGCTCGGCTGGAGGCCGGTGGTTGTGAGTTTGTGATCATCCGAGCAGACATAAGTGCCGCCGCTGAATGAGGAGTCGTCGCTGTCACTGCTGGTCCCGCTATCGCTGCTGGAATCACCGTTGCCTCTGCGGGATAGAACCCCAGCAGGAATCGACAAGAATACAAAAATTAAAACTATAGACTGGCAGAGCAACATAGTGGCCATCTTTTTCTATGGGTCCCAGTGCATGAAATCTATAATGTTGTAGACTGATCGACTAACGTGTCCAGCTGTCCAGCCACCCCCTGAGCAGTTAAAGCACAGAAACACTTGAGGGGCGTCGCAGCTTTTAAGCACTGGCACCACTTGATCCTTGGCCTGTCCATGCCTGGGGGACTAAGGCGCCAAGGACCTGAGACGGGATGGACCTCGTATTCCCCGCCATCACGAGTCGCGACCAACGGTTACTGGTTCAGTTCGGAGAAAGCACCGCCACCCTGTGATTTGGTTAGCACGAGCACAAGTAGCCTAGGCGTGTGTGTGGGAGAGCCATTGATTTCTTGCGAGCCACAATCTATCCCACTTCTACGCTAGCCTTCCAGCACCGCGATTTTTCCAATTGTTTCTATGTTGGGTCAAATGCCGGTGCTCTGTAAAAACATGAACATCGCAGCCATCGTGAATGAGCATAGGATGCGCATCAATTGGCTGTTCTGTATCTACTTGAAGACGCGCGCGTTGCACGCATCGGCCCTGAAACGAAAATCAGGGGAATTTGGAATTGGAAGCGAAAAGCAGCGTTGAAGCGTTTTGAAAGAAGCGGAGATAAGTCTGAATCCAAATGGACCAATGACAAGAGACATTAGATGAGTAATAACCACAATATGAAATGTCATAAGCAAGTTTTCGAATCGCTAGTCACATTCATATTTCGACTGACAAATATATCAGCATATGAAGTCTTCTCTGAGTGTGGCAACGCAGGTGAGGACGAGTACCAGTACTTGGCCGTAAATGAAAGAAATATTGGCGTGACCAGCGGATGAAGGAGTGTTTTCGTAACCCGCTATAATTGGGTCAATATAAAGACCTTCGAGTGGGAAAATACTTGGATTGCTCATGGTTTCGGTCAGAGCTGAGAGATGAAGACCAAAGAGCGGGGCATTGACGGGTGGGAGGGAATCACACTTTACTGTTTACTTCATGTACAATTCTACAACAGATTGAAGGCCATAGCCATAGCTAAGACCTAGAAAAGTGGGGATCTAGTACCTCGATATCTTCCAATAATATGGCTCTGCAACCGTTCCGGGGAGATTTCGGGAGGGACCCGGCTGGCATAAACCGAGGAATCTTCCTCAATGACAGCTACAACCGATTCAAGGGGCACAGAAGCACATGCCGAATGTGAAATCAAATATGATCGAGGGATTTTTCTAACATTCGCCCTGCTACCGCACTTCCTTTGTTCAAAACCCAGAATCACTGCCGGCCAGCACCCTATTTTCTCCTTCAGGAACCACGCGAAGAAGGCTCTATCCAACAGAAGAGCTGAATCTGATCAAATACTGTATTTTATGAAGCGTGGAAGAATTTTGTGCAGAATACCAGCATCCACAAAGCTGCAGTTCCTGATCACTTTCCTATTTCGAACTGTACCTTGCGCAGTGTTCCGAGTTTCAGGGGCCTGAAAAACCTTCCATTGAGAGAGCATCCGTTTGGAATGGATTTGCGGGGGCCCTCATGGTCAATACTCCCCTCAACGCCTGCAGGCTATTTTATCAGCCACTATCGACAGGTAGAATGTATGGATCTCATCTCAGGGTACCATTCCCGCAGTGGATGTTTTAGCGGCTGATAATTCAACTCGATTGCTGTCTACGGGTGGATTGGGCCAAAATATGCAAGCTGGGTGGTCCTTTTGTTCACGGTATAATGAAGCGGCTGTAGCCGTTAGAAAATATACACCCCCATTATGTAAAAATAGGCATGCACAAGGCTTGTTTCCATCATACTGTGGGGTAACTAGATTTCTGCGGGGAGTGTGGAGGCCCATCACCGGGATGGTTCCGTGCTGGGCCCTCCGCCTGGATTATGCACTTCTTTCCTAGAAGCCTCTCGGATAATCGGCATTTATCATCAGGTATTAAAAGCCGGTAGGTTTGGCAAACTGGCTTTGAAATTGGTCATTGCGATGTTTGTCGTCATTTCGGCCCCTGTCGTATTTCTCCTCGTTCTCTATTTTCGCATGTTCGATATATTCAGCACAATGGGAGAACATACCTTCGATTGACTCCGAGAGAAGGCGGTCGGCTGGAGTCATACGCCTCCAGTAAACAAGATTTATACTCACCATCATTTTGTGCCAGATTTCTATGCCAAGGGTAAGTTCCTGACGACCCTCGACCTCTTGATTCGTTCCCGTTAACTGTATAACAGCCGTTGAAGAACAGGGGGGCGGACCCGAGTGGCTGGCCTACTCCCAGTTGGAGCCCCTTAACTTCCAAACTTTTGATGAAACGTGTTGGGGTGCAGTTGGACACTACCTCCATGGATTATTCTGTCCCTTTTCGTGTCGTTTTCGTATGCCATATGCTGGCAAAAGAATACGCAAGTCCGTTATGTTTTACACAGACTTGAAAGTCATTAGGTATTTCAAAATTAAACTGGCGAGAGCAAGATCTACACCACCAGCAGGAGATTGTGCGTGCAAAACCGTGTACACTCGTGGAAAATCACTTAAACTTGTTTAAGAGTGAACACAGAGCTTGGCCACAACAAGTTGAATGTTGTTTCCTCTTCCCCCTTCCGCCTTCGTTCTCCCTGATATTTTAGGATTCAGGTCATTCCGGGATTATATACAAAAAGACTCACTCGTCTGAACAACAGAAGCCTCATTGTATTCACATCGATGATTTATCATGTGCAGATGACCAGAGAATAATGACCATCCTGCCCAACGCAAGATAATATCTCGAATCGATCGCCGTCTTCTTCCAATATGTGGGCTCATCACCAGTGTCAGCTTGATTGACCGCACCAATGTATCTAATGCTGCCATCGCTGGCATGAACGAAGACCTCCACCTGGGCCAAGGGGCTCGATATTCTGTCATGGTACTCGTATTCTTCGTGACATACACGCTGGCTCAGATCCCGTCCAATGCCACCGTGAGACGAATTGGAACACGATGGGTAATATCATCGCTGATTCTCGCCTGGGGCATTGTGTCGATCGGTTTCGGCCTGACAACATCGTGGAAACAGTTGGTCGCGCTACGACTGGTCCGGGGACTGTTCGAGGGAGGCTCTTTTCCCAGCATTATCTTTCTCATGTCGACGTGGTACGTGCGTTATGAACTGCAAAAGCGATATGCTGGATACTACTTGCTAGGAATCACGGCATCCGCGTTTTCTGGGATCCTGGCGTACGGACTCACGCAGATGGATGTCGTTGGGGGAATGGAAGGCTGGCGGTGGATCTTTATCATGGAGGGCATCCTCACTTGCATTGTGGCCGTACTGGCATATATCTTCTTGCTCGAATTCCCAGATAGAGAGGCGCAAACCCAACCTCGATGGGGCCGACTGGGCGAAGTCGAATGCCAGTTTACCCTGCACCGGCTCAGTCAAGACCGCGGCGATGCCAGCCTGGAGCCATTTTCACCGAGAGCCTTCCTTCGATCGGACCTGAAGCTCAAGACCTGGGCGCTCGCCACTCTCTTTCTGGCCGTCACGGCAGTGGCATACTCCATGGCGTACTTCCTCCCCATCATTCTGCACAACGGAATGGGCTTCGGCGTGGCGGCTTCCCAGTGTCTGGTTGCTCCCCCGTACGCCTTTGCTGCCATTTTCATGTTTACGGGCGCGTGGGAGGGTGACAAATACCGCATTCGGGGACCAATTATTATCTTCAACTCCATTCTCGCCATTGTCGGTCTCGCCATTGTCGGTCTCGCCATGATGGGTTATGCGGCATCCTCGGGAGCCCAGTACACAGGCGTCTTCTTCGTTGCGGCAGGGGTCAATGCAAGCATCCCAGCTATCATGGCATATCAAGCCAATAACATCCGGGGGCAATGGAATCGAGCCTTTGCCAGTGCATCGTTGATTGGCTTTGGGGGGATCGGCGGGATCGTGGGTGGTGTTGCATTTCAGCCAAGTTCTGCCCCACGCTACATCCCCGGCATTTGGACGCCCATTGCGTTAATGCTGCTAGTCATAAGTGTGGTATTGGCGTTGACTGTCTTTTTTCTTGTTCAGAATCGGCGAGCCGACAGACAAGGCGTCGTTTTAGAAGGGTTTGATGGATTCCGATATACTATCTAATGCATCTACAGCCGCATATTCAGTTACAAGGAGCACCATTTCGTCTGTTTGGTAGTGACCTACTTAATATTTTGATGCGCGAATGGTGAGGAACTTGAAATGCTATATTTACTATGGAACCAGACACTGCCTCATGCCCTGGCGCTCGTAACAAATAGATTGAAGCGGTCACAGGTTACAGGTGACTGTTTCGTCTTGCGATGCCACTGCGGGCTGGACTATCTCGGTGGTTCTGCCCCTGTGCGACTGCTAGTCAAACGGAAGGAGCGAGAAATGAGCTGGGCGTCGGATCGAGCGGCATCGCCGGTAAAATGAAAGGGGCAGTGTGTCGGGCTGAAAGCCAAGGCGCAATGGTCAGTGGGAGCCGGAATGGAAGAAATGTGGCGGCGATGAGTGCAAGATAGAGGAGTTGAAGGGAGGGAGAGGGAAAACGAGGTTGAGAGGGCAGGCCTTTTGTCTTTTATATCGGAGCGATGGAGGGAGAGCTTACATGACTGTGTATTAGGGCGCTAAGCCGGGAACGGGAGGGTTGCTAAATGGACCGCCCTTTCTGCTAAATGGACCGCCCTTTCTGCTAAATGGACCGCCCTTTCTGCTAAATGGACCGCCCTTTCTGCTAAATGGACCGCCCTTTCTGCTAAATGGACCATGGGCCCTTCAAGTTCTGGATCCAGATTAATATGTAATCTCCATACAACTTTGGATATACTTAATCTACCTCTATAGCGCTGTAAAAGTTTCTAGTCCTTTGTTGACCTCTCTAGTCTCTGCCTTTCTATAGTAGACTAGTGCCTACCTGAGATGGAATAGAGTAGGTAATATATTCTATGCTAGGTAGGTACTAGTCTGCTATTAGAAGACAGTAACTAATAATAGAAATAGACAGTTAGAAATTTTTGTAGTACTATTGTAGACATAGATTGAGTATATCTAAATTTGTATGGAGATTACATACTAATCTGGATTCAAAAGGGCCCATGGTCCATTTAGCAAAAAGGGCGGTCCATTCAGCAGCCCTCGGGAACGGCAAAACTAACCACATCCGGTAATTCACAGATCTCAATATTACGCCATAAGTGCAGGCACCTGGAAAAGGGCCACGTGATCAGTTGGCACCGTGAGACAGCTAGTGCAGATCAGTAAGCAAGTGGCACCATCGAAAGTTGATACTATGGAAAAATCCAACTTTTTGGGTCCGCGTGGTATCTAACTTAGCTTCAAGTGGGAGTAGACATCGCCATAACCCATTTTGGGTTGAACATGCCAACCCAAAACCCAACCCACTGGGTTTTGGGTTATAGTAGCTAGAACCCAACCCAACCCAAAACCCAGTGGGTTATAAATGGGTAACCCATATCGACCCATTTAGACCCATTTTGGCATAATTCTTTTATAATTTTTCATAATTTTTATGTACTGTATTCGAATACCAGTTCTATATCTTTTTTTCTAGAAGGATTTAGATCTTAATATTTTATATATAGCTTTATCTAATATTAATTATTCTATATTTAAAATTTAGGATCTAAATATTAAGTATCAAAAAAGTTATTAAAAAAGTAAGACTTTATATAAAGATATATATATAATCTAGTAGGGTATACCACTATCTTTACTATAGAACTCTGTAATTTAATTTAATTTTTAATATACTATTTTTAACCTTTCTAACCTGTAATATATATATATATAATATAAAATAATAATATTATTAAATAAAAAACTAAAAATACCTATATATAAGACCTAAAAACAGATCTAATACAGACTGTATTTAAATACTTAGCATATTTGTTCTTTTTACACCAAAATGGGGACCCACTGGGTCCCCATGTGGGTTTTGGGTTTTGGGTTGACTCATTTTGGGCTGGGTTGGGTCGGGTTGGGTTATAGTTGATATGGGTTCTGGCGATGTCTAAGTGGGAGTGTACGAGCTGCAGGATACCAAAATGTCGAACAAATGGACATGGAAGATCAGAGCCGGTATCGTTGAAGCCTGTGAGCCCTGCTGTAGCTGAGTTTCGGCGCGTATCGAAACGAAATTCGTTCCTGGCAAAGTTATATTGATCGGTAAGGAATGAGTTGTTCCAAATAGTAGGGTATATCATACCTACTATCGGCCTATCTAATGGCAAATTTTGTGTTAATGATATTGGATGAATCCCATCCTGCTCTTGTGAGGCAGTCCTCGAATGGAAACCATTACTCTCGCTGTATCTCTGTATCTTCCCTGCGATACATCCCTTTAGAAAACAACCCCCCTGGTCCATTTTCAAACTAGATCGTATGCAGCCTAACTAGAGTTCATTTCTTGCGAATCCAGTTCAGAAGCTAACTTGACATCTAAATTTCAAATCTTCACTTTGAATGAATGGAATGTATCTCGGGGACAATCAACAAGGTACTTAATGACGAGTCTCTCTCTTGAGGCTTTGATCAAGATCTGGTCATGACAATTCACGGCAGGTTCGCTCTGTCTTCGATGATCACCTCTGGCGGCGTTTGCCACAGCGCTAAGAAAAATGCCTTTCGACTTTCCCAATTCCTCGCCAAACTTTCCTGTGGAGCTGGGTTCCGCCCGCTTTCTTTTAGGGCCGCTCCGCCTCAACCGCCGGCCCGCAATTTCCACCCTTGGAAGCGCCTCCTGACTCGCCAGTAGGATGCCTTCATAGCAAACCCCGTTTCATCGTTGGAGGTATAATGTGGCGCGTTTGTGCGGGCGATCTCCTGGGCTTTTCAGCTGTACAGTAAGAAACCAGGATATACAGGGAGATATACAGATTATCAGCACACACAGCATTTCGAAAACACAATGGATCTCAGTCTAGCTTCTTTGAGCGTGAGAAAGGTTCAAACCCTCTGATCGATCACAAATCAAATGATAATGCCCCGCAATATCGACACTCACGAGATCGCTTTATGGATAATTTCCTCGCCTCAGTCCTTTATTACCAAGCCATCGACAACGGATACGCAAATTATTAACCAGGAAGCCAGGAGTACAGCTTGGTAATGTCTCACGATGCGTTATTCGGCCAGGAGTCCAAGATATAAATAGTTGGGTATTGCCCGTGTCAGGATATAGATGTTGAGAGATTATTGAATATTACTCACCTATTATTGGACCCCGAGAAGCCCAAAAGCATTTTCATTCCAAGGTTGAACTTGAAGTGAATTAGTCCTAGGCGTGGTTATGATCTGATTACAGCGGAAGATATGTCACAACTTATTGTTATTCTCGGTATCACCGGCGTGCAAGTGAGTACCAGTAATCGCCCCTCCAGATCAGATTTATTTGGGTATCCCCGGGTCTTCTGACGCTCAAGCTGAAGAGAAGCTCCGTCGCTGACGCTTACCTTTCGAATCCGGGTTGAAGAATTCGTGGTGTGACGCGCAATCCTACGTCTGATATTGCAAACAAATGGGAGATAAAAGGTGTTTAAATGGTAAAAGGTGACCTTGATGATGTGGCATCCTTGAGGCAAGCTTTTGTGGGCGCCGACATTATTTTCGGTGTCACCGACGTCTGGACAATCTTCAAAGATCTAGAAAACTACGAGAAGATGCAGCCCGGCCAATCACATGGATTCTAAAGCAGAAGCTGCCATCTATGCGGAGTCTCCCTGCTCTGGCTGGAAAATTCTCGCAGGTTCAGGCGCCCATCTATTTTCAGCTCCCCTGGGAGTGGGGACTTCCTACAACTCCGAATAAGGTATGAAGCATTGAATCGCCCCCTCAGAACCTTTTTATTTACAATCCCTGGTGTATTTGGAGGCATTGACCTGTCAGATAGGAACTTGATGTCACCTGGCGAATGTCAGGAATTGGCCCAGGTGACAAGGGCATTCCATTCGGACACGTCCGCAAGGATTTCGGTTCTTGCGTCAGGGCAGTTGCAGAGTCCGAGCCGAATGTCAATCTATTTGCTGTTGAAGAGTATATACAATGGTCAGACTATCTCCGAATCTTCTGTGAAACTCAAGGTTTCAAGTATGGTGGCTATGACGAGCTTTCCTGCGATCGATTCTGCAAGTTGCTCCCTGGAGGTCTTGGTCACGAATTTGCTCAGAAAGTTTTATTCGCACATGAGTTTGGGTACGAAGGTGCTGATTCTGCTGTTGTGCGACCAAACAAGGTATGTTATATCCTATTCGATCTTGTTTCTAGTTAATGACATGGTTGACCTTCTATAGCTTGGTCTGACAATGACATCGTTCCGTGAATACTGTCGAGAGACTGATTTCTCGGCACTAGATGGTGACAAGTGAGGCATTCAACAAAGCTCTAGCTCAACCGGGAGAAACATCAGCTATAACTTAGTACGCGATTACATTTACAATGATTATCTTTGGTTCTGGCATTGATGTTATCTTATTGGCAAAAAATGGAGTGGTTTCAAGGACGCAAGTTACGGACATCGTTGAAGTCACACCAGCTTATTATACCAATTCCGAGCATACTACAATAGAAACATCTACTTCTTTTCATGAGACCTGACCATTATCGTTTTCGTTACTAACTGTTGATGCGGAGCTTCAGCCAGCTCGCTCCTTTGTTGTCAGAATCTACACATTTCATCACTCATTCCATTCGTCAACGCCAACAAATTCGTCTCAAGGGCTGTCGCCGATGCTTTGTACGATGTTCTCACCATCATGGTGAATGTAACGAACTGGTGTTGTTACCATTCATTGATGCCTCATCCCTATGGCACCCACTGGGGGTCCACGCCTACTGTATCTAGCCTTCCATCTCAGCTTCCTCCATATTTTGCTCAAGCTATTACTTTCGTCGAACCGCTACTACTTCCCCTGCGGCGTATGCTACGCCGTATGTTGATCTCTGTGAGTATCTGAGCATCCTCGCAGTGAAAGGAGATTCCTTGTCAATAGAGTAGACCCGCCCAGCGGTGCTTTCAAAGTACTAGATCTTCTATCTATATACTGTGGTACCTGCAGTACTGTCCATGAATTCATACTACTAGTACTAGTACCAGTACTACCCTTATTTACCTTAGCAACTGGCTGTTTTCCCCAACTCTTATACCTAGTGCGTCTGTAGCAAAAAATGGTAATGTCACTTAAACCCGACCATAAAAGGTCGCAGAGCGAGACTACATACCACGCTCAACAGATTTAGAAAAAACAGGCGCAAAAAGCCTCCGAGGTATTTTACGGAAGAACGGATCTTATCAGAGTCCGACTGCTTTCCCGTAGTATTACTTTCTGGAATCCAATATCTTTCACGGGTTAAACCTAGACGACTATTGAATCTGAATTTGAAGATTCTGAGATCCGCCTGGACAAGCAAGTTAAAAGGACAGGATTGGAAAAAGATGCAAGATTGGATCAACGCTTACAGTACCAGAAATCCATCATACCGTATAACATGTGATTATTGCCTAGATCGGTTGCAAAGAGAGGGGCACAAAAGCGGTGGGTGCTGAGTACATTTACTATTGACGCTAATCAAGATCAACTCCACTTCGATCGACAAAATGTAACATTATTTTATGCAGAGACAAACAGATGTCATTTATAACCCCCTATCCTCGCTTAGTCGTTACTATCTCCTGAATGTACCTTTATCAAGTTTCCTTTCTTTCTGCTCCTACGCTTGGCTGGGCAATTTATTTTCCGTGAAAATGCTCGCCTCTATCGTTCCTGTATCGCTGCTCACTGTGATCGGCATACTACTATCTGATGCGCTAGCTCAGGATCCGGACGGTTGGTACAAGACAAATCCTGCTATGGCACGTATCAATCGTGTGGACCAAAATACGCATCAGCTCATCGACGAATTCGGCCGCACCCGGTTCTTCCACGGAACGAACGTTGTGATGAAAGAGCCGCCATGGCATCGTCCGTTTGAGTGGATACCTGGGGTCTCGTCATTTGGAGAGCAAGATGTTCAAAACCTGCATGATCTGGGTGTAAACATCGTGCGACTGGGTCACAGCTGGGCCGGCGCTGAGCCTGTACGAGGATCATACAACCAGACATTTCTTGATATTATGAAGAAGCAGACCAAGATTGCTGAGGACCGGGGTATCTATGTTCTAGTGGATGTACACCAGGACTGTCTCTCACGGCAGTTTTGTGGACATGGCGTACCAGATGTAAGTGAAAGTCAGGGCACATTGGCATTATCGATACTGACACCGCCCCATAGTGGTTTGTGAAGGAAAATTGGGTACCGAGCACCAAGAGATATCCACTTCCTCTCAAGCCAACTTCATTTCCTGTGAATGAAAATGGCTTTCCAACGCCACAGTCACTTTGCGATACTGTCGACTGGTCTTTAAGTTATACATCTGTGGCGGTTGGTAATGCATTTGGGCGGTTATATAACGACTACGACGGGCTGGGAAATGCGTTTGCGGCGTTCTGGAAAAGGCTAGCGTCAGGATATAACGAGGCAACGAACGTGGTAGGCTATAACCTGTTGAATGAGCCGTGGGTAGGCGACACATGGGCAAATCCGACATTGTTGGTACCAGGTGTTGCTGACCATAAGGTCTTAGAGGGGCTTTGGAATCGAGCGGCTCAGCAGATTCGTACCGTGGACAATGACACGCTGATATGGTTTGAAGGGGCCACCCTGGACGTTTTATCTGGTTTCGAGAATGTCCCTCTCGGTGACGGCTCGAAGTCAGTGCATTCATTTCATTATTATAGCCCGCCGCAGCTGGGCTCTATTTCTCAGACGCTCAATAACCGCCATAAGGATAATGAGCGTCTTAGGACCGCAGGTGTTCTGACCGAGCTTACATTCTGGATGGGCAATGAGAAGCAGATGCAGGATCTGACAGATGCCATGGCAGCAACCGATGCAAGCATGGTTTCTTGGATTGGCTGGGCCTACGAGAACCTGTACAATGGCACATCTGGCCGTCCTTATCCTGAACTGGCAAAGCACTATAGCCGTGCATATCCCGCCGCTGTCGCAGGAAATCCCACTAGGTTCAGCTTTTCCGAAAGCTCTGGAAATTTTAATCTACAGTTCACATCTGATCCCAGTATTTCTGCACCCACTGAGATTATTCTTCCCCCGTCCACCTTCCCCAATGGATACGATGTTCATGTCTCTCCCGAGGGCAGCCTACTACAGTACGCATTCGACAAACGTACCTTGGCCCTTTTCCACCCCCGGATATCATGAATACCACGGAAATTTCAATCACGATCTCTGCTAAGTAATTGACGTGTCCGTATGTGGGCGACTGAGTCGCTAATAATGCCGGTGTTCATGTTGAGAGCCATAAATACTCCGAAGCTCCCACAGAATATTGTGGTAAGACTAGAAATCAACGGGTATTTTGTTACATACGCAATTTCTCCATTGCCCGAGTAAAATAAAAGTGCCGCTAGAATTACTAAAATAAAACGGCATATCGGGATCATGAATTCTCTGTCTGAGCATTAATTATGGCGCTATTCTGACATATAACCCTCCTTTGCAATTAATGTTTAAATATATAAGATCGATTGACGCGCTATACCTCACTTCCAAGGCTATCCTTGGGAAACGACACTTTGGATGATCTTCTAGCTACCTTGACTGACTTTAAAAATATTCCTTTAAGCCAGGATAGAATGCAGAAGCCACGCATAGACCAAATAAAACCATGAACTCGGAGAGAACGTGAAATCAAGAACACTACTAACAGCGCAACGAGTGCCCACAGAGGATACCAGACGGCTGATATATAGAATTGCGTCATTCCGAAAATGCTCTGTCGGTTTATTGCTTCGTCAAAATACGCATTCAGTATGGCGAACAATCCCAGACTTACGGCGACCCAGGCTAGAGGAAGAAATCCAAATGCAAAAAAATTTAATCTTTCCATTGCTTGGCCTTGGTTCATTGTTTCAGTATTGAAGGCCTGGTTGGCAAATTCATATTAGTTGGTAGCTTAGAAACTTGGGAAAGGGGGATAATTACTAGATTTATCATATTTTCCAGCTGTCTAATGACATCCTGTGATGTTTCCTCGTGATATTTGATGTCTTCGAGATGGGCTTGCAGTCTCCTCCCTGCAGGATCTTGCCTCCTTTGTGTAGAGTCCTCTGAAGTAACGCACGCGCCTAAGTAGAGCAATCGAGTAAGTGCGGCGGAATGAACACGGAGCTGCTTACGCAGCCACTGCACGTCAGCAGCTTCGTTGTGAAGCTCCAGTGTTAAATTTCGCAAAGGTGGCATATTTTCAAGTTGATAAATCTGGCGATGATAATTTCCAAATTTTTGGTTCATGCCGTTCCAAACTTGGGTCCAGTCGCCAAAGACATGCAATATATCGGCAAATATCCACAATGGTTGATTTCGTAATCGAACCCATCGGGTCGGATTTTCTCCATTGAAGTAGTGCTCAGAAAGGCGTTTGGGTACGCCATGATTTGTGCAAATCAGCCATATATTGGTTTCATGCAGAGGTCTTGGGCTTTCAACCGTTTGACCGCCCCCTGGTGCTTGCAGAATCCAAGTAGCAATTTGATAATATTCGGTACCGGCGTAGCTAGAGGCATTCGAAGGGACTGCGCATGAGGGAAAGTTTAAAAGGGAAAGTATACCTGAATGAACCATGTTATCCTAGATGGACACAAAAAATGTTTCTAGCATTGACATACTACCAGCGTCTTTGTTGGCGCTTGGAATCTCTGGAAGATCTTGCCTATCGGTCCTGCGAGGGTTGACCTTTTTAAGAATGTGTATCGGAAACTTGGGGAAATAGCTCAGTAGTGCTTTGTCCATGGCGTCACTATAAGTATCAATCTGAATAATTCTGCCTAATAATTAATATTCCAGGTAATTCTATGGTAGAACTTGAAGTTCAGACAACTGACCCAACAGACGAGTCGGCAACTTGATCTAGATACATGGAAAGTTGCTGGACAAGATTTGTACCGGCATTCCCTTCGAATTTTTTGGATGAGAATTCGTTCTCAGAGGATGGTTCTGAGCTGAGATTTGATGATGTGCAGCAGCTCCATATTGTAAAGTCATAGTAAATCTCACTGGCACGCTCCATGGTAGTTAGTAACTCCAACCTTGGAAGATTCTGTTTCCGACCTGGAGGCGCTGCGTGGAGGTCCTCAGAAGAGAATTTGCGCGGTATATATATTTATGGATGTGCGGCGTCACCTGAGCAGTTGCCCAGGTACTAGCCTTGGAATTACTCTTCGCCGGGGCGTTTCTGAGGGCGGGATCATCATGAGCCTCCTGGGCAGTCACGGTGTTTTTAGATCTAAGCTGAAGTTATTGGTCCGGGCCAATCACATTGGGGTTTACACCGAGCTCTTGCATACTCCACTTGATGTCCCAAGGTAGGGTATTTTTGCCTCAGATAAATACGAGATTCGAAATTTCCATTATGTTATTCTTGGAGATCCCAATTAGCCCAAACATAGGTACTCACTTGCAGACCTCCTCGGTCGAATATATAGTACAGCATAATATTGGAAATTACTAGTAATACTTAGGTAGGAGCGAAGCATCTGCCTGCCGGCCACAAACTTGAATTTCAAAGGATCTTGGTAATTACGATGGGGGTTCTTCCAGATATATCTCAGAATTGTTGCCCAGAAAGTCTTGGAAGTAAGCATCCATGCTCAGACCCCCTGTGACGGTCTTTGCGTCGAAACTCAAAATTCGCCCGCTACTCCAAGGCTTACCTGATTAGTCCTAAGGACGTGTCATCAAGGTAGCGCACCCAAAGGGGCGCTGTGCTGACATGCGGACTCTTCAATCCTAATAGCCAATAAACAATGTGGTTCCCCGAGAGAACGCTGATGAGTAAATCCTTTTATCGCAATTTTTGAGCCTCGTGACGTCTTTCGACGGTTCATGCAGTTTGATGACCCGCCAGTGCTGAACATTGCGGGCCGGCAAGAGCGACCCGATGCTCCGCCCTCAGAACGAGGGCCACCCGCGAATAAGAAGACTTCTTAGACCGATGTAGAGGGTCCGTGTTGCTGTGCTAAGACTGTTAAATGAAGTCCGCCCGCAAGCGCAGATATCTTAGTTACCGAGCCACAACATTAGACGAGGGTCTGATGCGCTCCTCGCTTAAAATTAGACTGCAGACAGGGACGATCGTGATTCTTTCATAAATTCCCTCTCCGACGACCATAAAAACTACCTAAAAGGCCCTGGGGGCTGCGGCGGACTTTGACTATCTTTTGAAGGCTAAGAATCCACCCTCTTGCTGCGTAAATTGGGCCTCTCGGGGTGCAGAAATCTTGAGATGGTCAGAGGTGACGCGCCATTTAAAGTAGGGCAGCAGTGCGCGACAACTTAAACTAGTATATGCAATGATGTACCCAAACACAAAGATCCCCCGCAGCATAATAAACAACTCTTTCCCCACTTTCAAGTTGACTTTACTCTACCCCGGAGCGGTACTTCTGCTACGTAAACTATAAGCGTGTGGCTCTTGTCATTACTTGAATCTTTCACTGGTCCTATCTACTCAGTTCTGTACCACGTCATCAGATTTAGGATGCGACCTGCCTGGAAATCCGACTGTTGCGACACGTGCAGGAAGCGGAAGGTCAAGGTATATTAAAGACTTGGAAAGCGAATTTTCATACATTAACACCTGCATATAGTGTGATAGAAAATACCCGATATGCCTAAGATGCTCTAAGTCTAAGTATACGTGCGTACGTCGTTATCCAGATGGTATTTTGGTCCATGTTCCTCGAGCGAAATCGGTTGTTTTGTCCACTACTCGGGCAACCGGTACTCCATGGCATCAACTACTCTTTGGGGTGGAACGTCTTCCAAAAGTCCCCTCCCCGGGCTGTCTATACCAGATCCAATTTCTAGCATATTTCCTTGCGGAGTTTATTCCGACAAACTCGACTAGTCTTCAGACATTTTCCTACTTTGAGAATTTACCCAGCCATCATATCAGAAGCGCTTTTATCGATATTGGCTCTACTGCACTCAGCCTGGTATACTTAGGACAGGTTCATGGCGACAACCATCTCGTACATTTGAGCTTGAGATATTATCAGTTGCTGCTTGAGGGGGTCCGTAGAAAGATGGCAAAACCCCCCACTGAAGATGTCATTATTTGTGCGGCAATTCTTAGCATGTATGAGGTATACGATTCATTTCGGGTTTATAATCCATATCCATGTCTTGACATATTACTAGGTTTACCATCCACTCCAACAATCTTCATGGTCGACTCATGTGCGTGCCGCGTGCAACCTTATTGCGACTCGTGCACCAGACACCCATGTTGACTCAAGCATATTATGCTTTGTACGAACACTAGGGGTAAGTGATAGTCTCTACACTTTGCCGGCTCTGATGGCTTACATTTTGATAGTTTTATGAAAGCATAGGTCGCCGCAAAGTCACATTCCCGCAAAACTCTCTATATGACAAAATCTTTTCAAAGAATGAGCCATTCGAGGAGCTTTTGAGCATTGTCCTCACTCTACCTAGGTTGGAATGGCTTCATGATAAATCCCAGCAGACAGTTCTTGCAGAACATATGTTCCTTGCCCAGTTCAGAGACACATATCACCAACTTCGACAGTGGTATCTCGAACTTTTGCACAGTCAGAAGTCTTGCTCTTTTATATTCAGAGCGGCTAAATCTGGCGAACTTTCTTTTGTTGCAGATCATCCGGAACTTGAAGACACGTTTCCAGAGGTCATTATGTTTTCTAACCGATATTCCTGCCAACTTTTCCTCCTGTGCTGGACCGGGTTCTTTGTCTTGAATTACGAAGCTTCTAAGTTCATGAGATTGGTAAATACCACGATCGAGGTTGCTCAAGATTCCCGTTCATCATGTCCCCCCCCGGTATAACTGTCCACTCCTTGGTCATGAATCCACACTTACTGATTGGTCCGGCTCTTCGGACCAGGGAGTTAGTGGAGAAATTTCTAGAGTCGACGCACGCAGCGAAGTCTTTGCGAAGCGAATTTGTCAGTCGTTGGTCTATGCAGACAAGCACACTAATGCTTCTGCGATGAAGCTGATTCTGATAAATCCGCTGTGGATCCTCCAGCAATATTTCTTTACAAAAAAGGATTACCGGCGTTCATTGTGGTGCCGGTGTGCTCTTCAAGCTATCCCACCTCAAAAGGTGGGCTTTGGTTCCCTTCTCACAAAGCTTTCGATTCAGCAGTATCAGGCGCTTGGCAACAGTACCGGTTAACTCAGAAATTGCAAACTGCTCCTGCTTCCCTTTCTTGATTTTTCTTTCCTGATTTGTTCAAATGTAATGTCGTTTTGACCGCATGCAAGAGTTGCAAAGAGCATGTGCTTGGGGCTGGAAAAAGAGGAATTGGTGCATTATACTCCACTTCTCAGCTCCTAAAGGGATCTTCTGGACTCACTGACGGTCACTACAACTTGCCGATACTAGGGTACAATTGTGACTCGGTAGATTTGATTATGCGGTTTTTCTAAGGATAGTAATTTCCCTGACTGCATAATTGTGATTCATGATGGGCGTTCAACAAAGGCGAACGATCAAGTTCGTCCCAGACTGCGTTCTACCTCTCATTCAACTACTTAATGTGTCATCAAAACGTTCTAGTTTAATTGTAAGTCATTTCTAGCAAAAATAAAAGACCAATTATATACTACAAGGAGTCCATGCCCTAACTAATGTTTCGTGCAAAGTGTAGGTAGTACTAATGCTACTAGTGACCCAGCCTTCTTGGCCTACGTAGCTACTAGCACTTTTTATTGGTATATAGTGTATGCAAATATGTGCCAGCCCTGGAGCGGGTCAATAGCATACTAGCCATCACTCAACAAACACCATCCCAACTTCAACTTGACCTCCAACTGTACGATGTGGAATTTTCTATATCGGTCGATATTTCTTTTTTTTTCAATTTTCTTTCTTTACAGTCTGTTTAAATTCAAACCGAACAATTTACGCCGAGAATAAAAGACCTTTCAACACAGCAATAACTGTGATAGTTTGATCCAAATACCACGATCCCAACCTTGAGAAATAAATCTCTCGGCAATTTGGGAATCACGAACGAAGCGAAGATAAAGCAATAACAGCAAGTTTTTGACAAAGGAAACAATCTCAAACAAGAGAAATAGTGGGAAATTTTTCTTTGCACTTTGAGGGCGCCAGGGGCTGCAAGAAATGGGAACAAAGAATGCGAACGCAGTTCTCATCAGGTATAGATATGAAACAAGTCTTCTCTCAATCTACACCTGACTAACCACAGGGAGAGATACACTGCCGGCTGCTACTCATAACTGCACTGGCAGTACTGCTCAAGGTGGTATAACTTGAGCCATTGAGTGGGGTGGTGTTGGCAATAACCTTTGCTCTCAAGGCTGATCGGATCTCGTCAACACTTCGATCTTTCCATCCCGAATACCCGTCCTTACTTAGCGGATAGAGCGGGAGGTTATCTTCGTGTGCAGTGAAGTCTTCAACCTTAGGTGCAGGGGATGCTGTGATGACATCCAGCTCTTGGGCAATCTGATGGCAGTATGAATCGAGGGGAAGATCATTGACATCATCACCAAAGGGGTTTTCGATTTCGCGGCCAATGGCAGCAATACCAAGAATGACGTATGCGGCGGCTTCGACATGTTAGTAGGTCGTGACGGTCGAGGAACCTATACTTACCAATTGATCCTGGGATTGAAACCCAGGATAGAGAGCCATAGAGTTGGAATGGAAGAACCAGCACATAAATCCAAGTAATCTGTGCAATCGATATAGTATACGCCGCTGGGAGAGGAGTGTCTAGGACGCTTTCTGTGCCAGTGACGACTTCAGTGAGAGAAGTCAGGCAGTTCACTAGGCTACCTAGTCAGAGTTTGGCTAGTCAAGTAGATATATTAATATCTGATCTCACCCGCTTGCGTCTGATAAACGCTCTGAGAAAGCGTGTCATTGGAGATACACTCGTTGATATAAACCGAGAGATGATTTAGGATCTCCAACGGCAGATGGCCTAGAGGCTTTTTTGCCCTTTTGATCTGTTTCCTTGGATTTGACTCGGCGAATGAAAGAGATAGGTATTCTCCAACGGATTTCCAAAGGGATTTCTGCGGAGGCACAAGGCGTTGGGTGTCGTGAGCCTCTTTGGCAAATGTATTCAGATGCCCCACTAAGCCTGCCAGATCATCATATCCAACATCTGGCTCGAAACGAAGTTTGTGCTTAAGTGCCACTGCAAAGGCCAGGATCAGATTTATTGCAGTCAACTTTTGGAGAAGGTCCTCTTTCCTAAGCTCTCCATCACGTTCGATTATATTGATCCAGATGGTACGCGCAAGGTTTCGGGATGACTGGTGGAGCAAAGTCCAATATCTTCGCCCAGAGGCCCATCTGCATTCTGTAAGTATTTTGAATGTATAGAATGGAATATTGCTACCTTTCATAGCCATTAGAGCTTTGGAATGAGAGCGACAGGCCCACAACGAGCCCGGTAACGGTCAGCAGTATGTTGTCAATTCCGACTAATAAAACTTGGTATTAGTTATACATTATCCACTGGCAACTTTCGGGTACAAAGGACCGACGATTGTAAATATATTTGCAGACTACAGTCACAGTCGTCGACCAAATTGCCACGAAAATAAGCGGAATAATCAATTTTGGCAACACACTGCCGTGCATTCGGAAGGCTATGGGCCATTTTGTGTGTTGGTTCATATCACGAGGTCCATGCTAGCACCATTATTAACCTCAATACTTTGATTTTGATTTTGATTTTTTTTTGATTTTCAAAAAAGAAAAAGGAAAAAAAGAGAGTGAGACAAAGAGAACCTTTCAGGGATAGACGTACAAAGTATCGAACCAATTCACTAGAGTTCCGGCGCCTCAGCGTGCAGTGAGTCTCTCGGGGATTCACTATATTTTCAACAAACGTAGGACGGGGGTGGTACGAGGTCCGGGAGCTAAAAGCTCCGGTGGCAGGTCGGCTTCTATGTCATGGTTGCAAAAGTGCACAGGCTCAGGCTCAGGCCCAGAACGAAGATCATGCAGAAGAACTGCAGGTTGTTCGTGTCTGCTCAATACTTTCATACCCGCAGCAGGTGCTGCAGTTTGTTCTTCAGTATCGAGTACAAGCACCATGCAAATTTGATTCGGAGACGATCGAAAATGTTGAATTTTCAGGAGTCGTTGAATAAGTTGGATCTGTTCTTTGGCTTTCTTTTTTTTTCGGCCTGCAACGCAGTGTGAATGAGCGAATGGCTCTGCAGATATGGTAATGAATGACTGAGGTGAATAGAGATAAATGAGTGACTAGGGTGAATGAAGATGAATGGAGAAATTATTGAGTTGAAGATAGGGAGCAGGATTATATGAGAGATCTGTCGTGTTTTCTGGGAAAACGGTTGATCACAGGCCCCACTACGCGTCAAATGTGTTCATCCTTTTTCTCGTTCCCTACAGATGCTTACAAAGCTTACCGGCATCTTTCTGGCTGAGAAATGAAAATTATCCAGATTATCAGCTACCCAATAAAGTGAATCTTCGCATGAAAATGCCAAATGGCAGATAGCATAGCTTCACACTGTTTATATTCCTGTCTCCGGCCCTTCATCGACTAAGCACTTCAGGAGCAGAAACTTCAAAACAGAGATCAGCACGGGAATTGAAATCCATGCAATAGAAATTACGGAGTATATGGGTCAGGCAACAGGCACAGGCCGGTCCAGCCTTTGTTGATCCCCCTTTTCCCCAATTTGCCGAAAATTCCAGAAATTCCACCTCCCACTTACCATCAAGCACTTTTAGTTCGAACAATTCTACAACTATATACATTCGAATTGAAGCAGGGCCTTCGCACAGCTTGATTTGGATCAATTTATGGTTACCTTTACTTTGAGTCTAAATGGGAGGAGGTGCACCTTGTATCCCAGTCAGTCAGGCAGGCACGCAAGCAGGCAGGAGATACTCTCCAACGTTGCCCAGGTGGGACTTTCATGGAGTTGGAGAATCCGATTGGTCTGTAAGGGCTGCCAAGTGGAGATACTCCGCCGTGATGTAACGACCGTCGATTGAAACACGGCATATTCAAGTCTTGGGGCATGGCCAGGCCGTAATAGCCAACCTGGATTTCAATCTTGCGTTATTTTTAAAATTACTGGCAAATATTGAATACTGCCATGAATATTGAGAGAGTTGGTGAAATGTATGATAATAATAACTGACTAACAAGGAGGGAGGTTGTGATAACATAGGCCGATCGTGAATGGCCTGAGGCATCCTGCCTCAACAAACATGAACCTATCCCAGGGCTTCAGTAAGTTGCTTGGCCTACTCATCCTTAGCAGCTGTACTAGCATTTATACTTTGATTTGTTGCAAGATCGCATTAAGTGAGCTCTTCGTAGTATCTCGAGTTTCTTGATTGACAGTTCCCTTGTTGGCCAACATGCAAATTTCATACAAAAACAGTTGCGGGATTTCAAGGCCTGGTCCCATTTCCCCGATCTCATGCTTGCAGAAATTGCTAGCTATGTAGACATTGTGATTAACACTACTTATGGTAATGCACGTCAATCCTATAATCATAGAGACTATGCCATCGACTATCTACAGACGTACAAATTTAATGAAACCATTTGTCTTGTGTAGCTTAGCTGCAGGTTTTGCGATCTATTACTTAGCAATACACGGTATTTGGATCTAGTGCTCTTAATTCAAAAGTAAGGATGAGTGGAAACTGTTTGGTTCATGATCTCTTCCATACAATCCCAGTGTTCCACAATGCAAGAGCCAATGGTTCTATAGACGTCATAAACATTGTATGGCGCCTGTCCATCCGTCAATGCCTTGATGTGAATTGTTGTGTACTCCAGGCCGACCATCACTCTCGCAACCTGTGCTTAATATTAGTGAATTGCTTTCTTAATAAGTTTCAGATAAGAACCAATTACCTCGAATGTATCCCCTCCTTCACTGAATAATGGATTCAGGGATTCAATAGCTTCGTCTCTCCCATCAAGGATATTCGGATTATGCTGAACATAATTCGCTGCAACATATTGATCAAAAGCCCCCTTGACATCCTTCTCGATGTAGAAAATATGTGCAAACCGATCCATTGCTTCCTGTAGGTCAGACTGGTCTAGGAAAGCGTGTGTGGTTGTCGGACAAATAAATTTTCTGATGTAATCTGTGTTGGCCCCTTCCGAACGAGGATAGAAGGCAGATGTGAGCCCGATAAATATCGTGCTCAAATGAAGAGCGAACAAGGTTAAGGATAGCATCATCTCCAAGACGATATGCTGCGAGCTGAATATGCCATGAGAAGAAAGTTTTAATTTTTCACTTACAGCCCTGGAATGTGCCTATTTCATTCTATTTATCTACCGACTGGTAGATAAATACTACTTGCCAAGTTGCCGAGTGGACTGGGCACGGGGTGGGAACTACTAGTAACTGCTAGTTAGTACCTAGTAGTATTGCTGCCGATGTGGACGCGACCGATGTGGGCGAAGTTTAACTAGTATACACCCGTGGACTGAGGCTTCTACCAGGAAAGGCCTAGGGGAAATGACATATCCCATACTAGCATTAAAATATATATATTATTACCTACCCACTACCGAGATCCAAACTAAAACTCGAAGGAACTTGAAGTGTACGTTGAAATTGGTATGTATATCCATATGGTATATAGGGGATACTGCTGGGTACCCCGCAAACAGTACCCTAGTTCCAAGGTTAGTAGCTTCAACTTCCAATTTTTATCCGCACCTGGGGCAAAGAAGAGAAATATGAAAGTTGCTCTTGTCCACGGGTAAGGGTGCTCTCGGTGGTAGCAGGCTATCTGAGGTGTATCCATGGATAAATATTCATATTGTAGTACTAGTAGGATTACAGTGCCCACGAGTACGCTACCCGCGGAGTGGTTGTTTGAAAAATCCCGCCGTCTGAGGATTCTCCACAACTTTCTCGGGGACTCGGGACAAATTCCGCAGTTGTACCCAGTTGTACCCATTTGCATCATAGGAAACCTTTGATTCACCGCCGAGGCCCGCCCGTCCCCTTCCTTCATCCGCTACATAGTCCGTCCACGTCTGCAGGTCCACAGTCCACAGCCCACCGCTCGCACTTCCTGCCAAAAGGAAATTGAACTACACAGACGCTAAGCTTTGCCATTCAGATAATACTCTCAAATGCCCCCCCCCCCAAAAATCCCGTCATCCCGTCATTGCGGTCCTGTACCAGGCCCTTGCGCCGCGTATGTATGACGGTGTTAGCAAACTGCGGAGATCGACGGTGTCCAAGTGGAGGGCGGGATGAGCATTCCGCACTCCGCGCCCTTCTTCGGCCAATGTTAATTGGTTTGAATGCAATCCCGCATATGTACTGGTAATGAACCGCGTCAAATAGGGTAACTCTGGCTATTGTCGGGTTCCCCGCGATTGATAATTTAAATACTTTGGAGGTTCCCCTTCTTCTAATTTCCCACACACTTCGCCGCCATGACTGTTCAAACGCTTGCCATTGCCGTGCTCACGGCCGTTTACCTTATCATCAGGTATCTGAATCGCACCGATGTCCCCAAGATTAAGGGCCTACCGGAGATCCCCGGTGTGCCCCTCTTCGGTAACCTGCTTCAACTTGGAGACCAACATGCGACCGTCACTGGGAAATGGGCAAAGAAGTTTGGCCCGGTCTTCCAAGTGCGCATGGGGAACAAGGTATGGAAGTTAACATGAACAACAATCGCCGAGGATAACACACTAACTATAACCCAGCGAATTGTCTTTGCTAACAGCTTCGAATCTGTGCGCCAACTTTGGATCAAAGACTCATCAGCTCTCATCTCGCGCCCGACCTTCCACACTTTCCACAGCGTTGTGTCTAGCTCCCAGGGATTCACCATCGGGACTTCCCCGTGGGATGAATCTTGCAAGCGTCGTCGGAAGGCCGCAGCGACGGCGTTGAATCGCCCTGCCGTGCAGTCATACATGCCAATCATTGATCTTGAAGCCAACTCAAGCATCAAGGAACTGTACCGCGATAGCAAGAATGGCACCGTCGACATTAATCCCACCGCCTACTTCCAGCGATTTGCTCTCAATACTAGTCTGACCCTAAACTATGGCTTCCGCATTGAAGGCAACGTGGATGATAAGCTTCTCAAAGAGATTGTTGATGTTGAGCGCGGAGTGTCCAACTTCCGTAGCACCTCCAACAACTGGCAGGACTACATTCCGCTATTGCGCATCTTCCCCAAGATGAACAACGAGGCGCAAGAATTCCGGGCTCGCCGTGATACGTACCTCACCTACCTTCTCAACATGCTGAAAGATCAAATTGAAAAGGGCACGGACAAACCGTGTATCACCGGAAACATTCTCAAAGACCCCGAGGCAAAGCTAAACGATGGTGAGTATTTGCAAACCATTCAAATTTTGTACTCTCAACATAGAAAAGTGTTTAACCGGTATCTTTAGCGGAGGTGAAATCGATCTGTTTGACTATGGTCTCTGCAGGCTTGGACACAGTCCCCGGCAATCTGATTATGGGCATTGCATACCTCGCATCCGAAGATGGTCAACGAATTCAGAAGAAGGCCTACGAAGAGATTATGAAAGTTTATCCGGACGGAGATGCCTGGGAGAAATGCTTGGTTGAGGAGAAGGTCCCCTATGTCACGGCCTTGGTCAAGGAAATTCTGCGATTCTGGACAGTCATTCCAATCTGTCTACCCCGAGAAAGCACCAAGGACATTGTGTGGAATGGTGCGACTATACCAGCTGGTACAACATTTTTCATGGTAAGCTTCTCACTCTGCTGTCGTCTTATTGTCTTATGACACTCTGCTGACATTCGTAAAGAATGCTTGGGCGGCGGATTACGATGAAGATCACTTTAAGGATGCAACTAAGTTTATTCCTGAGCGCTATCTCGATCTTGGCGAAGCACCTGGTACTCCACATTATGGTTATGGCGCTGGATCTCGCATGTGTGCTGGTTCACATCTCGCCAATCGCGAGCTGTTTACAGCCTTTGTCCGTCTGATCACCGCTTTTCACATGCATCCATCAAAGCAGACGATCGATCGACCTGTACTCAATGCGATCGACTGCAACGCCATTGCGACAGCTCTAACAACAGAGCCGAAGCCGTTCAAGGTGGGCTTCACGGCACGCGATCCGAAGAAATTGGAGCAGTGGATTGCCGAAAGCGACGAACGAACAAAAGATCTGTGATCTTTCCCGCATCAGCCTCATTCTTATTCTATTTTCTCTTCTTCTTCTTCTTCTTCTTTTTTTTCTCATCTCAGGGAAGGATAATGCATTGGACGGCAATTGTGTGTGCATGTGTGTATACTAGTTAGTGAGTTGTTCAAAGTGGTACAAGTGGCCCACAGTAGGAAGTCAAAATGCGTTGTAAAGAGGAGGAATAAAACAAGGACCTAAACGGATATAAATCGCATGTCATTACCTGAATAATCTTATCAATATAAGTGGCTAGCAATAGACAAAGTTCCCAAAATCCATCAATCCATAGTAAGCCAACTTGATGTAAACCCCGCCAAGTCCGCCAAGTCTGGGGAAAAGCGCCACCGCGCGGAATCCCCCGCACTTTTCGTCTTCGCCCTTTTTCAACCTCCGTCGTTGCTGCTATTTCCATTGCCATTGCTCATTTCCATTGCCATGCTAGTGCCAACACTTGTGCATCATCACCCAACTACCCCTGTTCCAAGGTCGTACATAATGGAGCTTCTGCAGACTTCTGCAGACCCTGAGTGGGACAAGGTCACCGCAATTGATGATCCGCAGGAGGAGAATGAGCCCGAGCGCCCGCGGAAGAAACGTCGCAAATACATTGCGAGAGCTTGGTATGCTGCCCCTGTGGCCATGCTTCCCTATAAATCGACCACACTCTCTAACCGGTAAATCAGCAATGAATGCAAGCGCCGAAAGATCAAGTGCAATGGGCAAGCTCCATGCCAGCGTTGCGGTCGACAGCGTCTTGAATGTGTTTACGTGGAGAATTCTCAGCGCGACGGTCTCGGTGAGCCCGAGTATGTTTGTCCACTACCGGGATGATGGCAAATGATATCGAGAAAAGCTAGCTAATCATGCCGACCGCAGAAATTTTGAGCGACTGTTTGATCAAATGAGATCGATGCAGGACCAAATTACCAATCTATCTGCCGCCGTCCGATCCATCGCCCACAGCGACAACTCGCCCATTGGCGCGGGGCGTCCGAGCATTGTTGGGCCGGGCGAATGGCATCCGATGGGCTCTTGTCTACACAACGAGGACTTCGGCGGGTGTCGACCGCTCGAGAAACTCCTTTCCAGGGCCCGACAACGTCTGCCTTTAGCTTCGATCTCGCTAAATCAAGCTTACTGCGTCGGGGTATTGTGGAGCATCAAGAGGAGGCAGCTGATGAGGGAGATCTCGCGCAAGAGCCATCTCCACTAGCATCCCCATCTGCTCAAAGCCGTGACATGGAGCTCCGTCAAACAGTAGACCCACTGTGGGCATTACCCAAAGCTGAAGCACTCCGACTCTGTCGAGTCTACGAAGAGGAGATGGGGATCATGTACCCAGTTTTAGAGCTTTCGGAGCTCCTGGACCAGGTCGATCTTCTCTATGGTCTCATGGACCGGACACTGGATTCAAGTATTCAATCACATGGAGCTCATGTCCTCGACCAGGAGGATATCTATATTCTTCGCCTCGTTTTTGCATGTGCGCTAACTGCGGAGGCCAGCGGGCGCAGTGAACAGGCCATCTCACTTTTTAACAGTGTGAGGGAGGTGCAGGATAGCTGTGTCTGGGGTCCGCCGGAGATTAAAAGCATCATTTTTCTTACTCTTGTGGTTTGTGAAAGCCTGGCACCACCTTGGTCTATGATACTGACAGTTTTGTAGTCAATATTCTATTTTCAAATGGACGAGGAGACACTAGCGTGGCGTACTATTGGAATTGTGGAACGCATGTCCCTGGAAAAGGGCCTGCACCGCCGAGAGACACTGAATCAACCTGCAATTCTAGCCGCTGGAAAGGACCGTATACTCCGACTCTTTTGGTCAATCTACATTCTCGACATGCGTTGGAGTTTTGGAACTGGCATGCCCTTCTCTCTAGAAGACAGCGATATTGACCCCTGGCTTCCGGAGCCCGAAGAGAAGACCCCATACCTTCGCGTGATGATTCGATATAGCCGTATGGCTGCCAAGGTATGGAAATTCATATCTGCTTTCAACAATACAAATGAAATCAAAAAAGACGAGATGAACTACCTGGACTGGCAAGTATTGAACTGGGCGCGCACAATCCCGGACTCATTACGGCTTGACCACCCCAGCACACCGGAGTCTGGTGCTGCTCTGGAAGGTCCACGAAGCTTCCGACGACTTCGTGCCTTGCTTTATCTGCGTGCGAATCAGCTGCGAATGCTCATACATCGACCGGTTCTACATACAGCTGGTCATATCGCCCGATATCCTGGCGAGGCCGAGACAGTTGTTGACATCGCAAAAGACACTATCAGATTCATTACCCGCCTCAATGAAACTTCTGATATATATCAGCTTCAGCAAGTGGCTTTCAATTGGTTTTTGGTCTCTGCGTTGGCCGTTCTGTTCCTCGCCGTTGCGCAAGCTCCGACTCAGTTCAGCAGCTCGTGTAAAGAGGAATTCTACTGGGCATTGGAGCTCGTCAAGGGATTCTCGACCAAATCGTACATCTCCCGGCGCCTCTGGAGGTCCATTCGAAGCCTTCGTAAGCTCGGTCCTGAGTTGGGTCTCGGGGTACAGAAGCTTCGACCAGTGAGTCGAACAGGTGTCGAAGATGGCACTGATGGAACATTGAATGCACATGGAACATCTCTACCGGAGACAGCCTCTAGCAACTACAGTCAAACTCCTCTGGATGGTGCACAGATGACCCAAGAGCTAATGGAGTGGTTCGAAGCGGTGGGAAATTTGGAAGATCAAATCATGGGAGTCGGGACCGGTCCGATGGTGGATGACGGTTCCTGGCAGCAGATGCCGAATGGTGACTTCATATTCGATTACGGGGCAGGGCTGTCGAGTGTTATGAAGGATTGCTTTTAGTGAGATGATGGTTCAGTGAAGCCTGGTTTCGCTATTTGACAAGTGTATTCTAAATAGTTGATGAAGATCCATTAATAGTTATATTTCTCATGAGCAAGCAGACGATATGACAGGCCCTCAGGTCGCAATTTAACACATTTCGTATATCTCACCAGTCGTAATTGTGACATTATGATTTGAGAACTGTCTCCATACCCCATCTAATAACTTCACGCCTAAACAATACCGGGTCGCAGTCTCTGCAAATCATTGACAGTCCAGTCGGTCACCAGCATGTGCCCTGGCTCATGCGCAAACACTACGCCATCTACTTTTGCACCAGCAGACTCGACTGCGATTTGTGGTGTCACTCCACAGGCCTTTGGAGGATAGTTAGTAGTAGTACTTCGATGGGCGATTACTTATATTAGTAGAACTTACCCAAAATACTGGGACTTCTCCCTCCTCAAATACCTGTGGCTCACCAAAGTCCGGTCGATCAATATCGGTGATACCAAGCTCCTTTGCCCCGTCCCACCCCCAGGCCACCGGCTCGCCATGAGTTGAAAGAAATGGCCGAGTGACCTCCCGCACTTGGGGAATCTGCTCCGGACGATATGGCCGCATAGAAACTATACAGCGACCACCTGTAAAAACTCCCGCTGGAAGAAGTGGGATAGTTGACCGGTACATGGCAACAATGGATTTGGACCTTTGGTGTCGTGGCTGTAAACCAGCTGCCGTCAACGCATCCTCGAAGGAAAACGAGCAGCCGATCAAAAAGCCGACGTGATCGGAAGTCCAAAGGTCGCAAATATCTCGACGACTTTCCATATATTGACCGTTTTCATAGATTCGATACTTGGGAAAATCAGTGCGAATGTCGAATTCAGGAGATTGGATACATCCGTCTGGCTGAACGGTGTGAGGATCCCCGGGAAACGAAGTTTTGCCTAGCAAGGGACAAGAGACTGGGTTACGCAGGCACAGGTCGTAGAAATCGGCAGCATATTTTGCTGGCAGAACGAGAAGATTAGCCTGCAGATATCCGGGCGCGACTCCTGCCGTGTTGGTGATGCGGTTCTCGCGACATAAGAGTCGAGCCTCTTGCGATGTAGCGATGCTTCCCATCATGGTTGAGATGCGTATAGTTCTGCAGAACTGATATACTTTCCGTCAATTGCCTCGGTTATTAAGACCGTCTCCATCTCCATCCCATGGCTTTGAGTTCGTATCTCCTCCGTCGGGTTCCACTTGCCGATAGCCTGGGGAAAGTCGGGGGTTCTCCGCATTTTGACACTTCGATCAATCATTATTGACCAATTAGAAGATGTACAAGGACGGGGGACTTCTCCTGCCCCAAGTAGCAGGGATCCGCAGGAAAAAGCGGAGTCAAAGGACGGCAGAAGTGGCAAATCAGGCCAGTGTTGGTGGTTACGTTCCCTTATCATCGCTTGTCGTCGGGCCGATCCAAATGTCCTTCGGCGGAGGAAATCCGGACTTTATCACAGCCCCAACCCAAGGAGTGCATTATCTTGATGATATCTCTGTAGAGATATGATATGATTATTCAACTAGCTGTTTTCAAGTAATTTATTCTACTTGACACTTCAATTTATTGTGTGGCTATCTAGTTGCTCCCCGCCCGTCCTGCCGCCCCGGTTAAAGGAGTATCCGACTTCAGTTCTTTCCTTTACATTTGATAAATTCACCTGTGGAGAGGATATCCCATATGCATACCGCTGATGCACAAGATGAGGTGGCCCCCGACGGGAGGCTCTCCGTTCAGAAAGAGATCGACCGTGAAATGGCGGACGAGACCTGCGCCGGTGAGGCCCTAGACGTGGTGCTTGATCCGCAAAAAGAGCAAAAGCTCTTAGTCAAATTGGATATGGCTTTTGTGCCCATCATCATGCTTACATATCTATCGTGTTTCTTGGATCGTTCGAATATCGGTACAGCCCGCACTGAACATTTTTCTTGCCCATGAATCGACAGCGGAAAACTGATCGAGTAACAGGAAATGTCAAGGTGGCCCACATGCCTGAGGATATCAACGCCTCAGATAGCCAATTCTCTATCGCAGTCTCGATCTTCTACGTTACATATGTGCTTTTCGAAGCTCCCTGGGCGGTCCTGATGAAAAAGTTGACCCCGCGCAATATTCTAACTGGTCTCTGCATTGTATGGTCTTTGACAACCATTTTCACGGGTTTTATTGAATCAGTGGGCTCGCTTTATGCGACGCGTCTGATTCTGGGTGCCTGTGAGGCGGGATTATTTCCATGCCTCAACCTATACCTGACAATGGTGTACCGACGTGAGGAGCAAGCGAAACGGGTATCCTATCTTATGAGCTGTGCAGCTATCTCGGGGGCAGTTGGCGGCCTTTTGGCTTATGGGCTATTGCATATGGATGGAATTGGGGGAAAGGCAGGATGGAGGTAAGCTGAACTGAAGTCTAGGAAAAAAGAGGAAGAGGATCTTGAAGCTGACGGGAATCAAAGATGGGTCTACATCATCGAAGGCCTCTTCAGTGCCGCATGCGCGATTCTGATCTGGTTCGGCCTGCCAAATAACCCAGCAGAGGCTTATTTCCTCAACGAAGAGGAGCGATGGATGATGCGTGTGCGGAATGAGCAGCGCCGCAAGTACATGGGCAGTGATAAATTCAGCTGGGAGGAGATGCGAATCGCTCTGCGCGATCCCAAACTCCTTTTTTCTGGAGTCATTCAATTCTGTCAAGATATCCTATTGTACGGATTCAGTACATTTTTGCCCACTATTTTGCAGGGCATGGGCTACGATTCGCTCATGAGCAACGTGTTGACTGTCCCGGTGTATATCTGGTCCGCGATCATCTTTATTGCCATTGCATTTTGTTCCGACCGTTACTCCAAATTTGCTTCCTATATCTTCACAACAAATGTCTTCGGCATTGTCGGGTATATCTTGCTACTCACGGTCGGGAACACTGCGGTGCAATACTTCGCAACCTTTTTAATTGGCATCACAACCTACACGGCAGTCGGTCTGAATGTTGCGTGGTTGAACGTCAACATCGCACCACAGTATCGGAGAGCCTTGGAGATTGGACTTCAGCAGACAATGGGAAACTGTGCCGGAATTGTGGCAGGTCAGGTATATCGACAGGCCCCATACGTACTTGGCAACGGTTTCTCGTTGGGCTCGCTGGCTGTGGCGCAAGTTGCTGTAACCGGATTCGGATTCTACTTGCGGCGCGAGAATAAGATGAAGGATCAAATTCTTAATGGCGAGAAGGAAGACACTCGTCGCGTTCAAACCGGTGACGGCTCTGTGGATTTCAAGTACATTTACTGAGTGCTGGTCCGTCGGGATACTAGGAATGAGGAAGTTATCAGAAGAACCTCGCTATCCAATTCTACAAATAGATGGTCATTGTTCATTATTTATCCGTCTTCATTAAGTTCAAGACGCACGTGGCTGTAGAGAGTGACTTTGTGCAGCCCATGGAACCAGCTGGCCAATACTTGCAAATCGAGGCAAATGACGCACACGACCGCAAAGGACGTATAGTATTAGTAGTAATAATAGTACTAGGACTAGTAGTAACTGGTAGTATTTAGAAGACCCCATAGTCACTCTGCGCTTGGCTAGAATTGCATTCATCTACATTATCACTGCTACCAGGTTTATCAATACCTTCAAGTTCTATCCAACACAGCCCACACAGCCCACACAGCCCGAGAGAAATACAAAATGGGTCTTTGCATGTCATTCCCACGTCGCCGACATCCCATGGGCATGGGAATGGGTATGGGTGGGTTCGGCCCGCCTCCTCGCAGACATCACTATGGAGGTGGAATGGGAATGGGAGGTTGCGGGCCCCCTCCACGTCGACACTATGGCGGTGGGATGGGTACGGGTGGCGGGGGTTTTGGACAAGGAGGCTGGGGAGGGGCCCCAGGCGGTGGTTATGGTGGTGGTTATGGCGGTGGTTATGGCGGTGGTTATGGCGGCAGGAGACCCGGAGGATTTGGTGGAGGCAGAGGACGACGATGCTAAAGTGAAGAACGATAATAGAGAATCATGGTCGCGATTTTCGAAAATGAGCTCTTTTCATAGATCATGATCTTTCCCAACCGTTCCACGATCGGGTCTAGCCGTGTGGGATGGCTCATCCGCATGAGGACCCTAACCTCCAGGGGCTTGGAATGCGGATGTGTCGGGGCGACTCGGAGTACAGGATGTGACACGGAATTTCGTACATGTGATACAGCTGGTCTGGCAGAATTGCCCGGAATGAAAGATCGAGGAGCCTGAGATTTGCCAGTGGAGGGAGATGCACAAATAATTAAAAGGCGATACCCAAGTCACGAGAATGATAGTTAGTATATAAAACTGCCAATGAGCCAAGTAGATCGGAGTTTCGCCGAGGCATGGAGGGGGAGTAGATCGATCGAATAGTATTCTGTGCTGCTCATTTCCCCATAAGTCAAGGGAGGTGAATTCTGTAGGTTGAGTGGGAGTGTAGAAGTGAAGAAGTGTAGAAGTGAAGAAGTGAAGAAGTGAAGAAGTGAAGTCACGAAGTCACGAAGTCACTGGATCTTCAAGTTCTCCCTCAACCACCTCCCCTCCGCTTCCACTTCCACTTCTACTTCCACACCACTCCTCCACTTCTCCACTTCTCTCAATATCCATGCAATCCATGAATTCCATGTATTCAGCACGCAGCCATGGCTGACCAGGCCACTCCCACTCGACAGAGGTCCACCTTCACTTATCGCCGCCCTCGACGCCGGCCAGCCCATTTGCGAACCAAGACGGGTTGTTTGACGTGTCAGTTTCTTTACTAGTTGTTCTTTATTTTTCATCGGCAGGGCCACTAATAACCTTGCAATCCAGGTCGTAAGAGAAAAAAGAAATGTGATGAGACTCTCGCCCAGTGCCTCAATTGTGCAAAGCAGAGACTGCCCTGCATCTGGCCATTCTCGACGGGTACAACTGAACAATCGCAACATCAGGATCAACATCAGGATCAACCTCAGAATCAACCTCAGGATCAACCTCAACCGGTTTCTTCATCTAAGCAAATTGCTACCTCCCTACGGAGATGGAGCAGCTCTGCGTTTCCCTCACCCGTGCCCCATTTGCCCTGGACTCATTCACCTGCAATCACCCCCGACAGCGGCCCCTTGTTTGATTTCCTCAGGTCAACCTTTCTTCCTCAGCTCATCCGTCCCGCCACCGATGGTACGGTCACTCATGGCTTAAATCGAGAAACCATGTTACTCGCTCTAGGCCACCCCTTCTGCATGCATGCCCTCCTCGCGTGTTGTGGTGCCGAGATGCCCCCGGGTGTCGAAAGCTTCCGTCACTTGGCTCGCTTCCACTACACCAGTGCGGTGGCTGGTCTACGCGATATACTCAATGATACCCATCTGGCACCCCGATGGGTCGTCGCCATGTTAACCATCATGATGCTGTGCATCTACGAGGTAAGACGGTCTGCCCAGAGATATCTCCTCTGCCTATTATTGTTTAGTTCGATCTTTCTAATTTTCTATCGCCTAGCGTGCAAAACCCAAAGGCTCATCAGGGGTCGGAATTCATCTAGCGGGAGCAGCCAAGCTAATCGCATTCTATTCTGGCGGTTCCGATTCCGATTCCGATTTCAACCGCGATGATGACCACCTAATTTCAAGAACAGAAGGCGCAATGCATCGCCTTGTGCGAGAATCCTTCATCTTTCATGTCGCGACGAGCTTACCTTTTCAGGAGAGCGATGCCCATCCCGCGGAGATCGAGACCGCTTTGTCCTTGGCGGAGCAGGCCATCAGCCAACATTTTCACCCCAACACCCTGTCCCATTCCGATTCCCCCGTTCTTGGATTCCCGCCACAGCTATTCCGATGCATTTATACGGTCTATCGTCTCTACCGCTCCTCGACCAGCCAGGGAGTCAGCATGGAAACCCGCCGGGCGCTCGATCGAGATTTACGGCAGTGGGACCAACGTATCAAGGCGCGCACCAAAGGGCCAGCCGAGGAGGATAATTCACCGAGAAGCAGCCGGGACAGAAAAGGTCTCCAAATTACCGCAACACCTCTTCCGCCGGGTGACAAGCTGATTGACTCCTGCTTGGGTCCGATGTTGTATATCCTTGGGTCTCGGCTACTACTCCGACGTATGCGAGGGCCGGGACAGGCTCAATTATCCCCGGCAATCGATCAATTACTCCCAGAAGGCATGGAGATGGTGCGCCAGCTGCAGCCTGATGAAGACTATTATGCCGACTACTATTGCTGGCCACTTCTTGCAATCGGAATGCATTTGAAATCTGCGCCCGACCGGGAGTTGTTGCTTCGCCAAGTGTGGGCGTTCTGGACAGCGACCAACAATGGAACAATGCGACGACTCGCCGACATGCTGGACTTTTTGTGGCGATGATCCTCGGTAAAGCGACCGTAAATCAGATTTCATTCGAATCGAATCCGATCATCGTTCTATCATCACCTCATCACCTCATCGGCGTCAACTCCGCTTCTGCGATTTTCGGCAGGTGGATTTGTCAGCCCGCCTTTTCTATAACAATCCGAGCCCATCGCACATCTGGCCGAGCTTCTTCTCCTGCATCAATTGAACATTTCCACATTCTGCACAGAGAAGGAGAAAAGAAAATGGGCTCGACTTTCCGTTCCCCTCATCTGATCAAGGCCGAGGGCATCCCTTACTTCACCCCCGCCAACAATGGCGGTGCTGCCTTGAATCCAGATGATCCCAATACGCCAACGCTGTTTCGCCCATTACAGATTCGCGATGTGAGCTTGAAGAATCGCATTATGGTCGCGCCCATGTGCACTTACTCCACGGAGTCAGACCCAAGCTCACCTGCGGTCGGTGCGCTGACCGACTTCCACATTGCCCATCTCGGCCATTTCGCTGCCAAGGGCGTGGGACTGGTTATCATCGAAGCATCCGCTGTCCAGCCGAATGGCCGAATCTCCCCCAACGACTCCGGTCTGTGGCAAGAAGGGACAGAATCCGAACAGTTCAAGGGCCTTCGTCGGGTGGCTGACTTCATACATAGTCAAGGCGCCAAGGTCGGCATTCAACTCGCTCACGCCGGTCGGAAAGCGAGTACGGTTGCTCCCTGGCTGTCTTCTGAGGGGAAGAGAAGTAGCATCAAGGCCGATGAAAGCGTCGGGGGCTGGCCGTCAAACGTGGTCGGGCCGTCCGGGGGTGAAGAGCATATCTGGGCGCCGGGCGATGTGAAGTATTGGCCACCTCGAGAGCTCAGCACCGCGGAAGTCGAAGAGGTCGTACGAGCTTTTGGAAGAAGTGCCAAGCTAGCCGTTCAAGCTGGTGTGGACCTGATCGAAATTCATGCCGCCCACGGCTACCTGCTTCATGAGTTCTTGAGCCCCGTTACCAATCGCCGTACCGACAAATACGGCGGCAGTTTCGAGAACCGAATCCGCATCGTCCAAGAAGTCGCGGCCGCCATTCGAGCTGCTGTCCCAGCCGGTACCCCATTGTTCCTCCGCATCAGCGCAACAGAGTGGCTAGAGGAACAACCGGTCGCTGCGCAGACTGGCAGCTGGGACATGCCATCCTCGGTTCGACTAGCAAAGCTACTCCCGGAGTTGGAGGTGGATCTTTTGGACGTGAGTTCCGGCGGGAATCACAAAGATCAGAGGCTTCAACCCCATACAAACTACCAAATTGACCTGGCGGGTGAGCTGCGCAAGGCGATCCGTGGAGCCGGTCAGACAACCTTGGTGGGAGCCGTCGGTTTTATCACGGAGGCCGACGCCGCCCGGCACATTGTGCAGGGCGCGGAGGAAGCCCTGGCCACCGAGTCTGTTCTTTCGGGCCAGGAACCTAAAGCGGACGCAGTCTTGATGGCCCGTCAATTCCTCCGCGAGCCAGAATGGGTGTACAACGCGGCCAAGCAGCTCAAGGTTCCCATTTCAGTTGCGTGGCAGTTCGCTCGCGGCGTGCTTTGAGATTGAGTTTAGGAATACGATGTATACATGGAGGGGTTCATAAAGACTCGGACTCTGGGCTATCGGGATAAATATAAACCGGACAATATATACGGTACTTCAATGAATAAACTCATTCAAATTAGTGGAGTTGAATTTGAAGGCTTCTGGAAAATGCAGGGGTTCTCCTATCTTCTCACCCGTCGTAACTAAATCTATCCAACCACAACAAAGGAGTCGCGCAGGTGAACGCCATACAGATCTTGGGACTGCCGATCTCTTTTACAGATACGAGTTCATTGGATCGAGGCATATCGCCAGAATTGCAGCTGGTCCACTGAAACACCCACACGCCCTCAACGTGCAGCGCCAAGCTAACAAGCTCCGTGGCCAAGCCCCGAGGTTACAGCGCAATCAAAACTCCAAACACGAAACACTCGCAGCGTGAGGAGGCGGGTAATCCAGAGGGTAGCCACTGGTTTAAAAGGAGTTGGCAATCATCCAAAAGCTATGATGAGGAGCAGAGAGCAAGAGAGAAAAAAAAAGGCCGAGCATTCTTTATTGGGGCTTGCGACAGCATTCCACTTCACTCCCAATTCTTCCTTGTTTTATTTCGAACTACCGTTCCAAGACTGAACAGCCAATATGGTGATGGCATCTATAACCGTAAAGGCTCTTGTTGCCCTCGCTTTGATCCAGTCGCCCCTGGTCGTTGGCATACCGACGGCTCCGGGGATTCCGTCGGCGTCGACAGCCAAAACCGAGCTGGGAGACCTGACCGTCGCTGCTCAGGGATCCCAAGATGGCTACTCTCGAGCCAAATTTCCTCATTGGATTTCCCAGGGGGAGGTAAGTTGTGAAACCCTGCTGTTGCGCATCTGGATCATTCTCACTTCGCTTTCCAGTGGCTGCGACACGCGCGATGTTGTGCTGAAGAGAGATGGCACGGGCGTGGTTCAAGATGATAGCTGCTCTGCTAGCAGTGGGAAATGGGTCTCCCCGTATGATGGAGCCACTTGGACTGCGGCCAGTGATCTGGACATTGACCATGTCGTGCCCTTGTCCAATGCCTGGAAGGTAGGCATCTCAACCCCTGGTTTTCTGGGTCCTGTTGGCTGGGAGTGCCAGTGGCTTGCTAACCAACCTTCTGATAGTCCGGTGCCTCTGAATGGACGACGGATGATCGACAAGCGTTTGCCAATGATCTCACTCATCCGCAGCTTTTGGCCGTCACGGACAACGTAAACTCGGCCAAGGGCGACAAGGGACCTGAAGAATGGAAGCCTCCTCTTGGTATGGATTTGGATTCGAATTTGAATTTAACGAGAAATCGAAGGATCCAGAATCATTTTATCTAACTTGAAGATTCGAATAGCATCGTATTACTGCACCTATGCGGAGATGTGGGTGAAGGTGAAATCGACATACAACTTGACCGTCACGACGGATGAAAAGTCGGCACTGGTGGACATGCTCGATACGTGCTAGGGGGGGAGAGTTGATCGATTTAATTTTTTGTGCCTAGGTCACTAGTATATACTAACTAACTATAGTTACTACTAGATAGTAGTTATATATCATTGGCAACTTGAATTTCACTTTCACTTTTTGAGCTAGACTGCACTTCAAGTTTACTCCTTCAAAGGACTACCAGTATGCACTGCACGGGAGATCTGCAGATGTGAAGAGATAGATCTAAAGAGACCCAAAGAGCTTGTCACATTGACAACAGGAACAGGAACAGTCCGGATACTAAGTATACTACCATTGATTCGCAGAGCACATGGTGAGGCTGTTGAATCCAATTGGCTGTGTATACTAAGGTACCCTATATCACCTATCCTTGGTATAGTTACTGGTATACTGGTATACTAGTATACCAACCAGGGCTAGACCAAGGCTAGACCAAGCTAGGCTACTTTAAGCTAACCTTAAATTTATGCCTATGCTTATGCTTATGCCTATGCTTATGCTTATGTACCTGGGGAAGGTGCTGCTAAGGTACTAGGTGCTACTGAGGAAGGTGCTACCATTCACTATCATACACACTGTCCACAAGGAAGGCACGACACCTTTGATAACCCCGGAACTTCCCCGGCGTGTTCCTGTCCAGCACTCTCATTGGTCCAGCTGAGCTAGCCATGGCTATACCATACAAGAGTGCTACTAGTAGTACTACTAGCAGTCACAGTCTACTGTATACACCACAGTCACGGGGTACTATATACTCTACTACGTTGCATCCTCTCTTAACATCCTCTCTCTCTCTCTCTCTCTCTTTCTCTCCCTTCTCATCTCTCCATCTCTCACTCCCATCACTCCCATGGAGAACTCTCCCAGTGACTCCATCATGAAGATGGACGATTCCAAGAATCACCAACATCACGAACAGGAAGATTGGGATCTCGAGCAGGCCCCCCAGCGCAAGTCCTCCGGCATCTTCAACGTCTTCATCGCTGGTCTCGCCCTCGCCAGTGATGGCTACAATGCTCATTCCAGTATGAATACCCTCCAGCCCAATGATCACCCCTCCACCTCAAGCTAATGATAATGATAATCATTCTAGTTGGCTACATGATGCCTCTCTTCACTCTTCTGTACGTCCATCTCCATCTCCATCTCATCACCCCCACTAACCCTCTCCAGCTACAAAGATGCCATGTCCTCCACCATCAAGTCTCGCCTCACCAACTCCTACTTGATCGGCGAGATCTTCGGCATGATCTTCTTCGGGGTCTTGATTGATCGCCTCGGTCGTCGAACCGGCATCCTGGCCACCACCCTTTTCTTGGTCCTTGGTTTGGTCTTGGCCACCGCTTCTCGCGGTTCCTCCCAGCTTGGGTATGATCCCAATCATTACAGCTAACACCGGAAATCCCACTAATTCAATTCAGAATGTTCTGGATGATGATCGTGGCTCGAGGTATTGCGGGCTTTGGAGCTGGCGGTGAGTATCCGGTCTGTGGAACCAGTGCCACGGAGGCTGCAGATGAGACCCATGGCCTGCGTCACCGTCGGGGATTTCTCGTCGCTATCACTACTGACACGGCCTTGGACCTGGTACGTATACCCCCAATTCTTGTGATCATGTAGTGACCCCTCGACTAACTTCATTTCCAGGGTGCCATTGTGGCCGGAATCGTCGCGGTCGTCGTTCTGGCCGCCTATAACCACCATAACTCCGAGGGCATCTGGCGCATTTGTTTTGGTTTGGGCTTCATCGTATGCAACTCTAAACCCCAGTTCCCCTTCCAGAGAGCCTCTTTCACCCGAATCCTAACCATTCCAGCTCCCGATCGCGGTTTGCTTTTTTCGAATCCGCATGCTCAACTCCACCCAATATCGGAAACATTCCATCAGGTCCAACTACCCCTACATGCTGGTTATCCGCCGCTACTGGAAGCCCATGCTCGGAACAGGTGAGAGAGAATCCCCGATGCCTTGTTGCTAGATAATCATGCTCACCATTTTCTCTTAGCCCTTGCCTGGTTTTGCTACGACTTCGTCACCTACCCATTCTCTCTCTTTTCCTCAACCATCGTGCAGCAGTTCAACCCCAAAAACACCGCCATTCAGAATGTTGGGTATGGAGTGAGTTCAGGAAGCGCCTTTCCTTACTATGATTTCTTTCTCTAACCACGAGGTCTGCAGACTGTCATCAATTGCTTCCAGCTCCCCGGTTGCTTTCTCGGCGGATACCTGATGGATCGGATTGGTCGCAAGCAGACCATGACCCTAGGTTTTTTCTTCTGGGCTGTCTGGGGATTCCTCATTGGAGGTTCCCTACATCCCATTCAGAGTGTCTTCCCACTCTTTGTAGTGATGTACGGTATTTTCCAGGCCCTGGGTGAGATGGGACCCGGAGTTGCAACATTCCTATGTGGCTCGGAATCATTCCCTACCCCCCTTCGAGGCCACTTCCTGGGATTTGCGGCCGCGGTTGGAAAGGCCGGTGCATCAATCGGCACGGAAGTGTTCACTCCTATTCAGCACCGCTTCCACACAACACAGAAAGGTCAACAGGCTGTCTTTCTCATCGGGTCTGCGTTCTGTATCGTCGGTGCCTTGATCACCTGGTTTCTCATCCCGGACATGTCCCGAGAACTTGAGACCGAGGATGCCCGTTTCAAGACATATCTGGAGGAGAATGGATACGATATCACTTCGTACGGAGAGGAGGAGTTGGTTGTCCAGCGGAAGTAGCGTTGGAATTCACTCTTTCGAGGAATCTCCCAAGCTGGGGCCTCGCATCGCGTCAAGTGGGTGGCGGAAGAGAAAAAGGAAAGGGGAAAGGGGAGGGGAAATGATGATGGCTAGCTGAATATCAAAAAGTCTTAACAGCATATCGAAGGTTAGGAGGAAACTTCTTTAATAATCTAGTCTTACTGTGTCTCGCAGATTCTCGAATTAACAGCCTTCTTCTACTGACCACTTCGAGTACAAGCACCAGCCGGCAGCCAACTAACGGAGACTGTCCGAATTTGACGCACGTCATTCCCAAGCTAAACTATCTCAGGATTAGCCAGTTTGATTTGGATCTGAATTTGAAACCTGCCCTTTTCAACATCTCGGCCGAGATTCTTATTCTTATCAAACCTGCCTGCCCCGGGCACATGGGAACCTTAGCCACAGCAGGATCTATGTTGCAAATAAAATCGAGCTAAGTCGCCATTTCTAAATCAAACGACGTCCAGAGCCGACTTTAACACAGCTCAATTAAGCTCTGCAGCAGTGGCAATTTCTTATCGTCGGCCGCTTTCATGATGGGCCATATAAAGGGAGTATTGCGTGCTCCTCGGCATCGTCGCCTATCAAATAACTTCAGCTCAAGAGGTTGAGAATGACTGCTTCATATTAGTGCCAATGTAGGAATATATTCATTTCCATTTGACCCTGACTAGATCAAAGCTCAGATCCGAGAATAAACAATGTTCTGCTGCAAGTATGAGTATTGGACTGGTGTGGACCCCCAATAGGCCAGGCCAAAAAGCCAAGACATCGCGATAGCGACTGACCCTGACGTGCTTTTTTACTTCGTGCTCGGCTCAAGCAAAATACTAGTAGTAATAAAAATCTCTTAAGAACGTAGTCGGGGCCTCTTGTCACGTTTGATTTTAATTTAAAAAAAATATATAAACTATAGATCATGGGTCGCATATCCCATCATTACACGTCTTGCCTGTTCCAGATTATCATCGTAGGCTTGGTTGCCTTCTGTGAACCGGGAATCTGGACAGCCTTAAACAATCTCGGAGCAGGAGGAAATGCCAGTGTGAGTCGTCCTTTAGTGTCTGTAACTGATATGGATCCCACTAACGACACCCTGGATAGCCCTTTTTAAACAACGCTGCCAATGCCTTGACATACGGACTCATGTCAGTGGGCTGCTTTCTTGCTGGTGGTGTGACCAACAAGATTACCGCCAAATGGACATTATTTATTGGGGCTGCGTTTTACACCCCTTATGCAGCCGGTTTGTATTGCAACAATCGTTACGGAAACCAGTGGTTTCTCCTGCTTGGAGCTGCTCTCTGCGGTATCGGGGCATCTCTGCTCTGGGCGAGCGAGGCCGCTATTGCGGTCGGATATCCGGAAGAGGAGAAGAGAGGAAGGTAAGACTGCATGCTTCCTTTATTATGGCTTTTTCTCGACTAATTATCGCTTTTAGATATGTCGGAATCTGGATGGGGATTCGGCAGATGGGTCCCTTGGTTGGTGGTGCCATCTCCCTTGCCATCAATGTCAATACTGCGCATACTGGCAAGGTCAGCTACAATACTTACCTTGGACTTGTCGCTATTTCCTCTCTTGGGGCTCCATTTGCTCTACTTCTATCCCAGCCACAAGATGTCATCCGGAGTAACGGCACCAAAATCCCTTACATGAAGAAGACGAGCTTAGCCATCGAAGCCCGTGCTATTTGGAAGCAACTCAAGAACAAATATATCCTGCTACTCATTCCGGTATTCCTGGCTGGTCAGTTTGGCACAACTTACCAAGGGAACTACTTGACAAGTATGAAATTTCCAATCCCCTTTCAAGGAGAGATTTTCTCTAACCATAATATCAGCATACTTCACCGTTCGTTCCAGAGCACTCGCTTCGTTCCTCACAGCTGTTGTTGGCGCATTGGCCAATATAACCACGGGTCTTGTTCTTGATCTCAATTACATCTCAAGAGGGGCACGATCCAAAGCTGTTTATCTCATTGTCTTGGTCTTCGTCACAGCAGCTTGGGTATGGAACGCTATCACCGAAACGAAGCTTTCCCGTATGGCTGAACCACCCGCCTTCGACTTGGGCGATGGTCCATTCTTCAACTCCGCTTTCACCGTCTACATGTTTTTCAAATTCTTCTACGAGGTCCTACAGACGTACATCTATTGGCTTATGGCCGAGGTGAAAGGCGCACAGGGCGACGGAGATATTGCGCGAACGACGGGGATTCTGCGATCGTGGGAATCGATCGGCAGCACTATTGCGTACGCAGTTGGCGCAACACACTGGTCAAACTTGAACCAAATGATCCTCGGATTTTCTTTATGGGGTCTCACCATTCCATTTACTCTCCTAGCGGTGTTTGGAAACTGGAATGTAGGTGGGGAAGTTGATGTGGGGGGTGTGGAGGGCGCAGAGGATGTGGAGGGACGAGCAGACACTAGCAGTGTTGAGACGGAGAGGGTTTTCGTCAGTCATGATAGTAAATTATAGAATATAACTACTAGACCGGGTGAAAATATAACTATGATGCTCATAACCCACATGGGACCTTGGATGTATTGACCATTACAAGTATGAGCAAGCTCCTTCCGTCGTCACCCTTTCAGTAAAATATACTCATTGCGTAGATGTATTCATTTGGAACGAGTTCATTCACCAAATTCATCTCAGAGTACTGCGATTTTGTGTATGAGTTACGCATCGGACCACTTTGGATGACCCCGCGTCATTTCCCCGCCCCCATCGGCTTTTTGCTAAACTAGTCGCAGATCTATACCACATAAATTATAGCATCGGCATGAGGGGAAATTCAAAGCCAAGAAGACTGTGGTTTGAACGTTTTGGATGCTACGGTTACTTTCACAGTGTAGTAGCATTGCTTTATTCAACTATAGTACAGCTGTGCTTGAGGGCCATAAAGCTTTCAATTTAGGCTATTATCTTTGATTATAGCTATTATACCCAAATAAAAGCATCATCTTGCCCTCTTATACAAAGCGAACGGTCTTTTGCACTTGATTTCCACGCTACTCTACGGTGACCAATAATGAGGATATCCGGAAAGATCGCCCCAACAATTCTATCTCTATGGATTTGCAATGCCGTCTCTCTTTGCCATGCAAAGATAAGTCCTTATGAAACGGCTTCGGATTCTTGGTCCCACGACCTTCAGGCCCGCAGCAATAGCTCATTGATACGAACTACCTTCCTGGAGAATCTGGTTTCAAATTTGACGGTTCCTGAGCTTGGTATGTACTTGGATTCGATTTGAGCTGTAACCTGTAGTGACAACTAACGTAATGCATTAGTTCTTCAATTACACCTCATGTTTGCAGACAACATCATTGGCCCGCACTCAGACAATGGCCTATATGGTACTTTCATAACCTAGTCTCCCATATCCAGGAAGTTCTTTACTTATTGGCCCAATTCCACAGATAAAGCACTAGAGGCAGCACCAGGAGCACCGATCGGAATCATCCATGACTGGTATCCGACCAACAAGTCTCAATATAATAAACTTCAAAAGCTCAATTCCGAGAAATCTCGAGTCGACATTCCATTCATGCAAACCGGAGAATGTCTACATGGAGTAGGATCGTTCAAACAGTCCATGTTTCCTCAGGCCATCGGAATGGCGGCGACTTTTGACACGGACCTTGTGTATAGAGTCGGTCAAGCTATTGCGACTGAGGCGCGATCGATTGGAATTCATGCTTGCTTTGCCCCCGTGCTAGATTTAGCTAAAGATCCTCGTTGGGGTCGTGTCCAAGGTAAGCAATCCATTCTCTTCTCACCGTAATTTCGCTTCTCTTCGTGTTTGGCTATTTGATTGAATTGAATTTTGATTTGCTCTATTTATCAGAGGATTGGGGAGAGGATATGGTTTTGACGTCTCACATGGGTGTCGCCTTTTCAAGCGGGTTGTCTAAGAACAGTAGTTGGTCAGATCCCGATGCCGTGATACCGGTGATGAAGGTGAATAAGATTGTCGCAAAAATGGACAAATTGCCTGGTTGAATCCTTCTAATTGTCTTTTCCAACATACAGCATTTTGCAGCTCATGGAAGTCCCCAAGGGGGTCATAACGCTGCTCCGTTCATGGGATACGGTACGCGTCAGGTTTTGCAAGAAATGCTTGTTCCATTCAAGGCAGCGGTGCAGCTTGGAGGCGTCAAAGGCGTGATGATGTGAGTTTTCTTCCTCTCTGCGTCATCAAACCAGGCTAAATAAAGACGAAAGGGCTTACAATGAGTTCGATGACGTTCCTTCCTCCGTAAATCCTATTCTATACGAGGCATTGGCAGATTGGGGATTTGACGGTCCGCTGATCTACATGTATACACTTCTTGAATCCAGCTAATACCATGTATAGGCTATATTACTGCGGATGATACAGGTAAGCTGGCTGGAATGAAATCCAGCTCATGTCAAAGGACGGCAAATTTATATGACTCACGCTATCCAGGACTTTCTGAATTATTGAATACGCACCTTGTTACTAGCTCCGTTGCAGATACGATTGCCCAATGGCATAACGCCGGTGGAATGGTTCAATTCTACGATTTTTCTCTTGAAGAATACATCAATGTTTGTCTCTAAATTACTATTCCGTGGCTTGTTCTAATTTTTCTCAACAGACAACGACTTCTTTGGTCGCGAATGGAACTCTGTCTATCGAAACACTGCGATCTTTAGCCAGTCGGGTTCTCGGTGTCAAGTATGACCTAGGGCTCTTTGAAAATCCCTACATTCCACAAAATATTGAGTCAGAGAACATTACTTTATCTCACGCACCTCTGACCCTTGAAGCTGCCCGTAAAAGCGTTGTGCTACTTGAAAACAAGAATTACACACTGCCTATAAACCCCGACAAGCAAAAAATCAAAAACATTGCCTTGGTTGGACCTTTCACAGATACATTCAACTATGGTGATTATTCTGGCCAGTGGGGAGGATATCCAGTGCGAAATGCCAGTACAATCCGGCAGAGTATCTCCGAACACCTTGCAACCCACTTTCCGGAGACCGACCTAGTAACTAGCTGGGGGGGCGAATTCGTGGACTTTCAATGGGCAGTACAATATCCCACCATATCTCCTATCTTCGGATGATACATACGGGGGTCTTTTGGCGACATATTATGCAGATACCAATTTTTCCGATGCAAAATTTCAACAACTTGAGACCCCAAGCCTCGACTGGGGTCTTTACCCGCCAAACGGGCTACCATCGAATAATTTCAGCGCCATATGGGAGGGAATGGTCAATGTTCCTGTTGAATATGACACACAAGGTTGGCTCGGCGTGGCTCTCTATGCTAATACATCAGCAAGACTCTACATTGACGGAAAACTTCATGTCGACGTGAAGCCAACGTCGACTGGAAACATTCTTTCTAATATACCCGGACTATCATATACTTCCACCAATGGAACAATGGCCCCCCCAGGGTCTTCGCCTTTCTTGTTCAAAAAGTCTGCAACTCATAAGATCAGACTTGAATACCAGGCATTGAACTATAACCAAAAATTTGAGAATCAAAATTCACTGAATGCTCAGGTACTTTTATTCTGGAATCTTGTTGACAACATTGATCCAGTAAAGCAGGTAAGTCCTCTTGAAGACGTGTACTATCTTCAAGGGATTTTCAAATACTAATTCCAGAAGGCCGTTCAAGTTGCCTCCGACTCCGACCTCATCATATTGGCAGTAGGAGCCAACTGGAATAGCGATGGGGAATCTGGAGACAGGGCAACCTTGGAGCTTTCATCAAATCAAAGTCTGTGTCAATTCTTCCCGTTTTCGAATCAAAAATTGAGAATCCACTAACATTTCTATTGTTTTTATTAGCCGAACTCGCAGATGCGATGTTTGCTTTGGGAAACCGGTGGTTCTTGTCCTGCAAGGCGGCCGCCCATTCGCGATTCCGGAGTATTACAACAAGTCAGCCGCCGTGTTGAATACTGTTGGTTCTCGAATGCTTTCGAATTCCAGACGTGGATGAGTCGCTGATTACATCCAGTTTTTTCCTGGTCAAGCAGGTGGCCAAGCGATTTCAGATGCATTATTTGGCTTGGTTTCGCCTGGTGGTCGGGTCCCCATCAGTGTTCCATATAGTGTTGGCACATTGCCAGCGTTCTACAAGTATGTTTCGTCGCCCAGTTCACTCTGATCTATGCTCACTCACCCATAAAGCTACAAACCCTCCGTTCCTCGAGATTACGTGGACATTCCTTATAATTCAATAGTAAGTCATGTGCAACCAAAAATGGAAATCCGGGCCCCAGAAAAGCTCTATGGCACTCATTTCGTACGTATCTTTAGTACCCGTTTGGCTATGGACTGTCATACACCAATTTTTCCACGTCCAAATTTCTTGTTTCGGCAATCAGCGGAGATACGGACATGCTTGAGTTCGGAGCTAGCTCAATTATAACATTTTCTGTCAACGTCAAGAACACTGGCCCAGTGGCAGGTGATTATGTTCCCCAGGTTTACTTGCTTGGTCGTGTCGCATCCATTGTGCGACCGGTCAAACAACTCGTCGCGTTTCATCGCGTCCATCTGCTTCCAGGTGAAGCAACCACAGTTGACATGACTCTTGATGTTTCCCGGTATCTGGTGGTCCTTGATCGAGAATATAATTGGATTGTGGAGCCAGGCGAGTATACCTTCGCGTTGCTCGAAAATGGAGGCAGCTCTGCAGATACATCGACAAATGTGACTCTCAACTGCGTCCACTAATCTAGAAGGGACCATCATATCGCTTTGATTTGTACGATTCTAGATGGTTACGTGTAAATAACCTCCACGAGGAAATTAAGAAATCTTGCTCCTCTACTGAACATACGGCCAGACTCTAATTATCTGTTGCCTTCGCGGCTTGGTAGCCAGTTTTGCATCGCAGTATTCAAAATAATGAATCCCCAAATTGAAGGACTGAAGACCGGAAACCCTCGCACCGCAGCCAATCTACTTGCCGAAAAATTGAGAAGAATAGTTGTTAAATTTTTGGATATTTCAATAGAACATGATTGTTCTAGCGGCTAGCCCGATACATACTAGTGCACTTAGGCAGAACGGACTTTGAATCTTTGAAGATTTTTGAAAGGTTGCGGGGCCGTTGGAGTTGGAGGTAGTTGGAGCTCAAGGAGACGCTGATTTTCAAGATTCCAGAAGCACCATGTATAATTAGCACATGTTTTAGAGCCCCGGCCCTGGAGGGAATTAATTTCTCAACGTTTTGTTTGGTTTTTTATGATATGAGATTAGTTACTATCTATCAAAAGATACTATTAAGGTTTCTAGCTCTTCAAACTTTAAAATTAATATATACTAGTGGTTGGTGATTCAAGTTCTTAGTAGGGGAATACTACTAGTATTAGAAGAAAATCAAGAATCCCAAGGGTTGAACATAAATCTTAATATAATTATACCCGGGGATAAATTTTACTCATCTGACGAGGGAAGAAAAGAGTGTGCCTAGGTGAGAGATGATGGATATCGAGATGGCTTCAACATGATGACCGAAAACGCGAAATGGCCTGCAGACAACCCTAAAAACTGTGAAGTAACGCCCGGCAATTTTAAAGTGGGAAATTAGCCGAGATTCCCCAAAGTCTGTGCATTAACCCCCACGGCACAATGTTGGAGGGAAAATGGACAGAAGCCCCAAGTGGAGCTCGAGGTGCGAATTCGGACCGCCAATCTTGATTTCGCACGTTTTCGCTCGGCATTGATGGGCTCGGCACTACAAATATGTATTCCTGAATAGTAAAGTGTGATAAGAGCATATCTGGTCACTGAAAAATTCAGCCTTTAGCTTGCGATACCCCTCTCACCTGCTCGAATACTTCATGTCCTAAACTAAACCTTCCTGCTCCGTGACCCGTCCGAGGTAAACAGTAGCGGAGCACATTACACATAGAAACCGGCTAAACGTCCTCACATTGTGCCGCAAAAAATTAGTAATCGCATTCATCCAAGATGGGGATGTGATTGTCAAAGTGGAGCTTGATACAGCCAAGCATTGCGCCTGATTGCTTGGTATCGGCACGCCGACCCCGCCGAACCTTTTGGTCCGGTGGCGACCCCGGTGTGTTCAATAATTATGGAGAAGAGGTTTCCAATCGGCTAAGGCCCGGTTCTGCCTTTAAATCCCACGCGACTCCTGCTTTACCGCGGAGAATCAAGGAGAGAGACACGCAGCAAAGGAGAAAAATTCAAATCCCTGGTTGTGGGTGCTGTCTTGTTCAACGCTCAACTTCCTACCTCGCCGGAGTCATGGCGTCACACGAGATCGAGCCTCAGATCGACCAAATGCAGGACACAGAGAAAAATTCAGAGTCCTTCCGCGAAACCTCCTCGTTGGTGTTGTCTGAAGAACAGGCCCTAGCAAAGGCGAGAAGCAGCCCGGACGATGCCCTCCCCATCATCGTGAGTTATGCCTTGGATGATCCCGACAACCCTCGTCACTGGCCGAAAATGAAGAAATGGTATATTACTTGTCTGGTCAGCATGCTCAATGTGTTCACGTATGTCCGATTGTGTTCTCTCCCTCTCCCATTGAAATGTCGGATCACTTGCTAACCACTGGAATCTTAGGACATGGTGTGCTGGAGGGATCTCATCGGGTGCCACGGGCATCCAAGAAGAATTTGGAGTGTCGTCCGAGATCACTACGCTTTGCCTATCGTTATACGTGCTGGGATATGCCATTGGTCCGGTTTTGCTTGCGCCACTCTCAGAATACTTCGGCCGACAGCCTGTCTACATCGTGTCATGGTTTCTTCTGTTTATTTTCCAGCTCCCACTCGCTTTGGCACCGAATATTGGAACCATCCTGGTCTGTCGATTCATTGCTGGGTGCGCTGGAGGTGCTCCGTTGACCAACACCGGTGGAAGTATTAGTGATCTCTGGGAACGCAACGAGAGTGGTGGCCCTATGGCTGTCTATGGCCTGAGCAGCACCTTTGGACCTCCAATGGCACTAGTCGTTACTGGATATATCGGGTTGAATTGTGGGTGGAGAATGATCTTCTGGGTTCTCATGGCCATGACGGGTGGTGTTTGGATTTTGCTGGTCCTCACGGTTCCTGAAACACGACACACCACCATCCTTCAGAAGAAGGCCAAACGAGTGTGCAAGCAGATGCGCAAGGAGAATCTGCGCTCGGCTGAATCTACTACAGACCTCCATGCGAGCGACCGTAAGGGTCTACATGAACTCTTTGCGATCACACTTACCCGCCCTTTCCGGTTCCTATTCTCCGAGCCCATTACTGCATTCTCGGCCATATACAATGGTTTTCTCTACGGTCTGGTCTACCTTTTCAACGAGGCCATTCCCTTGGTTTTCGGTGCCCCCAAGGGTCATCCATTCAACACTGGCCAGCAAGGGCTGGCATTCTTGGGCATGGCCATTGGGCCTATAATTGCATTCTGCCTGTACCCCTTGCAGGAAAGGTACTATCTCCGACGTGTTGCCGAGAACCAGGGCAGGGGCGTTCCGGAAGCTCGAATGTGGATGGCTCGTGTTGGTGCCATTCTGATCCCTATCAGTCTTTTCTGGTTTGGATGGACGAGCTATCGCTCCGTGCATTGGATCGTGCCCATCATCGCGTCCTCGTTTTTCGGTGCGGGTATTTACATTGTCATTTTGAGCATCCTAAACTATGTCGTGGATAGCTACCAGACATACTCGGCATCGGCCCTCGCCGGTGTGATTTTCATTCGCAATGTGGTCGGTGCCGGATTCCCTCTGTTTGCCACTCAGATGTATGAAAAACTGGACTACGAATGGGCCTCCAGTCTGTTGGGGTTCATTTCCATCTTGCTGGTTCCCATCCCGTTTATATTTTTCTACAAGGGTGAAGCCATTCGGCTGCGAAGCACATGGGCCCGGGAGCACTTTGATCAGAATGAGGACAGCCCTCACTGATTGACCTGATGCGAGAATCTTTGATTTATTCCCACATCCTGTACACATATTATCCAACTTCAACAGTGCTAGATTCTAACTCAATAATTTGAACTTGGAGTAAATACCATTCGAACGAAATAATCTTCAGATACTCTTGAGATATGTTGCATTCAATCTAGATTGTAGGTGTTCACCGGCTGTCATCCGAGGCTGGTCGGAATCTAGACTGTTTGCCCCGCCTCCGTAACCAACGATGAAGCTTTTATTGGGGTCCTTGTTTTGGCCTTCTCGGTAGTTCTCCACAAGCTTGCTAGGAACTGGAACTAGCTCTGTGCTGCCAACGGGCTGACAGAAAAAGGCTATGCTGTAACGATCCCGCGGTCCCGATTCTGAGCTCTCCGGTATCTCGCGAGGGAATACAACGCGGTGAATAGTTGATTTGAGCAACCCATCCGTCCAGTAACTCAACATATCGCCGATGTTGACTAATATTGGTGGAAATGGATATTTAACCAAGTCGCCTGGGTACACGGGACCGGGGCCCATGTTTGGTCCGGCGTTAAGATCTCTAGGCCCGGTTGTCCAGGACACTGAAATAGTAGCGTAATACTGCCGTAGTCAGAATGGGCACCAGCACGAATGTCCTTCTCCGGTCTGAATGACGAAACATCGGATGGGTAGTAGAGTAGCCGAAGCGAGTTTCCCGTTGAGCCTTTTGATGGATCATGGCGGCTAGTGAAAAAGTTTTCTGGTATCTTTTTGAGAATTAAAAAAAGTAAGCAGACTGGTCGTATCATTTCAGAATCTCGAAATTTACCTCGAGCCCTTGACTCAAGAGCTTTAGTATTTGAGCACATGTTTCATTGCATAATCGTGTAAAATGAGAAATCTCATTCTCCTGAGAAAGGAGGGTTGGAGGTAAGGCTTGTTGAACTTTTCCGTCGTCCAGTTCACCAATATTCAGCGCTCTGGAAGGAGATTTAGGCATAAAACGAATCAAAACGTCAAAAGGAGTCATACTCTTTGAAGTCTCCCCGCTAAGCAATTTTTTTAGTTGATCAATATGGTAAGCATAGCTCCTGGAACCGAATACCCACCTCGTGATTCTCCGGGTCTAGTGTTTCGACCTGCATGCCAACCCATCCCTTGTTCTAATATATCAATGACGATCATCAGCACGGATTCCCAGTATATCTCATGAGCAATTCGGCGGTTACGGGCTAATTTTAGCGAGGATGGCAAAATTCACAGCGTGGCTCAATCGCGTTGGGATACTAACATCGGATCCACGACGGTATGGCTCTTTTTCCGTTGAGGGTAATTTGAAAAATTCACTCGACTACGCGTATTCATCATCAGTACCCGAATCTTTGATTTAAAACGTCAAAAGGAGTGGAGACTTGGGGACGTAAAGCCCACGACTTCAGTGGTTTACTTGTTAGGGGCACTCCGGTCCAACGAACCATTTTGAACACTCGTTCGACGTCGCATTCTGTAAATTTCGACGTCCTACTATCAATATAGAGGAATCCATATTCGATGGCTGCATTTAACAATGCTTTACCCGCAGCGGCAGTGTCTGGATCCGAAAGATCAACCATAGGCAGTCTAATTGGGCTTGCCATATTGGTCGCCATTGTTTTTATTTCCTTCGGTTTGCTGTTCACTCCCACCCGCAAGTTGTTACGCAAGGCTTCAAGGTGATAGAACACTGAACCCTATATAGCCTTTTCGGCTCTTGTTGCTTGCGCAGAAAACGGACGACGCCGTCGACCGAGACGCTCGGCTCGATATTATCCAAGGGGATACGGTGAGTGGTGAAAATAAAAGAGGAATTTGGTCGACTAGCGAAGGTACCACATAATGAATGTGATTGATCATGTGCAAGTCTTGTATCACCTCAACTGCCAATGGAACTAGCTTCATTCGTAATATGAGCGATTTACCCCACAGTGGCCCTAGATCATGATTTTCAGAGACCCCTGTAACCATCGCATCTCATCTTGGTGGCACCTGTTGGACCTTCTAACTCCGTAGCTTTAATTTTTACCCATATCAATGGGTCTCGGTGGGCTCCGTACCAATAAAAACGCAAATCCGCCCCAGTCACCGGCCCCCCGCTCGGTCTCGGGCCCGAAATAGCGGAGACGCCGGCTGGACCAGGCCAAATCGGCATGGCTGGAAACTTAGAGACATGCAGACGACAAGCGAATACCTCAGAGTTCTGAAACAACCGAGGCGGTGCGGTGCGATTGATATGTGTGCCATGCGTAGTTAATACCGATAAGCAATCAAATCATTGAGTAATAAGCTTGTTTGGTAGGGATGAAGTTCATGCATGGTCGGTAACTTGAGCCTTCTTTCGAGATTAGTCCATCAACGCCACTACCTGGTGAAAGTACTTGACGGGCGCCTTCAGGTCCCACATCAAACTGAGGATCGGCGACCCCCGTGGGGCAATCCACCTTCTACAGTGGAGAGATTACTGATAAAAGGTGTCATTCCTTAGCCTTGACTTGTGATGTTTTCGTCCGTTGCTGATGCTTGAAATTATGGACAGTACACTGAATCGCGATGTGGAAAAGCGTGCTGGCGCAACAGAGCCACCGCTCTTCGATCATGAGTCAGGGGCCGTCCCTGCATCGAGTTTTGAGCACGGCAACTCTCTATACGCGAAGCTTCAAAGGTTGGGAGGCAAGATAAAGGTTGAACAAAGAGGCATTGAGAGGGTCCCGGAAGATGAGCGGACGGATAACTCTTACTGGAATATTGGATCAATGGTATTTCCATCCTAACTACCTTTTGAGTTGTCTCTAATCCGTGAAAATCAACCTAGTGGCTCGCTGCAAACATGGTCGTCCCTTCATTCACCATCGGAGTGTTGGGTCAACCATTGTTCAATCTAGGCTTCATTGATTCAGCTTTGATTATTATCTTCTTTAACTTTATTTCGGTCCTCACGGTCTGTTTCTTTTCTACTTTCGGTGCCGCCTTTGGGTTACGACAAATGGTTCTGTCTCGGTTTTGGTTTGGATGGTGGGGTGTCAAGCTCAGTATGTCATTTCCTCCAGGGTTTTAGTGGGATAGAGAGGAGCTAATGCATCGATCCAGTTGCCTTGTTCAATGTCCTAGCATGCCTCGGATGGGCCGCGGCAAATATTATTGTAGGAGCACAGCTCATCAATGCCGTGAATCCAGAAGTTCCAGGATATGCTGGGATTCTGATAATCGCCTTTTGCACCCTTGCGGTTGTCTTTTTCGGCTACAGGGTAGTTCATGCATATGAATACTGGAGCTGGATCCCAACATTTATCGTGTTTCTTGTCGTCCTGGGCGTTTTTGCCCACTCTGGAGACTTTGTCAATATTCCAATGAGAAGTGGCAGCATAGAGCTGGGTGCTGTACTATCCTATGGATCTACAGTATTCGGATTTGGAACCGGCTATACCAGCTTCGCGGCCGATTATACAGTCTATCAGCCAAGCGATCGACCTCGACGAAAGGTCTTCCTCGCTACCTGGCTAGGTATTTTCCCGACACTACTTTTCACGGAGCTGTTGGGTGCCGCCCTTGTGACGGCCATCACCTTGAATGGAGGTGATAATCCTTATAACGCAGGCTACCAAGACAATGGGGTAGGCGGCTTGTTAGGCGCCCTGTTATTTCCTCGGGTGGGGGGATTTGGCAAATTTTGTGTCATAATTTTGGCCTTGTCCATTGTCGCGAACAATTGTCCAAACATCTATTCAGTTTCTTTGACACTTATGGTCATGGGCCGCTGGACTCGCCATGTCCCTCGCTTTGTCTGGACCATAGTAGCAACGGCAATCTATATTGCGATTGCCATCCCCGGATACAGCCAATTCGAAGCTGTTCTGGAGAACTTCATGCATTTCATTGGATACTGGCTCGCAATCTATGAGGGCATTGCACTAACAGAACATTTTGTATTCCGACGCGGATTTTCTGGTTACCAACCCGAGGACTATGACAATCGTGATAAGCTGCCACCAGGAATTGCCGCCCTTCTTGCATTCTGTTGTGGAGTCGTGGGAATGGTGACAGGGATGAGTCAATCATGGTATGTTGGGCCAATCGCAAAATCAGCTGGGTTAGCGCCAGCTGGGGGAGATGTCGGATTTGAGCTTGGGTTTGCTTTTGCTGCATTCTCGTATGCGATACTAAGATTTATCGAGAAGGGATTTTTCAAGCGATAGTTCCAAGGTTGACTACATAGTAGGAATGGTTGGTTTAACAAAAAATACCATAATCATTTGATTCGAGTATCGCCGTACCTAGAAGAACTTTTATTTATCTTCAACGCTATCAAAGATCATCTCACCTGTTAAGTAACCTTCAACTGCAACCCTGAGTAGTATTCTTGAGGAGAACGACTAGGAAAGATGATACAACTAGGAGCTCACCCTATCTTTATAAATGGCTTTCTTTTTTTTATTCCATTATTCATTCGGTTGTATTGATTTTATACTTCGAAAGGCTTCTCATCTATATCATACATCGGGGAGCAAGCCAGCTTGCTCTTCCCCCGTAGCCATGGGCCATAAACCTTGAATATCACTGGAATCGGTATCATGATAACAGCAATACACCCTAGCAGTGTACCGGCCCATTGAACGCCAAGATTCTCCATCATTTGACGAGAGAATAATGGAAATGTACAGCCGATAGCAGAGCGCATAATAGTATTTGCCGCAATTGTAGATGCAGCCCTGGGAATTAATCAGCAAGCTTTTCCAGATATTCAATACTAACTCAGGGGAACATACAAAGCGGGATAGCAATCAACAATATAATTGAAGCATTGTAAAAATATTAGAAAGATTCCGGCACCTGTGAAAACCCCAGACGCCATAGGCGCCATCCAATGAATAGAGGAGGTATATCCGGTCCAACCGAACCTGTTATAATCAGCTGTGAGGTTCAGCTTCGGAAATATCAGATAGAAACTTGACTTACCAAAACATTCCGATGGCAAATACCACTGCTCCAAGAATAGCAGGCGGGAGTCGCCATTCAGGGACAGGCTTGTCGCCGTTTGAAGAAAGCTTGGATGCATAAGAGCGTTGGAGAAAGAGCATGAGAACACCGCCAAGGAGCTCACCGATAATGAGTCCTACAAATGCCAGTCCACCTACTCCCATGCTCATGTGATAAACTCCTTCGAATACCACTGGATAAGCCCCGAGCAGAGCATATATCAAGCCGTAGATAAAAGAGATATATAAGGATATCAGAAAAAGAATGGGCTCTGTGACCAACATAACAATTGGTCGCGTAAAGTTTGTGCAGATGAGTGCGATGAAATCTACCTCGACTTCATCTTGCTTGGCGTGGATTCCCCAATTCCGAGTTTGTCGGCGCAGGGTGGCTGCTTTTTGGACCAGGATGACCGGGGGATAAGTCTCGTCAAGGCATATAAGAGCTAGCATAAACCCTAGAAATACCATTATAGCCGAGACGTACATGATCCAGCGCCATCCCAAGGTGCTCATTTCAATAAATCCACCGATGAATGGCGCCGCAAAGGGTCCAATAAACACAGCCATGCAGAAGACCGACATTACCATTCCTCGCTGGGCATTATTAAACAAGTCTGCAAAGACAGCCGGAACAACCGAAATTGGACTTGCAGCAAATAGTCCCGCAAAGAACCGACATATCATGATAGTCTGCAAATCCTTCGCAGTAGCACATGCCACTGTAAAGATGCCACACCCAAGGATCCCTACTGAGAGCGGTCCACGTCTCCCAATAAGCTCTGACCCTGGCGCCCAGATAGTTGGACCAGCTGCGAATCCAAGAACATAAAGTGCGACGCCAAGGGATCCCACTTCCTTGCTTGTTTTAAATTCTTGAACAACTCCGGGGATGGCGGCTGAGAAGACGGCACTGGTAAAAGAGCAAGCGAATGTACTGTAACAGAGAATGGCAACAAGAGAAATCCTATTGGTCTATTAGAAAGACGTAACGAAAGCTTCAATTTTCAAGCGTACCTTTTAAGCGAAGACCAGTTATAAGGGTGCAACGGATCGTCTGTACCATCGAATTCCACCACGTATGCTTCAGAATCTGGAAGAAGAGGTGGATGCTCTTTTCCAGCTCCCATGGCGAGCCATTTCTCTCGTGGGGTAAGACCCCTTACAGAGCCAACGGTTGTTTTTTGCTGCAATCGATATGTGTTGATACGAGTAAGTTCGAGCTCGTCCAGGTGTCCAATCGTGTCGTTCGAAATCTCGCTTTCGGAATCATTGTCGTAATTAATATTCGTTTCAGGTTGATTATCATGATGTTTTGTCTCCAGGTCCGACATTTTGAAGTCAAATGACCATAATCAAAATTTGAGAGATCGCGAAGAGATGAGGGTGTGAATGTGAAGTCGAAATAAGTCGGGAGTACAGCCATATCATATGTTTCCCTGAAAAGCATATGTGGAGCAAATTTTCTTCATTCTTGCACTGGCGAGGTCTGGTAAACCCGCAATTGCCATCACAAATGGATCCTGATTCTATCAAATCAAGCCCATTTTAGACAGGAAAGACCATGAGAAGATCCATACTTTTCCGCTGTGGCTGATATAGGACTACGGGGTCCACTTTCTGGCTCCACATTCATCAGAATCTGCCAATCCAAGTCTCACCAGCCACTGGAAGCTCCTCGGTTATGGTCGGAGGTGTGGCTAAAATCCTGTCACCGTGGGCAGCCGATCATAGCCGTTATCTCTCAGGTTTCAGGCAAAATGCGTGATAAGATCCAGTATAATATGTTGAAAAGGAAAAATCTGATCCCCAGGGGTGCCGTGAAATCCACATATCGTCATTCATCACCCCAATTGGCCCGGCTCATCCCGCTCGGTTACAAGAAACCGAAGACATGCTTTTGGCGTCGGCACGGGAGTTTGTCATAGCCAGTCGGGCCGTGAAATATGTGATCAATCCCGGCATTGAGCGAAGTGGCCCATTTCTTAAGTGTCACTAGTAGGATAAATGATATCTTGAAGCAGATCGTACGGCCTCGCTTAGAAAGTGGAATGCAGACCGGCCAAACAACAAGATGTCGCGCGCCATTTTTCCATGTATTCTGTGCAATGCGCGTACTAGGAGGGGATGCATCAAAGAGAAGCAGAGAAAAAATGGAAGCAAAGAAAAGATTTTCGAAAGGCTAGTCCTCAGGCTGAGGGTGTTTCTATCCTTACTAGTAATTACCTGATATCTATCGAGACATACTCCCCACTACATTAGCTAAAAGCATTTTCTCTCTTAACCTTAGTGTACATGTAATAGAAGCCATAAAATCTAATTGCACGATGACCATAATGGAAGTTTTTTCGCCATGAGAAGGACCTCCATGAGTAGCGCCAACTTATAGCTGCACAAATGGACAGCCTTTGAAGCCCAATCCTTTCAGTTACATCGAGCTTTGTTCCTCTAACCTTTTACACAACTCTTTCAATCTCCAGCCAGCCCATTCAAAATCGATTGTTTCAAGATAAACTTGTCCACTGAGACGGACCCACCAAGATCCCTGAAATGGAAAGACAGGCATAAATGTGCTGTACTCTTTGATCATGGTTTTCTGCATCCAATCCGTCACGGTAGCACCGGGGAAATCGCCATCTTTGACAAGGCTACCTTTGCCAGAAGTCGGCCAATTCAGAGGAAGCAGTATGTTTATCATGAAGCATTTTGTCAACGTGCGTGCATCATTATCGAGAATCCGAGTTCCCAGGATGTTTGCCACTCTTAGTCCGCCTTCTCGGGCTAGTCGAGTGCAATAATCTCTGATCTTTCTTTCACCACCGCAGATGGTCTGTCGCCAACGAATTGCTTCAGCGACAGTTAAAAAAGCGAGATTATCGGTCGTTCCGATGAACTCAAAATTCGAGACAAACTCCGACCCATCACTAGCACAATTGGTGGTCGGCGGGGAATGAGGAATAAAGCCATGACTAGTTGGTAAGGTGCTTCGCATCATAGCTTGGTGGCGCTCTGGGACATAGAAAACCGCACATGCACGAGGTGTGAAAAGCCATTTATGGCAATTGCTGATAAAGAAGTCCGGGTCCAAAGAGGAGAGATTAAGCTCAATCTGACCAATACCATGGGCCCCGTCGATCAAACTCAACACTCCTTCTGTGCGGCAAAGAGCAGTGAGCTCCTCAAATGGAAGCCTGAGTCCGGGGTTGGAGGAGATTGTATCAAATATCGCGATCCGCGGACGGCGGCCTTGTTGACGAGACGTTTCAATCGCTCGTTGAAACCCGGAAACAATCTCGGCATCATCAACAGGATAGTTGAGGTGAATCTCCCTTGTGTGTACTTTCCCTTGATTGGCTTCGCATAGATAATTTGTGGTTTTACCACATGCGCCGTAGATTACATCCAATTGGAGAATTTCATCTCGTCCATCGGCATTCCAGACTATATTGCGCAAAACAGTATTGACTCCGGTCGTAGCATTGGCGACGAAGACAATAGTGGATAGAGGAGCATTAAGAAGCTCACTTGCAGCAACCCGTGATGCATTCAATAGTTCAGGGAAGCGGTACTTGATAAATGGGCATGGTGTAGCTTCGCATTCATCGCGCAGCCGATCTGCTAGGTCACGAATTGCTTTGGGAGATGCGCCAAATGACCCTAGGAATAAATGAGTTGTGAGGGGGCTTCAAGGCGATAGCCGGTGAGCAAACAAAGGATCTTACCATGATTCATATTTCTGTAGCCTGTCTTGAAAGAGAAATGCCTTCGCATTTCGTGCCCAAAGGGCGTCAGGGTTTCTTCGTGCCTGTCCGACATAATCTCGAACCCCTAAGACTCTGACTGGTTCGTTGATGTTGTCAAACTGCGGCGAGGAGTCGAGATACTCAACAAAAGAGCTCAAATTTTGAAAGCAGGGTACTTCCTATCGACTCTTCGGACCCCACTAAGCCGAGATGCGATAGGGATACTACCGTAAGATGCTACGTTTGGAAAAGTTTGGGAGGCTCGGACCCTGCAGTGGAGGCCGGACATCCTTGCGATGGCCGCCATAAGCGCCGATCACTTGGAGCTGTCGGGAATTACTCGAATGGCAGACATGATAAAAACGCAAAGGCCGCTCTGCACGAGCTCTTTGTGGGAGCACTAATCCGGGGTCGGCAAGTCAAGCGACTCGTTCGTTGGATCCTCCCCACGCTGTCCCCCACATTATCAAGGAGTCTTTATGGGTCCGTGCAGAAGTACTTAAGATAAGCAAAGGCGAAGTTCAAAGCTGCCCTGGGTCATCTGCGTGTATTTTGCTGTGGCAAACTCTTTTCGAGTGCTGGTATTATGAAATGACAACTCAAGGGAGCCCGAACTATGCAGAGGATGTGGAGGTGGGCAGTACGAAGGAATCAAATCCACAGCATGCCAGGGAGGTCGATGTCGATAAAGGCGTGACCGAATCTGCAAACGTGGGAACTCTTCAGCGGAGACTGAAATCACGACATGTCCAATTCCTCGCTCTCTCTGGTGCCATTGGTACTGGTTTGTTTGTGGGAACTGGCCAGGTTCTCTCGTTAGCCGGGCCTCTTTCAGCAACACTCGCCTATCTCATCACAGGATTCAATCTATACGCGGTCATAAACAGCATGGGTGAAATGGCGACATGGCTACCTCTTCCCGGTGCAGTCCCAGTTTACGCCTCGAGATTTGTTGATGAAGCGCTCGGGTTCACTCTGGGCTGGAACTATTGGTATCAATTTGCCATCGGGGTTCCAATTGAGATCAGCGCAGCTGCTCTCGTGATCGACTATTGGCCAAATGGAGTTGCTCCAGCTGTCTGGATTACAATTCTCTATGTGGCTATATTCGCAACCAACAGCCTTCCAGTACGCGTATATGGTGAACTGGAGTTCATTCTCGGATCTATCAAACTGACGACCATTATCGGATTGATGCTTTTGATGTTGATCATCACACTCGGCGGAGCCCCATCCCACGATCGCATTGGATTTCGCTATTGGGATAACCCGGGGCCGATGAATGAATATCTCGAGGATGGATCGCTCGGTCGCTTTTTGGCATTTTGGAAGGTCTTCATCCAAGCCACGTTTAGTTACGGTGGTAGTGAGATGGTGGTAGTCGCGGCCGGAGAGACCGAGAACCCTCGAAGAAACATTCCTAAGGCAGTGCGCAGGGTTTTCTGGAGAATTGCTATTTTCTACGTGGGCAGTGTTTTCCTCGTTGGCATGTGTGTTTCGTCGCGAGATCCTCGATTGCTGAACGCCATCGAATCCGGGGCTGATACTGCGGGTGCCAGTCCATTTGTGATTGCAATTGAGAATGGAGGGATCCCAGCTCTGCCTTCGATCATCAATGCAGTTGTTCTGACATCTGCTTTGTCTGCTGGAAACTCATTTTTCTATGCATCCACTCGAATTCTATACGCCACAGCATTGGACGGCAAGGCACCCCAAATCATGCGATACGAGAAATTTGGAGTTCCATATGTTTGCGTCGCAGTGACCGCAGCTCTGAGTCTGTTGGTCTATCTCAATGTCTCCGCCAGCTCAGCCGACGTCTTTTTCTGGATCAGCAACCTGAGTTCTGTTAGCACCTTGATTGTGTGGACTTCAATTGCGATCACGTATATCCGATTCCACCGAGGCCTGAAACATCATGGGATTTCGCGATCCTCGTTGCCCTTTAAGTCGCCATTTCAGCCTTTTATGGCATATTTTGCGGTCATGTTCTCATCTACCGTGGCTTTTTTTAATGGATTTGACGCCTTTTTCCCGGGACACTTCAGCGCCAAAACCTTTGTGCCTCCATATGTCGATATCCCTATCTTTCTGTGTCTGTTCTTGGGTTACAAGATAATCAAAAAGACTAAATTTGTCAAGATAGAGGATATGGATCTATGGTCTGGCAAAGAGGAGGCGGACCAGCTGGAATCGACATGGGAAGAGCCCAAGCCTCGAAATTTCCTAGGTGAGTACTACTCATTGAAGAGGATGAATACCACTCGTACCAAAAACAAAAAAAGGACTATACTGACAACATGGCAGAGAGAATATGGTTCTGGATTGCATAATGGGGGGTTGTGGAAATTCGGACATTTCTTTTGGACTCTTTGTTCCTTTGGCATAAAGCAGTCTGGGGCTCTGGGGGCATTTCGCTGTGTCCAAGAGCACAATTTTCGTGTCGACGAAGGGAAATATGCACAATTTTATGTATTTGATGATGGAATTTTTAGACAATTGTTCTTTATGTTCATTTGGAGAACAGTCTTCAAGCGTATTTCTGCCCTTCCTTTAAAGTTGCCACATCGTCGGCAGAAAATGTCGCATGACCGATACCAGATCGAGTTTCTTCGGGCTTCTTAACGACAACCCATTTCAACTTGCGGCGAGCCAGACCCAAAGGAAACTCGATATTTGGATCGGGGTCCTCTCCGCCTATGCTACATGGTTGACAGGCAGCGGCAATACTTGCGCTGCAGCAACCCGCCATCGGGATTGCAGTTGGGTATTTCATGAAAGAGAAAACTAACAAGAACACAATTATACCCCCGCAACCAAGACCAAGAGCGCTATAGAAAGGCTTTAGCCCGAAAAAAAGGCAGTTTGCGGTGGTGATTTGGCTGGATGTGCTATTGTTAACTCCGATTCCGTAAGTGTCAATCTGAATGATATTCAAGACTTCGGACACAAACCAATGAATCGCGGTGATGATCACAGATGAAGGAATTGCCCATTTGTATGGAATAGAGAGAAAATATGGAGCACGTTGCTCGGTGTTTGGAATAGGAGATGACACCCGAAGACTCTTGGCTGGTTTCTGGGATGCGGGTGAATAACCACACCATTCGTGCATGGCCAGCATTGTGGACATGATGTTATTCAGACCAAGGTATATGTAGGATACCCCGAGTTGTGGAAGGTTGACTACTAGGAAGAAAGCAAGTATGCGGCTTTTTCCCGGTAAATTGAATCCTTCGGAATTAGGAGAAGCAAAGGAGGACCAGGAGACTCCAAGGTCAGTCGTGGGTATGTTTCCAGATCCTCCGAATGCAATTATCGTGGCGCCCAGGGCTCCAATGCCTAGCATAGCAAGCCACAGAGCTATGATGATAATATATTGCCAGGTGCTTGGAGCACGCAGCCAACTAGCACGCCCACCATTCCAGATATCACCGCCGTTATTCAATAGTCGCGAACTCCACACCTGCGATCTGCCTGGCAAGATGCAAGATTGAAAATTATCGTAGCTTTTCTTGGATGCCAGGCATCTCCCTTTTGTGAATTTGTCAGGTTCTTCAAGGAATGACTGAATCGCATCACCAGTGGTCACCAAAGGAGGATGCGCCCGAGTAATAACCAAAGCCAGCAGACAAGCCCCACTTTTGATAATATTGCAAACGATAACAACAATCAAGAATGCAGGGATCATATTAACTTTGCACTTCTCATCGACCCTCTCTGAATAGCATTGGGTGATAGGCACGCTGGTCCAACTGTCGATGTAGGCCTGATTACTGTCCTTCCAAATAGAATCTCCCGGGTCTAAGATCCCGGGCTGAAATCGGTGCTCATGTGCCGCCAGGACTGCCGAGTGGCTGTTTACTCTCTGATATGATTTATCGGTAATCAGAAGAACATTTCGTCGGTCTTTGATGATAGTTTCAGAGTTGTAGGCGTCATAACAGGACCGAGGATCCAGTTCCTCGAGTTCTTCCATCTCCAGCGCCTTTTGGAGCTTCGTAATGATCTCGCGGTGCATTGATTCTTCAGATTCATGTTCATGCAGTGGAAGAGTCCAGTCTGCCCCAGTAATAAAGTTTTCAGTAGCGACGACTGCAAGGTAATCATTTGTGGTTATCGTTTCGAAAACAACCGCGTTCCAAAATGTATGCAATGGAAACGAGCTGACGATGAGAAGCAGTATAATACATAGTTTCTCTCGGGAAATGAAGAAGAGGTTTCGGATGTTGGGAGTTCCAATACTGAGCCATTTCTTTCGGTCATGGGCTACTTGGATCTCTTTGCGCGAAGGCGAGCTCAAACACTGGATGCCGAAGTTGCTATAGGCGAATAATATTGTGCTCAAAACGTTTATGACCACATGTGCAACAGTGTTCACTGTGCTCGTGGTCTGACAGCTTCCAGTGAAAAATGTCACCTTTCCATCAATCAATGGGTACTTGGCGGAAATGACAATCAGAGTGATAGCATTGATCAGAAGAATCAGTGTAGCCACAAAGGTACCACTGGTCAAAGTGAATTTCCAGGCCTCAAGGACCCATTCTTTCAATGATTGCTTGACATTTTCTGCGGTATCATCACCGATCTGGTGTTCAAGTTCGTCATTGCGAGACACCAGCGAAAGCTTCTGTTTCGGCATTTCGAGAAATCGGAGGTTGGAGATCACACCGATGGTCTTTCCCGGAGCATGGGCTTGAAAAAAAAAAATAGTCATGTCTAGGCTACTCGTACTCGGCAGAATACAATCAGCTATGTAGATGTACATGTAGTTAAGTTGGCTGAAAAGGGGCATCTAAAGTGGCTGGGTTTTGGCCCCTTGCTAAGGTGGACGATCAGAGGCACAGCCGCAAGGCGGTGGATTTGTGAAGATACGAGTACTAAAAATAAAACTCAAGATATTGTTAATCATTTCCTATTCAAAGTACAAAGCGGCTGGAAGAGGAAGAGTGGAGGACATCTGCACAAAGTATGAAGTAGAGAGTCTCCAGAGTCTAAGCCCTGCAGCTTGACTGTGTTTAACTGTGCTTAACTATAATTTGGCTATTCTTTAACTATCCTTTAACTATATTTTACTAATATTTTAACTAGCAGTAGTTCCTTGTATTTCTACTATTTACTAGTCCTCTCTGGAAACAACAACTCTCTTTCTCTTCTCTTGTCCACCCTCCCATCCATCCTATCTATGAACACTGTCTTCGATCTCCACTGATCCTTTCGGGAGATCTATCACACTGGCCACTGGCACTCCCACTGGCGTGTTTCACCACTCCTTTGCCCCACCGCAACTCTAACTGCCGTGCTCCTCCGTCCTCCGTCCTCCATATCTGAGTCTTCTCCGCATCAACCTTGCGACCTTAACTTCCTTTCTATATATACCTAGGCAGTTGCATCCAGCAACATGTCCCATCCCTTTCTACCGCTGTCGTCCCCACCAGATTCACCAGATTCACCAGGGTTGCGACCACGACGCCCCAGTCTAGACCCCGAACGCGAGATTCTCTCGACGCGTGGTCAACGCTTCCTCAATTTCCTACCCAGTCGCAACTCCAGCAGTGCCTTGCAGGAATTTCATGAGGACCCAACCTTCCTGCGTCGTGGGTCTCAGCTCATTGGACGTAGTAATCCCCGTTATGAATGGTGGGTGTGATGGCGCGCATCCCCCCGGGAAACCCCCAAGACAATTTGAAATCGCATGGACTGAACCTCTCTCTCTCTCTCCCCCCCTCAGGCAACGTTATTATCGCGCCCCAGATACACTCAAAGATCTCCCCACGCCAATGTATGCAGTTCCTTGCAGTCCCCACACTATACCTGGCTGACTGACCGACTGGTGAAAAGCCGCAAATATTACGAACGAAACAATGGCATCATCTCCCACTACCTTTATATCGACCGCCTCCTCGACTCGTCTCTCCCACACAATCTGATCAACGATTATGATAATTGCGGTCACTCTCACCCACCAAATCACATCGACTCGACCATCCCGGAATCGGAATTGGAATCGGATACCCCTCCAACTCGCGAGGCCGCGGCCGCCCCCCGCGTCAAGCGCACCCCACACAATCTCTATCGAATCCCCAATGAGACTGCCCCTTTGCTCAGCTCAAGTGCGAGATTGGATGAGGAGTCATGCGCCTACCATACTATGCCAGAGATGGAGTCTCACGAGGGACTATCTCCCGAGAAAGAGGAGCGTCTGATCAACCTGGCCATCCGTATCAACTTCGTCGCCAATGTCTTGCTCCTAGCTTCCAAAGTGGCCATCATGTATCTCACAAGCTCCATGTCCATGCTTGCCGGTCTCGTGGATGGCGTTCTGGACTTTTTGAGTACGGTCATCGTTTGGGTCACTACCGTCATGATCCGTCGACAAGATCGGAACCGTTTCCCAATCACTCGACGACGCCTCGAACCTCTCAGCGTGCTGATCTTCTCCGTCATCATGGTCACCTCCTTCTTCCAGGTAGGCTTGACCTCCATCAATCGGTTGATGGGGGAGGACCATACTCTGGTAGAACTGTCTCTCCCTTCCATCATCCTCATGGCGGCAACCGTGATCGTCAAACTTCTATGCTGGCTGTGGTGTCGCCTCATCCCTAGTCCTGGTGTTCAGGTCCTAGCCCAGGATGCTATGACGGATGTGATATTTAACACTTTCAGCATCATTTTCCCGTTAAGTATGTGCCCTCGCTCATCTCTCTTCTCTCGTCGCGACTAACCCATCACAGTTGGCTCCTTCGCTCGCCTCTGGTACCTCGACCCCCTGGGTGGCCTGTTCCTCTCTGTATATATCATGTGGAACTGGGGATCAACGGCGAATGAGTATATTAGACGACTAACTGGGGCCGCTGCCTCGCCCGATGATCACAGTATCCTACTTTACATGACGATCCGCTTTTCACGGGTTATCCAAAAGGTTCAAGATCTCAAGGCCTACTATGCCGGCGACAAACTCAATGTGGAAGTCGACTTGGTCGTGGATGAAAAGACGAGTCTGCGCGATGCTCACGATGTTGGAGAAAGTCTGCAGTACATGATCGAGAGTGTGCCTACTGTCGACCGAGCCTTTGTCCACTTGGATTATTATACCTGGAATCTCCCCAGCCATATGAACCAGCTGAATCGATAGAAGGTGGTTCAATTTCCTCTCGAGATCCCAAGACTGGGACAAATAGCAAGTATCACAGCCTATTTATATAAGAGAATACCCATTTTGAATTCCAACATCACTTTCCTCCTTGAATTTTGGGTTGATAGTCAAACCACCCATAGCAAGATTCAACTCATCATCCACGCCTATGCCCCATATCGAAGCAAGATACACTCGATACTGATACGAATCGCATTGATCTATATTGTACTCCTCTTCCTCCTCTTCCTCCACTTCTTCATTCTCCCTCTCCCCATCCACCTCCCACTTCATCTCCCCTCCAAACAAGAAAGTATCCGCATACCACGCTTTGAGATCAGAATCCAGTTCAAATCCCCGATCTTCCAAGCAACATCCACAACTCAGAGTGCAATGTCCAGCACCAAGTCGACCTGCCGAGCCCTTCTCTCGCTGACGACTAACACAACATCCACAATCCCTGCCACAACACCCACCTCGTCCCGCACAGTCATCCACCAGAACCTGATGCATAAACCATCTTGAATCAGACCTCCACTGCTCAAACCCTCTTTTCAGGGCACCAGAGCTACCCGAGAAGCAACTACACCAATACCACCAATTCCTTGCCTGGACCCAATTATCCTTTCTCAATTCTGCGATTTCTCTCAGAGCATCCTTGCCATCCTTGCGGCATAGAGCAATCTCCTTTTGACAGTTTTCCCGCAGTTAATGCTCAACCTGTAGAAATTCCACAAAGCTGTCGAAATCGGCTTTTCCTTGCTTGCTTGCCTGTTGCTCCTCTTTGTAGACATTGTGTCGATATCTTCGGAGAGATTTGAGGCATCCTTTCTTCTCTAGTCTAGCCTCCTCTTGTGTCCTATCGCCTGGTAGATGTAGCTTCGAGGTCACGGACCTGGGGGATCCCAGAGCTGGAGACTGACTCTTCATCCGATAAACCAGACATTTGGTAGATATCTGAGAAGCGACGGTTTACGGGGATTCGGGTTGGTTCGATACCTGCTAGCGAACTCGTGCTATTTTGTAGTAGATTCTCAGGTGAGGAAAATCTGCAGTAGTAGTGAACATAGGGCTCGTGATGACGTTGTATCAATGAAAAGCAACTTGAATTCTTACTAGTACTTTCAAACTATTTACTATCTACGTCATATTCAAAACACGAGAAATTAATTTTAGAACGTCATACATCAAGTCATTCATTTAATAGTACATATAGGGACAAAACAACAGTCCGAATCGGCAAAGCTGCCAAAATCATAGACAAGAGGTAATAGAGAAGAAGGTAGGAAGAGCAGAGCGTTCCACCTAGTATACATGAAACAAAACGTACGTTCCCAATAGAGAGAGAGACTAGTCAATTCATTTCATCAACCAATATGCGCCCTAGCGGGGCGGTTGCGACGATGGGTGCAGAGGCCCTGGCAGCCCACCCTGTGCCGAGCCCTGACTATAGACTCGGTGGTGATTCGGTGTAGAGACAGATTCGCCCAGCGAACCTGACCCCGGTGGCCGTTGGTGGAGGGGTGGCATGGCTCCTGACGACGAGGATGGGGGTGGAGGTGCGTAGCCCATGCCACTGCCGCTCACTGAATGGTGTAGAGCAGACGACGGGGAGTAAGGACGCCCTATTGTAGCCAGAGACGACATCGACCTACCCCCTTGGGCTTGCGGCGGCGGAGTGCTATGTCCATACTGCGGAGGTCCACCGGGCATGTTGACCGGGGTGGAGCGATGAGAGCCATTGACCAGAGTCTGGACATGTTGTTGGTAGCTCTGGCTGTGTGGCTGTGTCGCGGACGAGTTAGAAGATGCACCCGGGCCGTACGAGGACTGCGAGCCTGGTTGGCGAGGGGGCATTCCAAATAGACCCGGTGAAGATTGAGACGGTGTCGGGACTTCCCGCGAGCCGAACGCGGCACTGCTCGCTCGTGGCGGAGGTGAGCCGGTTCGGTAAGTTGAAGGCTGAGGTGGCATCTCACGAGAGCCAGACGCTCCTGGCTGACCAACGGGTGCTTGCCCAAATACATTCGGATAAGCAGGCCTCTGGGAAGCAGCAGGTGGCGGTGTCGGTGCGGGGGATGGGACAGGAAGACTGTTCAAGGAGCCGGGTCCTGCCTGGGCAGAGGCCGAGCCGAAGTGCGCAAAAGGACCTTGAGCAGCCGGGCGACCACTTGGCTGCGGTGCTGGCTGAGTCTGCGCAGGCGGACCACCTTGCTGTGCCCTGGGGTCAAATCGCGCCATCCAGTCGTTATTTGCCGGCGTCGCTGGTCCGCCAGTGGGAGGTCCGTAGCTGGAGTATTCAGCATAGCCACGCGATGGAGGATATTGGCCATGCTGCCCAAAGCCAGCCGGCTTGGTAGCCTCTTCAGGACGAGCAGAGCCTGCTTGTGGGTAGGCGGATCTTGATGGAGGGATGGAGCTCGATATAGGGGCAGAGGGTGCTTCACTGGCAAATCGCTTTCGGGGCTGAGGTTCTTCGGGCTCATCGTTGAGAATGCTCATGATATTAGAGCGTTTCGCTGGCACATGACGAGGAGCCTCGGGAGCGGGCGTCAGACTCGCTCGCGAGATATCTTTGACGGGAGACAAAACAGGTCGAGGGGAGTGGGACATGCCCATTGATTGACTTGAAAGGGGATAGAATTGTCTCTGGCCGAACGGGTCGCGATGCGTCGAGGGGATCTCGAGATCCGGTCGGGATAGCTGGGTTGGCGATCCAGGTTGGGTCAGGCTGGGGTGGCGAGAATGACTTGGGGGCAGGAGAGTAGGGGTCTGCGTGGACATATAGGCAGACTGGGCCATAGGGTCCATCCGAGCCAAGTCTGCAGGTAAGGGTGCACCGGAGCCATGGTGAGAAATATCTTGGGCCCGTGCAGATGAATGCGGCAATAGTGTCGAGTCCCTCCGGTCCTCGGTGAAGTATCCAAGTCGTGGGCCCGGCATACGAGATGGCGGTCCTGCCTGAGCTCGCATAGCGCGAGCAGCGTCGTCGCCAAGAGTGGCGGCCACAGGTGGCACAGCAGTGGCAGCGGATGCCTGTGCGAGTGTCGGATAGCGACCTGCGCTGCGCTCATTCTCCGATATTGGGCGACCATGGAGTGATACTGGCTGTGGAGACATCGCGAGAGGTTTACCCTTGGGGAACCGCGAGTCGTCTGCCTCGGCCATGAGCTCGCCGTGGGGTGCCAATGGACGAGGAACGATGGCAGATGGAGTCGCCTCGTAGCGCCGCTTTGGTGCTACACTGGGCACGGGAAGGGGACCGGTATCCTCTCCTCGTGATTTTTTGTCTTCTGCGGCTACTATTAAGTCTTCAAAATCCTTTTGACCCGAATCCAAACGGCGCTGGTAATAGTTTTTGACCTATGTCACGATTTATGTTAGACGAAAGAGAAAGAGAATAATAACGGACGAAACAGATGAGAGGCTTACCATCACTGTCGTCTTAGTTTTCATGAAATTTGAGATTCCTTCGAAATCGCGACCAAAATGTGACAACAGTCGCGGAAAGTCACGCTGCTCAGGCACCGACCAGTAGCTCGTCGGTTGCAGAGATCCATAGCCAGTGTCCGATGGCTTGGGCGCCATGATTGGCTCGGCTTCGGTGGATTCGAAGACATACATGCCTTCTTTGGCTCTTCCGCGGCCTGGCCTCGGGCGAGAGTTCGGAGGTAGACTGTCTTTGTCGACGACTTCCCGCTCTTGAGGGGGCCCAGGGGCACTCTCCATCATCACCTCCGGGCCCAATTCTGCACTTGGGAGAGCTGCAAGAGGAACGATCCCTGGCGGCGCGCCTTGGGCTTTGGGGTCTTGCTGTCCGGTCTTCACGCGTCTTTGGGTGCGAGCTCCTCCACGTCCACCACGTCGGCTAGTGGTGGTCTTCTCAATGGGCTCACCATCTTTGCCAGTTTGGCCTCGGCGAGCAGGGGCAACACCTTCGGAGTCATTCGAATCACCAAAAGTAGGTGCGGCAGCGCGCCGTGGTCGTCCTGTCTCTGTAATCTGGGGGGTCTCATCTTCACCATCGAGATCGGGTTTGACGACCCCAAGATCGGCAATAAGAGCGTTAGATTTGGGTCGAGTAGATCGAGTCTTTCCTCGGCCCCGACGACTCCACCGTTTGTTGAGCTTCGCCTTGTACTTGATCTCTTCTTTGGTGAGATAATAGTGCACGATGCACTGACGATAATCCCTACCTGGAAGGGACTCGGCAATCTTGCCCCATCTTTTGGGATGCGCCATGAAGGCATCGGTGAAGATGACATGCTCCTCCTTAGTGAAATCATTGGGCGGCGGCAGGAAGCCGAAGACATCCATAGCATGATGGACGTCGATTGTGTTATTGAAATCTTTATAGATACTGGCCTGTTCTTCAAATGGTTCAAACATGTCCGGGATAATGGCTTCCCGAGCCAAATCCGGACGTGCCGTCGCCTCCTTAGTGCGCCGACGCTCCAGTTCTTCTTGTGCGGATATTTCCGAGGCCTTGAGCGCGTTGAGAAAATCTAGCTCGCTGTTGCCCTTGTACCGGCGTCCCTCGCGACCTTCAGGGATGGCTGCAGGAGTGGGAGGAAGAGTCGGTGCTGGCGGTGTTGCGGGAGCCGGCGTGATCGGCTTCTTGTCCTTTCTGCGATCCATCTCCCATATATCCAGTCTCCAAGGTTTATAATAAGACATATATTCCTCTCGCAAAGCTGCATTCTTCTTTGCGATTTGCTTCTGCCGTTGGGAAAGCTCATTGCGGAACGCATCTTTGAAGAGGTCGAGGTGGGTAGCATTTTCATGGGTGACTTCCATATCAGAGATGGGAGTTGGTGGTCCCGAATTCAAAAAGGGAAGGCTATCAAGGGTGATCTCGTCGTGAGGGACGACAGGAGGAACGAACGTTTGGGGCACCGGGGACGGTTCTTTGGCGGGGGCGAATGAGACAACTCGCTCGTTGTTTTGCGTAAGTGTCGTTGCAGTGGGTCCTTGTTCGTCGTCCTCCACTGAAGGAAGCGGTTCAGAGGGCTGCTCCGATACTTCTTCTTGTGCGATCCTTCCGAGAATCTGGATGCGGCGCAAGAGAGCCAGAATAGTGGGATCTTCCAACGGCGAAGGGGGCAATTCCGCTCGAAGAGCTTGCATGTCCTTTTCGAATATTCGCTTCCGTTCCTCTAAATATTCCTGGGTGAAGAGGGCGTTTTCTTCCTCCTCCTCGTCGGTCGATTGCCCAAAGTCGTCGGGAATAACAGCGGGATTTTCCTTCTTTTCCGGTTGTTCGGGCTCACTCCAGGTCCTTCTTCGACTGTCGGCACGGGCGGCGGGCTGCTACGAATTGGCAGTCTCATTGAGGGCGAAGTTGGAGATATCGCTTTCACCGTCTCTGTGGCGGCCGTGATGGAGGGCTTGCCGCTATCCTGTTGGGTTGCTGCAGGTTCCGGAGTTTCGGTTCTTCTTTCTGGATGGGGTTTTTCCTTTTCGGCTGGAAGAATACTCTCGCGCTCCTCACTCTCCTTCTTCGGGGGCACGTTCGGAACAGATGGACCGCGACTGAAGCTGCGACGAACCCATGGTTTGTTGCTCTTGTTCGGTCCCCGTGGCGAAGGAGCTTGTCGTTGGTGATATGCTCGAGGGGCAGTTGGGATGTTTGCTGTGGACATTCGAGGAGAGATGGATGGCTCTTTCGATGAAGCCCGAGGACCTGGTGGAGGTAGTCGGGCAAAAGTTGGGGAAGACGTTATTGAACTTGGCTTCACGGGGATATGTGGTTCGGTTGGTCCTGACATTGAATCCCGCTTGGCCATTGCAGCCGGGGCAGTTGGGGGGGATCGATCAGATAGGTGCGTAGATGCCCGTACAGCACGAGCTGGCTCTTCCTGGGGTCGAATTGGATCTGCTTGCTGGGATGACTCTCTCCGTTCGGCCTTCGGACCAGTTGGAGGTTGCACCGAGAGAGCAGGTGGTCCGTCTGGGCGGTCTTTCTCTGCTTGTGCCGATGCATCGCTTCCTTTGCGTCCTTCTGGAGGTCCTTTGGCCGTTGGCAAAGTTGGGATGGGAGCTGACACAGATCCGAACGCAGGAACTTGGGGAGCTGACGGGGGAGGTGAATTTTGCTGAGGAACAGATGCCGGCTCTTTTGGCGGTTCCGGGCGAGAAGGGGGCTCTGAGCGTTCGCTATCACGTCGAGAGTCAGGGCCAGATGGGCCTGATAAGGTCGATCCTTTGCGGCTCTGGTCCAATGGTGGCTGATCCGACTGGCGATCAGGCGCAACAGGAGATGCCGCAGGGGGTATCGGATGCGCAATCGATGACGCCGGGCCTACAGAGCCACGATTGTCTGCTCGGGGAGGGGGGTGGTCTCCTCTTTTCCAGGGTTCCAATGGCCGATCCCGATCATCACGTTCAGGGCGGCGATTGTCCCAATCTTCTCGCCGATCGAATCGATCTCGTCGCTCGGTATCACGTTCGCGGTCTCTGTCCCGGTCTCGGTCGCGTATATCTCGCTCACGATCTCGATCTAGTAAACGGTCGGCAACGACGGGTGGGCGGTCTCGGTCCCCATCTCGATCTCGCTCACGATCAGGCACCCGGTCAGGTATCCGGTCAGGCAAGCGGTCAGGTAAACGTTCAGGTAGACGATCGGGTAAACGGTCGGGTAAACGATCAGGTAAACGATCCGGTAGTCGGTCAGGTAATCTGTCAGGTAAACGGTCGGGGATCCTGTCCCGTGCACGATCTCGCCATGCATCGCGAGATCGACTCCGTCGTCGAAACAAGTCACGATCATCGTGGAAAAGAGGGCGTCCTCGGCCTCGGCCACCTTCCCAGTCACCACGTCCACGTCCACGCATCGAGCCTCCACCACGGTGGTTGACAATAGGGGGTGGGCCATCAGGACCCCCGGATGAAGCTGAAAGGATACTGTCGCGGGAATTGCGTCGCATGCGCACCAAATCGAAATCGCGGCCTGGGGGTTCTCTCATGTCGCGAAAGTCGCGCGTGGGGGATCGTGAGCGACCTCGACCGAAGCCACCACGGTTGTCTCTGAGGTCAAAATCTCGGTCTCGGCGATTCCAATCGCGATCCATGTCCCGTCGAAATGGGGGACCATCGCGGTTGTCTCGAAAGTCGCGGTCTCGATCTCGATCTCGAAGGTCGCGATCCCGGTCTCGAAAGTCGCCTCGGCCATATCCACGGCCACGGCCACCGCCGCCACCACCATAAGGGCCACCTCGAGGAGAATCGACTAGAGCACGGGGGCCTCGCGGGGGTTCTCTGCCGAATGAAGGACTGGCATCGTCGAGGCCGCGGGCGCCTTGGGGACGGCGATCCCCAAAGCGCTGAGGAGAGCGGTCACGGGAGTTGAACCCGGAAGATGGAGGGAATCGCGATGCCATTACCAGGTCATGCTACGAGATGACCTGGGACCAGCAGTTAGTGACAGAACGGGGGGGGGGGCAGTAGTGGAGAATTGCGCATTGGAGGAATCGATATGGAACGAACGGGGACAGCTGCACGTGATGGTTCGCACGGGCCACAGCCCGGGGCGGACGTGTCAATGCAGAAAAGAGGTTGAGAAGGTTATGGAGAGAAGATGAGAAAGAAACCTGGAGGCCGTCCAATCTGTGTATGGGTAGTAGGTATATGTATAAGTCAGGAGGGGGCGAAGGTTGAAAGAAGGTGAAGCTTTGGAAAGGGGAGGAATGGAATTGGAGAAACTGCGGATTGGAAGATGTTTGAAGGTCAAGTGGAATTGGCTAAGCGCCGGGCCCGTGCGTGCGTGGGTCTGGGTATGCTACATGAGAGTATGAGTATAGTATACTCCGTAGGGTATAAAAGAGAATATTTAATTTTAATTTCAATTTAATTTTAACATCATATACGTAAGGGTTGGGATGCAGAATATAGTATCCATCTATTCAAATGCGAAGATCAGGTGCAAAAAGTATCTATCACAAAGGATAGAATAAAAATGCAATCCCCCGAGCCGGAATCGAGCCGGCGACCTTTCGGTTATATGTTTCCATTACAGCCGAACGCCATATCCAACTAGACCATCGGGGGTTTATTTGCGAAGAAAGGGGCTCAGCTTAGCATCCTCAACCACTGAGCTCTTACCTGCCAGTGGGTACTCTGAGATCTTACTACCCTGAGATCTTACTACTAGCACCATAATAATCTAACCTTTTTTGTTATAATAAAATATCACAATACAGTAATTTAAATAGTAAATCATAATGCATTAATTATGCCCTTTGATCTATAACTAAAATTATCGATCTTACAGCCTAGTAGGTTCAAATGCTTATACTTAGATAACCTTGGGAGGTTTACGGATGGTCAACTTGAATGTATAAATATCCAACAGCCTGAAACATCCACCACCTGTGCAGCAAGTAACCTTAGAACCAACTTGACCACAAGATTTAATTACACACCTAGGCAATACCCTAAGCCATCTTTTCCATGCCCAGTGCTTTAGATTGACTGCTAGTGTCAACAGGACATTCCACTATTTAATTTCTCGGGACCTTCCGAGTCATCCTCCAGGGCTATCATCCGCAGCGGAAGAACGCAGGCTTGCTTAGTATATCGGCAACTTGAAGGTACTAGTATTTCATTTTTCACAGACTTAAGTAGATCTCTTTAGCATAGCTGGAAGTTTCAACCAAGTCTAGCGCATAATTAACATAGGCTAGGATGACCCTATACATAGCAAAATCTTGAAATTAAGGTGGCTAACCTTAGTCTATAGTCTTGTGCCCTTGAGGGCCTCAATTATACTGGTAGTACAAGTCTTAGTTTTCTCTATATGGCTTGAGTGAGGCTGCGTACTTGGTTTCTAACAGTTGCCGGTCAGAGAAATATGATATGCAGTTAACTGGGTCAGTGTATGCCTAGGTGACTGTTACAAGTCTTTTTCCATAAGTATTACTGAAGAGAGTTTGCGTGTAGGACTAAGTCCTGGATCATCAGGCCAAATATTGAGCTAGCCTTCGCAAATAAACCCCCGATGGTCTAGTTGGATATGGCGTTCGGCTGTAATGGAAACATATAACCGAAAGGTCGCCGGCTCGATTCCGGCTCGGGGGATTGCATTCTTTTTTGTTTTTATCTTTTTCTACTCCATTCTAGTACTGTATTCTCCAGTATTTTCCACCAGTGGGATATGCGCAGTATTTACGGGGTCTCCACCTGATATTTCAGGCGGTAAGCGGGATCCCGTGCCTTCACCGTGACCACCACCACCACCACCACCACCACACCAACTGCTCAAGTCTTCCTGTCATTGTCATTGTCTTTGCCATTGCCAATTGCTCTCCGGCTTATCCCTCGCTTTGTTCACTTCAACTCTTTTTTTCTGTCCTTTCTCTACTTCAACTTACTCTGTCCACCTGCACCAAATCCAGCAGGCGGTCAACCACCACCTCAGGACCCCCAAAAAGCCACCCAATCTCGCCCATAACAAACGAGCGCACACCCTCGAATCTCATCGCTGGATAGTCATTGGCCTTCCTTTCTCGGATTCATTCCAGCTTCTTCTCCCTTTATCGGCTGACACGGCGTGGAACGGGGTTCCTCAGCCGTTGTCGCCCCAGGGGGCTTTGAACTTTGCTGACTAGCTGCGGAATCCGGGCATCAGGAGAACCAGGAGCTCCAGTGCTCGCCCGACTGCCTCGCCCTTGACGCTCCGTCCCACTTCCTCACTCGTCGCGACACCTTGTCTCGATCCCCTTTCCGCTGTGCATATGGCCTGGCAATCTCCGGCCATGTCTGGCATGGGCATGCCGGGGCAGATGGGTGATGGTTCCAATGGCGGACACCCGCAGGGGACTGAGTACACGCTACAGGGTGAGCATCTCTCGCTGTTCTTCACTTGGGCTTACCGGCAGCCATCTAACAATCATATCTAGGCGTGATGCGTTTCCTCCAGACCGAATGGCACCGACACGAACGCGACCGCAACGCCTGGGAGATTGAACGCGCCGAGATGAAGTCTCGCATCGGCCGGCTGGAGGGAGAGCTACGAACAAGCAAGCGACTGCACGAATCTTTGGGCAAACATGTTCGGTTAATGGAAGGCGCTTTGAAAAAGGAGCGTGAGAAGGTGAAGAAGCTCGCCAACAACGAGAAGCTCGAAGATATCCAAGACCCGAAGGATCTCGCGAGGGAGAGTATCAGCTTCTTAAAAGGTATGGCTGACCTTTGAATTGCGATCATGAAATGGACCAACCCCCACTGACTTTGATCTCACTAGCAAAACGATCTTCACCGTCTGCGGACACGAATGCCAATCTGGACGACCCCGAGAACGCCGTTTCCAATGAATTCCGCCAAGAAGATGAGCGAGACAAATCGCGCGTATACCTGTCAAGATGTGCGCAGGAGGTTGCGTACCATGTGATTCCTACATCCCACCCAGCTCCTGACCTCAGCGACCCGGATCTTTTGTACGGGAACCAGCAGCTCTCACAGCAGAACCTCGAGGAGGCATACATTCAACAGCAGCTACAGAAGACAAACCAGCGGCTAGTGCGCGAGGCAGGGCTTCCGAATCATCAGCCCTCCCCCGGCCAGTACGCAGAGAACGCTCGGATGCCAGCCCAGTTTGGACCTGGATCGGGATCGGTTCCTCGCGAGGCCCTGGAACGCCGGCAGATTGACTTGCACACCCCTGTCACTGCAGTTGACAATCGAAACCAAGTTTACGAACAGGGCCTAGTAGACGAGCGACCCATGAACCAGCAGCCACCCATTGAGACACAAGGCCCACAAGTAGCAGTCAAGGAGGATCTGCAGCCCCAAAACCCCACAGACGAGGGATGCGAAGATATGGATGGTTGGAATTTTGACGAACCCAGTGAAAAGGAAACCATTAACGAGTCCATACCGCCTCACCGTCCAGACACCGATGCATTCCCCAACGCCAACTTTGTTCATCCCAAGTCACCCTCTCGTGGAGGTTCTCTCTCCCACCGCAGGAAGAGCTCCGGCTCACGGCGCAAGAGTGATGGTGCGATTGAATCGCGGGATTTCGCTGCTGGTGCCAACCAACAAGACTCCTCTTTCAAGGTTCGATTTGCTCTTCGTGGCCACCTCGATGTCATACGCTCGGTCATATTCACTGGCGGTGGCAGTCCGTCGGAGCCGGAAATCTGCACTTGCAGTGATGATGGAACGATCAAACGTTGGATTATCCCCGCAACATATGGCACGTTCGGAGCCCAGGGTCCCAGCTCAAGCAACGACCTGGATATTGTCAGCTACTTCACCCACCGGGGTCACGTCGGTGCAGTCACATCATTAGCCGCTTGCTCGCCATCTCAAAGCATTTCCAATGGTGGACGAGCTTCCGGTGACGGCTGGGTGTTCTCAGGTGGACAGGATGCTAGCGTACGGGTGTGGGAGCGTGGAAGAGTTGACCCCAAGGCCACCTTGGATGGACATACGGACGCTGTATGGGCTCTCTGTGTGCTTCCGGGCACGACAGGCTCAGTTTATGGCGACTCAAGCAGTCACTATGGTGGCCAGGACAGAATCATGTTGGCCTCTGGTGCTGCTGATGGACGCATTCTCATCTGGGCAGTCACTCCCCCGCCTCTTGTTTCCTCTCCCCAAGCCGGATCACGACGTCAAGGTGGCAGCCGTCGTGCGAACTCGATCTCATCCGGATCCAACTTCCCCTCCTCCCCCCCAGCCTAGTGTCGCCACCAGCACTCCATTCAACTATACTCTCATCCATCATATCATGCGAACCGACGCTCCATCTCCGACATGTATTAGCCCTCTTTCCCTTGCTGGCGTGAACTTTGTGGTTTCCTACACCGATGCATCAATTCTTGTTTATGACACTCGAACTGGCGAAGAGATTGTGGGTATGGCTAGCCTTGAAACATACGACGGTACACCCTCAACCGGGGTGAACTCCGTGGTTGCTACAACCGTTGGATTCGACGGGTCGGCCAACCTGGACCCCAATCGCACCATGGCTGAAGAAGACGAAGTTGTGCATGGGGCTACTGGATCCAGCAGTGTGGAGGGTGTGGTTATCAGTGGCTACGAGGACCGATACATACGCTTTTTCGATGCCAACAGTGGTATGTGATCTTTAGCTTTCCAAGCATTTCCCAATTCCTCAACTTACTAACCGATCAATCGCAGGTCAATGCACGTACACGATGCTGGCCCACCCGGCCGCTATTGCCGCTTTGTCTCTGTCTCCCGATGGCCGTGAGCTTGTTTCTGCAGGCCATGACGCCAGTCTCCGTTTCTGGAACCTGGAGAAGCGAAGCTGTACCCAGGAACTGACTAGCCATCGTTTAATGCGCGGCGAAGGTGTCTGCGCCGTGGTCTGGAGCCGTGACGGACGCTGGGTCGTCAGTGGCGGCGGAGACGGTGTGGTCAAGGTCTTCTCCCGATGACCGGACGACGAGACGAAAGCCCTTGTATGATTTTCCTTTCTTCTTTCCCATCTTTTCTTCACCTTCTTCTTCTGTCTATTCTCTCACATCCACCTCCCTGTCTAAACCCGCGTTTGTGTATTTCCTCAGTCTTCTAGGCGTGATATGATACCATGAACCGGATGAGCGATTGGCCGGACCAGTTTCTTTCGAGCATTTGCAATGGTGTCCTATCCAGCTGTCTGGCATATGGTACTTTCTTCTACGTGGTTCATTTCTACTTCTTCTACCTACATGTGTACTTTTGATCCCGACACCGATAATATGCCGTCTTCGCAATGATTCCCCGCTGGCGTACGTTACTGATCTGATCCTTGTTTTCTCTCTCGCATCCTGCGATATGCTGTTGAGCCTCTTTGCTTCGTTGCATACCCGGTGTCCTTGCGATATGGTCTTGTTCGTTCCGATGTGAACAAGCTCTTCTTGCTCTGATCTATTGATATTTGGGATTGTCTCCCAGTTTGTCATCCGGAGCCGAGTGGCCCTCTGGATTTCTGCTAGATTCGTCAGGGTTGACCTTACGAGCTATACCCTTGGGAGGATCTGAATGTGGTGGTGGTGGTGATGGTGGTGGTGATGGTGGTGGTGATAGTGATGGTGTGTGTGTGCTCGTGTAAAACATTTGAAGTCCATATTCATATTTACAGTGATCCAAGATTCTTAAGGATATACCTAGTAGTATCCGTACTCAGGTAGCAGGATAATACTAAATGTCCAAAATAGCCAAATGGGTATTGAGTCTGGCTCTAAAAAATACTAGTAGCTCATTAAACATGTCACGAAATGGATGCAACCCTTTGCTTCAATCTCTTACTGAGATGCCTTGCAAGCATTCTTAAACAGAATTCTTAAGCGCAGCGCCTCTTGCTCATCCTTCAACCGCTGCTGCAAATAACCCTGAAGATCATCCCAGAAAGCCTCTGTCTCCAACAATTCCGGACCACTCGGTCCGACCGCTGCCTTGGGCGGCGAAACATCCCTCGTCTCTTCACCAGGCTGAGACTCCGCAACATCAATCGTCTTCGCACCACCAATAATCATCACACCAAACTCAACCTCCTTACCGCCCGCCAACATCTCTGGCTCATCAACCAGAATCTCCGCAACGGTCTTCCCCGTCCCACTAACCGGCTTGCGGTGATATAGGACCTTAATCTTATCAAGGGCAACGGGGTTCCCTTGCGCGTCAGTGACACGGCCGCGCACGGCGTCCCGGAGATCTTGCACTGTGGTGGTGGAAATTGGAGCATTGGGAATGATGAACTCTAGCGCGGGGTTGCGGGCAGATTTGACGCGGACATTGATGGACTTCGAGGAGCCTGGAGCTTGACTCTGCTTGACTTTCTTGGGCATCTCGGGATGCGGGGCTTGGAGGCGGGGGAGAGTGTACTATGATGGCGGAGAGAATGTGTCAGAAACGGCGAGCTTTTGTATATAGCTGAGATGATTATTCAATTAAAATCCAAATACTCACCGGCACACGCAGGCCAACCTGCTCTGGGTCAAAGACATGGTCTGCTCGGAGCTTGATAGGACGGGAGTCGAGCGTCGCGAGGAAGGATTTGGCAAATGTGGTTTCGGACATTATGCAGGTGTGAAGGGGTGTAATTCCCAGGTCTTGCAGCTTTAAAGATTCAAAGATTCTTCGTTTGTAGTTTGCAATTGCACTTGGCAGCTGAAAGTGGAGGTTGAAGTTGAAGTTGAAGTTGAGGTTGTCCGTTGGCTGCTGATGGAAGGGAGTTTCCGCCTGAGAAACCAGGCAGAAAATACACCGACCTCACCGCCCAAGCTGACAAATACTGCCGGCTCACACCGCTGGCCGAGAAAAAAAAAAGCCAAAGAAAAAAAAGTCGGCGGAGACCAAATCAACCCCAAGTGATACCCCAAACATAACACATTCGCCATGGGTGTTGGACGTCGCATGATCAAGCAGGGCCCTCCGCCCCCGCTCGATGAATCCAAGATTACCATGCTGAAGAAGCGCAAGGCCGGTGAGCCCGAAATTGCGCCCAAGGCTAAGGCCGCTCCTGCGAAGAAGCGCCGCAGATCCGATGCCGATGAACAGACCACTTCAAAAAAGGCCGCCCCAAAGAAGTCCAAGGCCAATGGTGCTCCCAATGGATCTGCTAAGGCAGACAAGAAGAAGGTTGTTGAGAAGAAGGTCGCCGAAAAGAAAAAGCCCGTTCCCATGTCAGACTCCGAAGATGAGGACGAGGAGATGGAAGAGATGGAGGATGATGAGTTTGGAGATCTGGATGGGGTCAGTGATGGATCTCTCGACAGCGATGAAGGTGTTGGACGGTTGTCGGATTTGGAGGATGATGATTCAGTGATTGACTCCGACGGGGACGACCACCCCCGCGAGACCATGTTCTCTGACGACGAAGATCTTTCCGACGCCGAAGAGCAGCTGACCGCCGCCAACATCGAGGGTCTGTCTCGAAAGCTCGATGCAGAGCAGCAGGCTGAAGCGGAGGAGGCTGAGCAGGAATTGCAGGAGGCCGCTATGCAAACAAACATCGCTGGTGATCGCCCTGATGTCTTTGGTCAGGATGGCCAGCCTGGTCTTGCGCCGGATCTGCAGCTGCTCCGTCAACGCATCACTGATACCATTCGAATTCTCGGTGATCTGAAGACCCTGGGTCAGGCCGATAAGTCGCGTGCCGACTACGTCGACCTTGTTCTCAACGATATCTGCACATACTACGGCTACACCCGCTACTTGGCCGAGAAGCTGTGGAACCTGTTCACCCCCATGGAAGCATTCGCCTTTTTCGAAGCCAACGAGACCCCTCGTCCTGTAGTCATCCGTACCAACACTCTGCGAACAAACCGTCGATCCCTCGCCCAGGCCCTCATCAACCGTGGCGTCGTTCTCGAGCCTGTGGGTAAATGGTCCAAGGTTGGACTGCAAGTTTTCGAATCCGCTGTCCCTCTGGGTGCCACCCCCGAGTATCTGGCCGGTCACTACATTCTCCAAGCCGCCTCTTCATTCCTCCCCGTCATGGCGCTGGCACCCCAGCCCAACGAGCGTGTTCTGGACATGGCCGCTGCCCCCGGTGGTAAGACTACCTACATGTCCGCCCTGATGCGCAACACCGGTACCGTCATCGCCAACGATGCCAGCAAGCCCCGTGCCAAGGGTCTGATCGGTAACATTCACCGTCTGGGCTGCAAGAACACCATCGTCACCAATATGGATGCCCGCACTGCTTTCCCCAAGGCTATCGGCGGATTCGACAGAGTTTTGCTCGATGCCCCCTGCACCGGTACCGGCGTTATCTCCAAGGATGCCGGTGTCAAGACCTCGAAGGATGAGCGCGATTTCCTCGCCATCCCCCACATGCAGCGTCAATTGCTCCTCGCCGCCATCGACTCTGTTGACCACTCTTCCAAGACCGGTGGATACATCGTGTATTCCACTTGCAGTGTCACCGTGGAGGAGAACGAGGCCGTTGTGCAGTACGTGCTGCGTAAGCGCCCCAACATCAAGATTGTCGACACTGGACTCGGCGACTTCGGCAGCCCCGGTTTCACCAGCTACATGGGCAAGAAGTTTGACGCAAAGATGACCATGACCCGCCGCTACTTCCCCCACCGCGAGAACGTCGATGGTTTCTACGTCTGCAAGCTGAAGAAGACCGGCCCGACCCCCGTTACCCAGTCGTCCACCACCGAGACCTCCACCAAGCCTGGCCGGGCTCGTTCCAGCTCGAAGACCGAATCAACCGACGACGAGTCGTATGACAAGACCCCTATTCTTGACGAAGATGGATCTGCTCAAGACCACGAAGGTGGATCTTTCGGTCCTTTCGCCGAGGACGAGGACCAAGAGCGTATCAACCGCGCTGAGCGCAATCGTCTCCGCCGCAAGGGTCTTAACCCCAAGGGTGTTCTGAACAAGCCTAAGAAGAACAAGGATGCCTCCGCTTTGAAGGATACCGAGAACCCCAAGGAGGAGAAGTCCGAGGCCAAGAAGCCCGAAGTAAAGAAGTCTGAGGCCAAGAAGCCCGAGGAGAAGAAGCCCGAAGCCGCAAAGAAGTCTTCCAACGAAGGCAAGGGTGAGAAGAAGACGGTGACAAAGGGAGAAGAGAAGAAGGAGAAGAAGTCGGCCAAGAAGTCGGCCAAGAAGTCGGCCAAATGATTGATCCATCCCTGACACCTTGAGCGTCTCTTGTGTATCTATTAGCTCTGATCTGATCTGACAAGTCGATAAAGATAAAAGCATCTTCTTTGGTGGGCGGCGCATTGGACATATACCTTGTTATGTTATGTTATGTTATGTTTTATCAATATTCTATTCTATTCAATATGAAACGATTCATTCAGCGTCAAATTACATAATTCAAATCTATAGATAATATGTTCTATGTCCACCGATGGTTCGGTGGCATGCATCAAAACGAAAAAGAAAAGCCCAATGGGAAACGAGAGGTCATCATCAAAAGTCTAAAATGCCAACGCATTGTCGCCAGGTCCATTCCCCAGCCACATTCGCTTGAAAAATTCAAGATCTGGATTGGATCCAATCCAATCCGGTTGCAAAACAGAAACAAATCCAACTCCAATCCCAACCTGCATATATACTCAATAAAACGCTGTCGTATATAGAACAATCTTATGTCCTGTAAATCTTAATAACACTCTTGATAGTCTTGCGGCAAATCGGGCAGAGGTCCACCTGTTTGGCGCAAGTCACGCAAGAGCAGACATGTCCACAGTCGCAGAAGACAGCATTCTGTTCTTCTGAGTAGCAGATTTGGCAAAGATCCGCCTCCTCATCAGCAACCTCCCAGTAACTGATACCCTTGCCGTGCCGCTTGCCATCCTTGTAGCCGCCAACGTACTTATTGCCGGTATTCTTTTCGATGTAAGTACCCTGTCCATGTCGCACATCTTCGACCCAGTCGCCGTCGTAGGTGTCACCGGTCGGATACTCCATCTTGCCTTGGCCGTGGCGCCGTCCGAAGACGAAATCACCCTCGTAAACAGTACCGGTGCCGGAGAAGTGTTTGCCCTTGCCGTGGTAATGCCCATTCAAGAAGTCGCCGCTATAGTAGTCGCTGGTGAAAGTAGCCTCAACAGTCTTGGTGCCAGTGAACCCCTGAATGGGGTGGTTCCGAGACTCGGCCCAGAGATACTGGACTAAGCGATCGGGACTGGAAAACAGGCCAGAGATGCCAAGCTCCATTCGCTTGTCATTTCTCAGCTTGTCTCCGACAATGATGCAAGATCCATGTGGGACAACCACGTCCATAAAGTTCTCAGCGGGCGAGATGGTGGTCACGGTGGTACCGTCGACTCGTTTCCACATCATGAAGTCTCGACGAATGGGCCATTGCAGGTGTTTTCGAATGGATGCCTTGACGTTGGTTTCCAGCTTAGAGAAGAAAGAGCCTACCGTCCGAAGTACCTGATTATCTGCATCAAACATCTGGATGAAGAAGTAGGTGTGTCCAACAGGCAGCTTTACTTCGGACTCTTCCGGACTAGCAGGGGCAGAAACAGGTGCCGATGACTCTGGCTGAGAAGCAGACGCGACAGTCTCGAATGCAGGCGAACTGGTTTCCGTTGAGCCAGCAGCAGTGTTCTCCGTGGGCTGGCTTTCCCGGGGGGTAGTCAGTAACGGGACAGGATCCGGATTCTCTTGTGAGACGGCGTCGTTCTCTGGTGCCAGGCTTGCCAGGGGTGGCTCGCTAGAAATAGAGTTGTCGTCGATGCGGCTGGTAGTAATGTCCTGCACAATACCTGCCGATGAACTAGCAATCGCATCTCCATCATTTACTGAAGAGCGCTCGGCGGTTTCTGAAATAGCCCGCTCAATGATAGAGTCTTCCAGTTTGTCTTCCTTGGTTGCTACAGATGGCGGGTCGGGGATAGCAAAGAATTTGGCATCTTCCTCAGAAATGGTTTCCATCCAAAAGCGCATGACACCACCCGACGAATCCAATGGAACATCAAGCTCAGTGATGAGATCGAAGGCGAGTGTAGGGCCGCACTGGGCACGGGTATGCCCAATGTGCCAGAGACGGACACGCTCGGCGCCAACTAATTCATCAGCAGCCGACTTCCCCGAAGCAATCTTCTTGCGAAGTTCCGCAATACTGGACGAACGAGGCAATGTCATATACATGACGCTATTCGTCGCCTTGGAGTGCGACATAAGGTCATAAGTATCGAACAGGCTGTTCAGTTGACCATACCCAGACGACGAATAGACCTCGACTTGCACGTCCGTCTTGCTCAGCTTCTCGTCAGCGACGGATGATGGTTGATATACCCCGCTCTCGTAGTAGTTCTTCAAGTCTTCCGAGACCTCCCAGGGACCCTGAGGCCCGGGCAGAATCTCCGACACCATGTCATTCCGCACATACATGACAACCACTGGAACATCGTGACCTTTCTTGTGATCAACCGTTTGAGATGGATCAATACCGAGATGTGGACCCATTGCCGTTTTCTGGGTCAGGCATTCAACTCGATTATCGCTGCCATCGTCAAATGCCAGCCATTTGGTACCCGGACCGGCCGGCCGGAGGATGCTGAAGAACTTGCCCGAGGTGCGACGACCACGGTGGACCACGTAGCCGTACAAGACATATTTGCTTCCTGAATCGTCAGTTACAAATGAAGCCAAGTCTAACTCCTCGTCCAGTTCCATTTTGTTGAACAATAATTGCCATCGCATCGCCTTATCGAGGGTGTGACGGCCGAGTTCAACGTGAAGAATAGGTGGAAGCGACCAGCTTCCGGGCTTTGAGCCCAGATAACCCTTCACAGCCTCACCAGTCGATTTATGTTCATCGGCCCGAACACAAATGCGAGAGTTGAAATCTGCTGGCAAAGTGTTGACATCCGTTAGGGAGGCTGGCGTCGGGCTGTCAAAAAGTTTGGCAAACTCCTTGCCTGCTTCGGTTCCCGCAAGTTCCAGTTCGAGTGTTCGTCGAAGGCGTTCCCAGAACTCAGAAACGTCACCCGAGAATTCACGCATGTTGCGCAGAATGGAAGTGATACCGTCTGTGTCAACATATTGGAGTGAATGGGTTCGACGTCGCTGGTGCCACAGGAGCTTCTGCAGGGCAGCACAGAGGGGCTTTGGCTTGATGTCACAGTTAGTCAGATGTTCGAGTACATCAACGCTCTGGATGATCTTGCAGAAAGGGGCGATATGCAGCCAAGAAGCCAGCCCAGCCACCTCAGCACTATGGTTGATCACCGAATCACCCAAGGGGCGGTATCCAGTCAGAGCCAGACTATCCCAGGTCGGTTCAGAATCGCTCGGGTGCCACCAGAGGGACCTGGTTGGATCATCGATCACCCGGATATACGCATCAAAAGATAGCGTGTCATTGTTCAACAAAGCGCGATGTTGACCCCGGCGACGGGTATGAATCTGATCCCAGGGCCCGTGGAAGTATGTCCACCCCCAGTCGAGGTTATGAGGGTTGAATTGATGACATGACGATTGCATCCAGCCTGTTCGAGGTTCTTCGGGGTTGTACACAATGACACCGATTTGTGCGGGAACCCGCCACGTTTTGGCAGCCTGGTTGGGGGTCTCGGGAGATGTGGCGGCGGAGTATTGTGCCCTGTAGGAGTCTATCCAGGCTCGAGAGTCATTGGTAGCCGGGGTACGAACATCAACATCCGGGGTGCTGTCGCTCAAAGCGGCGTTCGAAGTGGTTCGACGCACGGAGAATTCCGTCTCTGGAAGGCTCTCATCGGGATCAGGCATTGTCTCGGAACATTCAATGTAGATGCTTAAAGAGCCGACATTGTTTCCGCGCGGATAAAACTTGATTCGCCACCAATATCCACCAATGTAGGCGGCTGGAGAGCGCATCACCTTGTTCCGGTTGGGTGCTTCGGGGGTACCCGGACCCCCTTGATCTTCCAGGTGAGGCGAGCCTTCTCTCGAGGGGCATATTCGGGGTCTTCCAGATCGCGGAAGAAGTTGTTCTCCCAGTAAGGGTCTTTTGGATAGAAGCATGATCATCAGTCATCAATGGCCTTTTTGGACAAATTCATATTTGCCACTCGGGGAGGACAGGGAAAAACCTACAGTCACAGGCACTGTAATCGGCCTCAGCGCCATCAATTTCCTTCAATTCATCTTGACCTGGAGTTGTTGTGTCTTCCTCGATATCGGCCCAATAGGCATGTTCGATTTCTTCCCCGGGCTGCGCGGTGGGGGGTGGCGTTGGTGCCCGAGGATGTGAATTGGGTGCAGGGTCGGGTGCAGATTCGGGCTGCTCGACAGAGGAGGGTGAACTTTGCGGTGTAGCAGTCTCTGGGGGATTTGAGGGCGAATTCGTTGTTCTCTCGACCCCTGACTCAGGGATCAGGTTGTTATCGGTCACATTGGAGATGTCCATGATGGGATGGATGGAATGGGATCCGATGACCCTATGGGTATTTGAAATGACTGTTTTCTGGGAATCACCCAATTGATGCTCGCGAATAGAACTGTCCGTATAAACTGGTTGTTGAGGAGGTGCTGTCTTTGTCTCAGAAAGTGGAAGGTGAAAAGTGGATGTATATAGTGAGAGATAAGGGATTGGGCGAGGAGGGAACCCTAACCCAGTGTAGAGAGGGTCTAGAGAGGGTGGAGATGAAAGAGAGAGGAAGAGAGAGAGGGAGATGCAGAAGGAGAAAAGAACGAGAGAGAGTGAAAGTGAGAAGAAGAGAAAGAGAGAAAGTGTTGGAGGAAAAAGAAAAAAAAGGAAAAAACCCCAGGAGACTCACCACGATAAGGAAGGCACCGCCCACGCTGTCCATTTTAGGCCCGGGCCCGCTCTTTCCCCCGGACTGTCCCAAATCCCCCCAAAGTCACATGGTTCCAAGTCACCTGGTCTTCGTCGTCTGCCACTGTCACTTCTTCTCCTTCTTAGTCTTACGCCTTTGCTTTTACTCTTATTCTCTCCCCCATGATCTTTTCAATTGTGATGTCCCATTTCTCATGATATACTAGTATGAGTACTATTTGCTATGTACAATGCCTGCCTCAAACTCGCGGTGAAGCCCCCCCTCTGATCGGCAGTGGAGCCGCGATCCACCGCCGACAGCCAACCTTAAAATCCGATACCCCTTGGTCGATTTTTTCTCTCTCTCTTTCTCCTCGCCACTCTCGGTCCGCTTCCCATTTTCGCCACATATCTTGCGTGCTTACGGCACTTTCCCTGCCGACCCGTCCAATGGGATTAATCCCATCCGATCCAGTATGTCGGTCTGGCAAATCTGCACGGTAGACTGTAGACTGCCCCTTGCAAAAGATGTGGGGCCACGCGGCCACGGAGCCACGGGGCCTGGGGTTTGGGATTTGGGATTTGGGATTCAAAGAAATGGACTGTTCTCCATCTCGGTGCTGAAAGAAAATAAATGGGAAGAGTCCACATGCGGGGAAAAGATATGTAGAAACCGATCAACAAGAAGCACAGCAACAAATCCCCACACCCCTGATTGGCGACTCTCCCGTCGTGTGACAACGGATCCCTGCATCCCCATGCCACCATCTTCCTCTTAAGACGAGGTTTTGGTCTCGGTCTCGGTCTCAGGCTGTGCCTGCCCCTGCGCCTGGCCCTGTGCCCGCGCAAACGAGGCCGCCACAATCAGAGGGAAGACCACAGTGGCCTCGGCATACACCTTGACAGATTTGGCATCAACCTTGATCTTGCCCCAACTCACCGCCTCATCAGGCCGGGCGCCTGCATCGCTGCCGTCAAACTCCTGCGCCGTATTAATATAAACCGCGTGTTCGGCCCCGTTGCGCATCAAGCACGCGTTAGCAATGTGGTGCTTGACCACACCACCCCCCAGAATGATCATGCCAGCACGTGCCGCCCGCACGGCCATAGTATTGATCCGCCGCACATCGTCCACAATGTCCACGCGCAGTCGCTGCGGCGAGGACTTGAATGTGTGGAAGTAGAGCATATCCCCCAAAGACCCATCCGTCAAAGCCGGGCAGAAGACGGGAATATTATTGCGAGCCGCCCAGTAGAGTACGGAATCTTCGTTGTTGATCTCCCGTCCCAAGCGCTCGGTGATCCGGCTCGGCGTCCAGTGGAGTTCGTCTTCCTCGTCGCCTGTCTCCAGAGCCTTGCGTTTGGCAGCCTCCTGTTCCTCCAGCATGGTATCCAGAATCGGCACCACCCAGTCCTCAAAGGCACAGTAGTTGTTGTTAGGCACCAGCAAGTTGCCAATCCGGTTCAGTCCCTTCGCACGAAGACCCGCACCGGGAGTGCTAAATGAACCCAGGTAGGTCGGGGCGAGGCACTTGATCAGATCTTCTTCCACACCACCTGCGGTGGTCACGATCGCCGATACATGGTTATGCTTCACAAGGTAGCGTAGGGTATCTCGTAGTCCGGAGGAAATCAAATTCGATGTATAGCCGAGGAAGATGGTCGTTTTCGCGCCGGTCTCAGGGTTACGATAGGCGCGCTATAAACAAGAATGTGTGTCAGATACTATTCTTCGATTCTTCCAGATCATTGGCTTTGCAAGCCTTATATGCCTGGGATCATTCCTCTCGCAAACTTACCATCTCATTGATAATATGGGCAGCTTCGGCAACCGCACTACCCTGAAAGCCAGTGGAGGTCAGGTTCTCGACCAACTCGGCCACAGTAATATCACGTCCCTGGAATTTGTCAAAGTCGACACCCCGGACTTCTTGGGTTCCCTCTGGCATGGGTTCGGAGGCGAGGAGGACCGAGTCCATCGCGGAAGTGGGGGGTGCGGAGGTGCTCATGGTAATAAAAGAAGGGGGGGTTGGGGAGGGAGAAGCAAGAAGAGAGATGGGAGAAGTGAGGGAACTTGTGGATGATTGTCAATCGCACAAGATCGATTTCTGCTGTCGCCTTGAATTGAAGTGAATGGAGGGGTGGTGGTTTTTTTTTTTAGCGGGGAAGGCTTATCGCGGCTATCAACTTGAAGTATTGACACCTGAGGCCAAAACTCCGTGCGCAGCACGGAGTATGCATAAAGGAAAATTATCAATTATTAAGGTTAAAGTAAAAAAAAAGAGACAGAGAGGAAAAAATAAGAAGCAAAAAATGATCCTCAGATGAGGATTTGAAGAATGCAAGTCCCACAAACCGGAATCGAGCCGGTGACCTTTCGGTTATATGTATATATTACAGCCGAACGTGATATCCAACTACACCATCGCGGGTTTGATTGCGAAGGTTTGTTTGGAGTTTTGACTGACATAATTACAAGAGATCCAAAGAAGGAAAATATCAAAAAATAAGAAAAAAGAATGCAAGGTTCCCCCGAGCCGGAATCGAGCCGGCGACCTTTCGGTTATATGTTTCCATTACAGCCGAACGCCATATCCAACTAGACCATCGGGGGTTTAGTTGCGATGGCTGCCTCAATATTTGGATAGATATACCTCAATAGCTTCTAATTGAACATTCTTTTCCCGTTCTATAAGACTTATTAGAATACTTGAACTTAGTAACATACAATGTAGTAGATCAAAGGTCATTTCAGAGTATCCATTCATAGTAAAATTGATGATCCTGGTAATTATCTATGAATCTCGATTTGATATATACTAGTAGTACTAGTAATTACTAGTAGTATTAGAAGGACTAATCCTCGTATAAGGTGCTTACTCCTGGTTAATATATATCTTCCGAGAACCTCAGGCTTTGAGGTTGGAACTTGAATCCATGCCAGGTGGACAATACTCTACTAGGACTACTAGACACCTCGGTCAGCATGCCACATCAACTTCAACCGCCCACCTACTAATACTAGGCTGGCAGCTCGGGAGTCCTTGAAGGCAATCCTTCCAGTGAATTTCAAGTGGAAGAGAGCCCTGCTCCAACTTGAAGGTTGGGACTCGGACTCGGAGTTCAAGTTTTATTATTAATGCCCAGGTGCCCAGGTGGGACCATTGATCTACTACTAGTACTAGAAATACCGTCGGATGTCAGTTTTAAGCTTGCTCCAGGGCTGATATTCGTGTCTTCGTAAATTATTAATCACAACGCTATGCATGCTGCATCTAGAATTCTAATTCTTCCACCTCCATACCGCAGTCTACGCATGTCTTGACTCCGATACCTGTCTCTGGATTCTCCACCAATCGCCCCCACTGGTGCACATGCTTCCGGTTGCTGGCCAGATCATCACCGAACTGACCTCCAGAAGCTCCCTGGCGATTCCGCCGATAAGCCTCCACACGGGTCCGTTTCTTGAGATCTTGCAGCTTGGTCTTGAACTTGGCTTCTCGTCGTTTCTTCTTGTCTTCCTCACGCCGCTCAAACTCTGCATCTAGAGCCTCGGTCGAGCCCCATTTTTTGGAGGAAAATGCGTATTCTTCAACCTGGTAGCGGAGGTATAACATCATGTTGTTCCACGTGGATTTATGTGGATTGGGCTTCTCTAGCCGAGGGAGTAGTTCCTCGTCTCGTAGCTCAGCTTCAGGATGAGTGTTAGAGATGCTTGTTCAGTATATGGATCTTGATGAGACTCACGATCCGTCAAAAGATAATCCTCCTTTGCCTCCGTTTTGGTGAGAAGACTGTATTTCTCGGGAAATTTATCCTTACAAGCATGGCAGATGCAGCAATGAAGCATCTCCTCCCACTTCCAGTCAATTTCTAGACTGCCACATTCCCGACAGGTCTTTTGCTGACTTTTGTCATCCAACACGCTCAAACCCGGCTCAAATGGCCCCTCTCGATTCCGTCGTAGCGTTTGCAGTAATTGATGACGTTCCCATTCCTTCTGTGTCATATTGGCTGGCTTATTGTCCTTTTCTTCAGATGCGTGGAGTTGCTTATTGAAAGGATCATCTTCCTGCGTCAAGAAACCACCCTTCGTGTCCGTCATTTTGCTGAAGTCGTACTCGACATATCGCGTGAAGTTCCGGGCCGGCTTGATCGAATCGAGAGGGCGATCTGACGAGGATGCATTGGAGCGCGCATCGCGTAAAGTGGCGGGGGCATTGGTGGCTGTCATGGAATTGTAGGAACGTTTGACTCCTTGGGTGGGGGCTGCAGCGGAACTTTTAGCAGAATCGGTTTCGCGTTGTTCTCGTAGAGCCTTGGCTTTCATGCGATTGACCTCCTGTTAAAAAGAAAGTAGAGTAAGTAGGTGCTTCCCGAGTGATTGTTGATGCTCAATGTGAAGACCTACAATCTGCCGCTTTTGCTCTGGAGTGAGGGGACCGCGAGGAAGTTGGCCTGGCCCGCTCGCATTTTGCCGCGGGGGCGTAGAAGGTTGTTCCCCGACATGTTCACGGGTTGCCGGTAGTCGAATAGAGATCTCGGGGAAAATGAAAAGTTGCCTATTGAGAGATCGAGGGTGATGATGAAGCCTGGGACTCTTCTGCCAGAAGTCGCCGCCTCGACATATCACCTCGTGACTCTTTTATCGGAACACCGCCTTCCGATTTCAGAAAATGGGGAAACGAAGCTAGCTTTGGCATGCTTTGTTTGCATGTGCTTGGAGAAGCTGGCTATTTCAATTTCAATGCTCCAATGTAAAGCGACAGAAATATTTCACAGTTTCCGGGTTATAAATCCAAATCTTCAACTCGTTCTTGGCCATACAGCACCTCGCAGACCCCGCCGACGGGGATATCCATGACTGCATCGGTGCCCTCACTCCAGATCTCGCACCAATTGACCTTGCGATTCTGTGGGCCCATTATTTGATATGATGTCGCACCGGGTTTCATCTTGGTAGCGCCACCCGGTCGCCGCCGCGCCTTGCCATCAATGACAGCAACATTTGCAACTTCGTCCACGATGTTTTCGATACTGTTCATGGGAAGGGTGAGATAGCCGGTGTTGTATGAGGCGAGAGCAATGTATATGTAGACAATGGACATCACCAGCCATGATGGAATGGCCAGCGACCACCACCGGTTCGGGTAATAGTAGATGCCGAGCTGGTGAAGGAACGGGGAGGGAAGATAGGACCAAAGGAGATAGATCACTAGAATAGATATCGGGATTAGTGTGAGGATGGTCTGATCATGCGGGGAAAGAGAGACGTACGAAATGCGAGCGAGGATGCCAGATAGAGCACAAATCCATAGTATTCATAGGTTGGAACCTTGGGGCTGGCGCGTGGAACGGTGGTCGCGCGCCGGGCCGACTTGGCCACGGCGGCCTCGGTGTCGTTGGGAGTTTCGACGTCCGAGCTGTCGGGGGTTGTGGGACGTGAGGTAGTCGTGGAGAAGGGAGGCCGTAGGAGGGAAGTCAGCGAGGGCGAAGGAGGTAGCGGTGTCGGTGGGCGGTTGTAGAATGGAGGCGCAAAGGCATTAGGGCCATGGAGGGAGCTGGATGACTGGTGGAAAGGATGGTGCTGTCCAATGCCATCGCCCGAGTCGTCCGATTCTGAATCCGAGAAGGATTGAGGGTCAAGTGAGTAGTGCGACTGGAAATCCGCGTCGTCTTCTACTTCGATCTCATCGTAGCCGGGCGAGGTGACACTCTCGTCTTCGGCATAGCTCTCCTGAGCCTCTTCTGGCGATGCAAGCTCGTCCAATAGCGGAGGAAATGGCTGCTTGGGCTCGAAGGAGTCGGAATAGTCGGTATTTTTTCGCCGTCTCCTCCATCAAGACGAATGAAGCACAACAGCGGGGAGCGACCGTAGGATTGTCGTGAAGTTGTTCGAAGTTGTTTTGGAGTTGGATGGTGTTGATAGTTCAGAATCGCCGCGGCCCTCTTTTCTGCCGCCACCCTCCGTCTTCTATACTTCTCCATTCATCTGGGCAGGACTGGAAATATTTGAAGTGTAACTCGTTTTTATACTCAATTAAAATACAGATCAATTTTTAGCTTGATGAGGCGAGTAGCGGAAACGCAGGGCCGTGTCTGGAAATGTCCGAATTCTCAGGTTACTGTCGTAAATAGCCCCCTCTGGACACAAAGATCAATACCTAGGAGTAGAATCACAACAATAAACTGATATTCATGTGACTTCGGGGGCAGAGATACCAACTATTTTGCGATGTCTTGCCCAGGTGCTTTTGGCATCTCGGCATCGGGATCGGGATCGGGATCGGCATTCTTGGCTTTGCCCACTGCCGACCCCAGACATTCCCCCCCGCAGCTCCGTCTTTGCACTAAATTTCTTACTTGCAAATATATCTCCATCTGGCACTCAACAAGGGAAATATTATCCCCAAGAGCATAATGGAAGCCGGTGAACTGCCTGCATTAGTCTGCCCCTTGTGTTTTGGAACATTTCGAAGAGCTGAGCATTTGCAACGGCATACCCTGACCCGTTAGTAAAATGAACCACCGTCGGCCATGAGCAAGGTTGTTCCTGAGAGACTGACCGATGTGCGTCAGATGGTGATGATAAGCAACACGCTTGTAAATTCTGCGATGCGCGATATAAGAGGAGGCGAGTGCCGAGATTGACATATTCCCCCGACATCTACTGGCTGACAATATTCCAGTGATGCATTGCGCAGACATTGGAAAACATGCGCGACGAGGCTGGCCTCAGGGGACCAGATCCCAAAGCGGGGTATATCTGGCAAGAGAAAGAGAGCATGTGTATTGTGCACCTCCCGGAAGCGAGCTTGTTCTACTGGACAGCCATGCTCGGAATGCCTATCGCAAGGTACAGAGTGCACTTATATTGGTACCGAGAAGTCTGTCAAATTGCCGAAAAAAAGATTTTAATCAGAATTATGAGCCATCGGAATTCTCTGCAAGTGAGAAAATGAATTCTGGAAGTCGTGATCGGCTTCAATACCGACCATTAGATATGTCTCAAAATACCACCACACTGCCACGAAATGTGCAACCTTCACAGGACCGATTTGATTTTCTACTGAACTTTACAGGAGCTAATGGACTAAACGAGGCGTACAACTACAACTCCGCATTGGGAGAGTCGATTTCGGGGGTGTATCTTTTGAAGACGCATTATGTGAAGCTTTCCCATTCAACGAGACTCTGGGTTCAAATCCATTTGATTGCTATCTGGGTGACATCGAAGCAAGTCTCTGGGGAGATTTCGAAGATGTACAACAAGTTTCTGGCAAACCAACGGGCTACACATTATTGAGTGAAAAGGCCAATCAAATATCACAAACTCTGCGTCCTATATCCGACAAGGTGTCACAATGCTTTGAGACGCCTGTTGACTTACTGGAATTCTTTTCGCCAGAGAACATCGAGCGTTTTTTGGATTTGTTTTGGAGTCGCTGGTATCGACATTGTCCTATTATCCACAAAGCATCATTTGATCTAGAAGACTGCTCGATTATTCTTTTAGCAATCATGTCACTTGTCGGTGCATGCATGTCAGCCCGAAAAAGTGATCACTTGGAGGCAAAACGAATCTTGAACTCGACCGAGGAGCTTTTGTTTGCAAATCCTCTCTTTTCAGAAACGGTTGTCTCGGTGCCAGAGAGATCTACCTATCTTGACACAACCCAAAATGTTCAGATATTACAGGCTGCTTGTTTTATGTGCCTTTTACAGAAATGGGAAGGCGACAAAGCAGCAAAATTAAGAATGCAGCGCCATAGATTTACTGCCATTGTTGCTGTAAGATGCCCTTTTTGAAAATTTGAGGTTGCAGAGGATCTGACGAGGATACAGGCAACAAGGGCCATGGGGCTATCGCACTCAATACACCATCGGCCAAGTTTCAGCCCACAACCCACCCTGGAAGAATGGAGAGAATACATGGTTAAAGAGCAACTGATCCGGTGAGTCATTTACCATGTCCTGAGTGATGGGCAACAATTGGCTTACCTGGCGAATAGTACTTTCAATCATGTGTTTCTGTTAGACTCGGCATTTGTTATATTTCACAATTCTGTGCCACGAATGGTGTTGCAAGAAATGACTATTGATCTCACTTGCCCAGAAGAAAATTTCCAAGCATCTAATCCGGAAGAATTTGTGATTGCCGCAAATTTACATCTTATTCGGCCTAGGTCTCCCCTGCTCACTGACTGTGTTCGCAGCCTATGTGCAGAAAACCCAGACCCTGCCATTATTGACCATCTCCATGGTGAAACCGCTTTGAATCTTTTCACAATAGTAACCGGTAACGCTCTATTTCCAAAATTGGAAGAAATCCAACAATGTTCTGATTTATCTACAGCGATTCATGGACTTATCTTCCATCAACTCAGAGCATTCTCCTCTTTCCCTCTCGCAACTACCCCGCTAAAAAAGGCACTTGAACGCTGGGAGGTTGCATGGGTAATACGCAATGGAATCATCTCCGAGCCGAATGATCCGAGAAAAGCCGATCAAGAATGTGCCTTGTTCGAAAGAGCCGGAGAATTCGCCCTTTTGGCTCGCGTTCATGTTGAAAAATCATATCTATCTGCCAAAGAGTGGGATAAGATGATCACGAATCTACCTGGAGAGCCGTTGCAGAAGACTGGCGAGTATCTTGCGACATTTGATCAAACTGGCATGGACCATGTGGCCAACCTAATGTTGGCCGTTCAAAATTTGGATTTTAATTGATAAATAGTATAAAACGCAAACCTTGGAACCCTCTATTATCTACCGTAATAAAAAGCCAAAAAAGTTGAATAGATTCAAAGGTTTACTTTGGAAACTGCTGCCTCCAGTGCCATAATAACACGACGGAGGCCCGCCTTCATCGCCGCATCTTCGCCTTCCATCTCCATCGCGTCGAGGTTGATGCTGGTTTTGACTTCAAATCCGTGGCCCTGGCCCACAGCGCGTTCCAAATGAACGTCGATACCCAATGATTTCATCTTATCAGCAACTAAAGCACTCTGCTCAAAATCAACCAGCTCATCACTATCGCCGTGCAATAAAACAGTCGGAGGAAACTCTGAACTCAATCTGAAAGACACAGGAAACAAACCTCGGAAATACACTGGGATCGCGCTAACACCCACCTCCCTAATCTGACCGGCTAGACCCGGAATTCGTGTTAAAAGATCTGGATAACGAGCAGCCTCGTGAATGGCGCCAATCCAACGGAATCGCTGATCGATGGGAGGCTCCTTTGGAAACGCATAGCCGTCAATAGACTGGCCACTATTCGCAACAGTCCCAATTTCCTCCAACGCCGTCTCTAGATTGCTAACTGGAACTCGGAGAGGAACACCTGAATCGATGTATCTCTTGCTTGCAGGGTCAAGCATTCCGTATATAGAGAGAATAGATAGAGGTCTCGGGCATTCGGGGTGCGCCCCCGTTGCCAATGCGAGGTATCCGCCCGCGCTTGACCCCGCGATGATGATGCGATCGCTGATATTCTGATGGACCCAGCGGACTGCATCAAGGGTATCGGAGAGAATTTCCAGACCAGTTGCTTCAGGCATTAAGCGATAAGAAGCGGTTGCATATGTCCAGCCTCGGGCCTGACAGGCGTTGATCAACCAGTCAGGTGGGAATGTGGTTTTCTCACCGATAACCTGAAGATGATAATCTCTGTTAGAGATATCTTCGTCCAATACCTATTCTGAATGATGTGGGAAGACTTACAAGAAATCCTCCATGGAAATGAATAAGCACAATGCCAGTTTCCCGGAGATTCCGCGGCCTTGATATGTCGATTGTTAGACTCAACCCGCCAACGACTTTGTAGGTGTATGTAGCAGTCTGAGGCTCGGCCATGCTGATAACGTCAAAGGAATTCGAAGTTTGATCAAATCTCAAGTCAAGTGCACCTGAATGCTCTCGAACTTTGCATTTGTGAATCCCAATAATCCCAGTGGCAAGAAGAAGTAGACTTGGTTAAGTGGGGTGTGGGGAAATCCCGCGGCTCCGTTGGGGGGGAATCACCGCAACAGTGTGGATCGAGAAGCCAATCGTAATGCCCGAGGTAGAACCCCAATTCTTGTTTTCTCCCCATAATGAGGAACATGCTGCCCTTTCTTTTTGTGTAATGCCAAAAAGTCGGCAAGAAAATAACGGCAAATATTCAGCGGTATTTAGCCGAAACAGGCGACCGAATATCATATTTAAAGCTGACCTCGGGACCTCGTCCAAGCTAGGTTGACCTCTTCTGAAAATAGAAATTTACCAGCATGGGAATTTTATGGGCCCAGAGAAACATTTTGTCAATAATGGAGTTCATCATTTCGTGCGACACTCTGCCTATTATAACGTCGCTGCTCGCCGGGACGACCCTGGCGTACATTGCTTATATGAGATATTTCCATCCATTGAGCAAATACCCCGGACCCTTGGTCGCATCTTTGACCAATTGTTTCAAAGCCTATTATGTCTACAACTTGAAGTTGCATGAAAAGCTCCTTGAACTTCACATGCAGTATGGTCCAGTCGTACGGGTGGGGCCTAATCATTTACATCTCTGGGAAGGCGAGGCAATTGCACCAATCTACAAAGGAGGCCGCAATATGGGAAAGACGGAATTCTATGACGCCTTTACCGCATTCAATCCCAATCTTTTTGGGGGTACCAATGAGGATGTAATATTGTTCAATTTCTGTACAATAAGTGGGAAACGGCTGACGGTCGGAATATAGATTCACGCCCTTCGTCGGAGACAGCTATCTCATGGATTTTCGCAGGTTTCGATTCAAAAGCTGGAACCTTTGATTGAAGGTCAAATGGAAATATTCATCAGAAAGCTTCGAGCACTTGCAGTCAGCGGCGAGACTTTTGACTTCAAGAACATGATTTCTCTCTATGTATTGGATATCTTGGGCGAAGTGGCCTTTGGCAAGCCTTTCGGTGTACAGGAAAAGGGATATGCAGAAGAATTGCATGCCATTAATGATCATCTTCTACTGGCCGGTGTCATTGGCGAACTGTCTTTCCAAAATTTCTGGAAGGCCCTGTCAAGAATATCTCCAGTGCCATGGATGCGACAATTGATGAAAAGCAGAAATAATCTGAAGACCGTTTGTTCAGATTGCGTTAAGTTCAAGATTCAAAACACGTCTCAACGGCCTGATCTACTAAAGAGCCTCGTGGAGGCGGTCGATCCTCAGAGTGGTGCTCGCTTAACTGAACAAGAGATCAACTCCGAAGCATTTGCCGTTCTGTAAGTCATACCGATCCAGAAATCTTTTCCGTAGAGAGAATATTCGAAATCTAATACTCACAATAAAATAGCGTCGCTGGTTCACATTCAACCTCAGGCACATTGACTCTTCTTCTTTGGAACCTGATCCAAAACCCGGAATTGCTTGCAGCTACGACCAAGGAAATTCGGGATTTACTGGGGCCTCTTGCTGTTGGCCAGATTTCTTATCCTATACAAGGCTTGGAAGCATCTTTAATGTATACAATGGCCTGTGTTAAAGAGAATTTTCGACTAAATCCTGTGTTTACTATGCCGCTGTGGCGTCGTGTCGGTTTCCCGGGTGGTGTCGACATTGGGAAGCATCATATTCCTCAGGGGGTAAGTTTACTTATAAATATCCATAATCTGCCTCAAAGCTCACCAGTCTTCAGGCAAATGTCTGTATTTCGAACTACGTCTTACATCATAACCCCGACATTTGGGGATTGGATCACGGAATATACAAACCTAGCCGCTGGCTTGATGAATCTTACAACAAAGAAAAGGGAAGATACCTAATTCCATTCAGTATTGGACATCGAATGTGCATTGGTCGAAATCTAGCCATGACAAACATACTGAAGACCCTTACTACACTACTTGTTCAGTTTGATTTCAAGCCAGAGGAAACGAAGCAACGAGTTTGCGTCCGCAGCCCCGGAATAGGTGAGATGGAAGGGGAGTTTCTTTGCTCGGTTTCCTTGAAAAAAGGGTTGAAAAGGGCTTCAACAATGGCTTCTCATTGAGCGGAATGGTTCTGGAATCTCAAAACTGTCATATCTAAACCTCAGCTTGCAATAATTTTTGTTGAGGCATAATAAAAGATATTGCTATTGTAAACTGAATATTTCGCCTTTGGAATATAGATCTTACGATTGTGACGATTTATGATATCGTCGGCCCCACCGAAAATCCTACTCCAAACTCAATTTCAAGTTCGGCTCGGCCGACATTGACGATGATCGGATGCACAATCCTAATTTGGTCAATACTAGGAAATAGTGCAATACAGTTACCTGTCTTCTTGTTGGAATTTGCATGATTGTTAGAATCTCAATATACTATAAAAGGAGACATTATCGTTGACATCTGTAATCGGATATTTTCAACATCCCATCACCGGAAAATATGAATAACAATGCAAATAAAGCAGATAGCTGCAGCGCGAGGAATCGACCTACGATTAATGACATGCACCCGCTAGGTAATTTGTTCCATAGACCCACAAATGGCAACGAGCGAAACTAACCGTTGATACAGACCCATTATCCGCAGCGGAAATTTTGACCTCATCGGCAATAATAAAGGCCTCGTCAATGGGGGAACTCAAGTTCAATAGTATCACCTTGCTGGAGCCGCTCAAGCTCGAATATGCCGCGTTTCGTGATTCGGGAGGTTCGAGGCCCCGAAGAAGATCCAAAGCCATTGTGATTTCCCGTGGAAACCAGCAAATATCTGAAGTTACCGTTGATTTGATCTCAGAGACCATCGATGCTTGGGTAGACTTCAAAGACGTGATGCCAATTCTCACTCTGGAGGATTTGGATGTGATCGAAAGAATTTCCAGAGATCATCCACTGGTGATAAAAGCCTGCAAAGGAATTGGGATAACTGATATGTCAAAGGTCTTTTTTGACGGCTGGGCAATCGGAATAGACGAGCGTTGGGGTTTCGAGCGAAGATTACAGCAAGCTCTCCCTTACTATCGCAAATTCCCATCCGATAATCAATATGCCCATCCACTTGACTTCATTGTTGTTGCCGACACTGAGAGAGAGGAAGTTCTAGCTGTTGACATCAAAACGGTGAACGGCGAACGTACGCCGATTTCTCTCGAGGAGCATAACTACCTGCCTGAGCTGATAGGAAAGAGTCTCCATGAGTATGGTATCCTGAAACCAATCAGCATTACTCAGCCCGAGGGTGTCTCTTTTTTTATGCAAGGGCGGGAGATCTCATGGGCAAATTTGAAGCTGCACATTGGATTCAACTACCGCGAGGGTCTAGTTTTATCTGATATACGAATGCGCGATCCTCATAGCAAAGAGAATCGCGAGAGAACTATCTTCAACCGACTTAGTGTGGTAGAAATGTTTGTTCCATACGGCTCGCCGAATTCACCCCATCATAAAAAGCATGCTTTCGACATCGGAGAGTACGGCTCTGGATTCATGACCAACTCTCTGAAATTAGGATGTGATTGCAAAGGTGCTATCCACTACTTGGACGCCGTTCTGAATTCCGGAAACGGGACACCTTTGTTGATTGAAAACGCTGTGTGCATTCACGAAGAAGACAATGGGATCCTTTACAAACATACGGATTTTCGAGATGGGAGTGTTGTCCTCGCACGAGATCGGAAGCTGGTCATATCGCAAATTTTGACTGCGGCCAACTACGAATATGCCTTCTATCATACATTCACGCTGGATGGAACCTACAAGCTGGAAGTGAAATTGACTGGCATGTTGAACACTTATTGTCTTCACCCAAGTGAGGAATCTGCGCCCTATGGCACAGAGGTGGGGCATAGACTTGATGCTCAAAACCACCAGCATATTTTTTCCCTTTCGCATTGACCCGGAAATTGATGGACCCAACAACAGTGTGATCCAAAATGATGCTGTTGCCGCTGATTACTCTTCGGAGAAAAACCCATATGGAAATGGTTTCATAGCGAGCAAGAGAACCTACAAAACTGCTACAGATGGCGCATCCTCCTATTGTCACGAAACATCCCGGACATGGGATATCGTGAACCCAAGTCGAGTCAGCAAAATATCCAAAAAGCCTATTGGGTATAAGATCGTCAACAATCAGTGTCCTTCTCTTCTAGCAAGGCCTGATAGCATAGTTGCAAAACGAGGAGAATTTGCTCGAAAGTCGCTTTGGGTCGTTCCTTACCGTGATGGTGAATTATTCCCTGCTGGTGACTATGTCTGCCAATCAAGTGGTGGGCATCATCCGCAGAACTTGACAATCACTGATTGGGTGGCCCGCGACGAACCCATTGAAAACACAGATATAGTTTGTTACATTCAATTTGGCCTCACCCACTTCCCTCGCATGGAAGATTTCCCCATAATGCCCGCAGAGCCGGTTAGTGTGACTTTGCGCGCATCAAACTTTTTTGAGAAAAATCCTGCTCTCTGGGTGCCTCCGTCAGATTTATCTGGAGATAAATCTTCTGCTTTGGCCAGTGTAAAATCAAAATTCGCAAGCTCTGGACAAGAGACAAGTGTAGTGTTTCCGAGACTTTGAGGGCAAAGATTTTATTATAGAGAGGAGAAAAGAGAGTTGCTCTTGTAATTGGATGTTTGCTGACATGTGATTAGTCTCAATTGGTATTTGTGATCAAGATAATTCTATTTGAGGTACTATCATGTTCGTCCTGTCAGGTGTTCAGTAGGTAGTTATTACTGGTAGTTCTCGATTCATAAATATACCGTTCGCATAAAACGCGAACAGGAAATATTTTGAAGCGGTGGTTACCACTAAGCCCAGGATGCTCATCTAAAATATTGCTTTGTATCCAGTCCAGCCACAATTATAGAGCTTTGCAGCAAATAGACAGACTAGACTGGCTGCATAGCTAGCGATGGTGAATAAAATCAAGCCCCAGTACTCACCATTGCATCTCGTCAAAATTTCTCCAGCAATCGGTATTCCTGTCAAAGTACTAAGAGACGTGTCAATATACATAAGAAAGTGATGATATGAGGTGATCTTAGTATCGAAAGTTCTATCATACCTGATACTGACAATACCATATGCGGTCGCATAATATTGTCCATAAGATTCCAGCTTGCACAGTTGACCGATACAAACTGGCGCCAAACTGACATTACTTCCACTGAAAAATCCAAAAAGCAGAGCAAAGGCTGTCGTGATAGGCTTGTTTGAATTGGCAGGCATCCATATGCAAGCAGTGAAAAGGAGACAGCCAAAAATGGTGATTATGAACGTGTTAAACCGGCCGATGCGGTCGGCACAATAACCCGGTATCCATCGGCCAAATATAGCACCGGCATTGATCAAAGATAAGAGCAGGAAGGAAAATTGGGGTGGCATTCCTTGAGACAAGGCATAGGAGGTCAAATATGTGATTGGAACGAACAGACCCCACTCCATGAAGAACATTCCCATGCTCGCAAGCATAAGACTAACATTTCCAAGAATAGATATATCAGGAACGATTGCGCCAACTGTACTGGCTTTTGGCTTGAATCTTGGTCGAATAAGTAGAATCGCAATCACGAAAGCGACAAGGTTGACGAGTGCGATTACACGAGTGGCCCATGCAAAACTCACTTTAGAAACCACGCTCTGGAAGAGTAGAGGAAAAATAAGACCCCCAAATGACGCGCCAGAAGAGGCTACTCCAGTTGCTAAGCCTCTCCGACGATTGAAATAGTGCGCAACGATGGAAATTGCCGGATTGAAAGTGAGGGACAAACTGACTCCGCCAATGATACCGAAGACCAACATGAAATGCCAATATAGTGTACAAAAGCCCAGGAGAACAAGAAATAGGACTGTTCCAATAGCGCCGCAAACTATCAGAGCTCGTGGTCCTTTTGCATCGAATATAGGTCCGACCTGGATACCACAAAAAAAAGCGAGAAATGAGTAGATACCAAAAATCCAGGCAATTTTGCTGGATGAGAACTGCTTCAGCTCGTTCTCCTCCAAATATGCCTGGAATATGCCTAAACTATTCATCAATCCCATTGTCCCAAAACATGCCATCCAGCTTCCGAGAACAACACTCCAAGCAGCCCATCCCCCTTCGGGATAGGTGGGCTCGCCATCGTTGGTTTGGAACTCGGAACCATTGTGGCAGGGCTCACCAATTGGGCTGCTTGATTGGTTGTCGGTGGGAAATATCTTTCCATCATGGGAGAAAGAGATTATATGCGGCAGAATCTCGCTGTGCCCCAGGCCCTGCGGCGTTTCAACAGACATCTCCTTTATCGTGCAAGGGAAAGATGAAAATGTGAAGAAGCTACTACTTTCTCGAGGGGTACTAACATGGCAAGCGATTTTTGGAGGACACTAACCAAGAAGACCTTGGCATGGAATGGCCGACTAGCCATAAAGATATCGGACAGTCCGACACTGCACAGTGACACCTTAGCCATGCCGCCGGCCGATCTTCTATAATTTCTAAGGCTGACAGAAATTCCCGAGTGACACAGCTGCCGGACATTTAAATTTACGTTGAGGTGTAAGTGCTAATTTCCAGAGCTTTTCAATACTATGGGAGCGCTCTAACCAATAAAATAAATTTATGTATCCGATTCTCAAAATCTCACCGAGGAGATATTGTATACTCCGAGTCTCTCTGTTACTGCCCTAATCATGCCTTGTATCTTCTTTGCAGAAGGAAATTTCTCCCCAAAAGAATCCAATAGCTCCACAGCTAGATCGAGATCGGCGAGTGCTTTGGCATGGTCCATTACCAAGGACAAATTTTCTGCCTGTGCAGAACAAGTGTACATAAGTGACAGTGCAGAATTGAAAACGGCTACGAGGTTGAGCCAATTGTAAGCAAATCGATTTTGGCGATGCATATTAATCGCTTGTCGAATAGCCATTCCCGAGGCATCTGCGAGAATCCGCATTCCAGAGACGTCCAAATTTGGATTTAGCGGCGAGGGGCGATAAAGCATAATGATGTGAAGATAGTAATTTAGATCAAACCAGCTAGTGCAAAGATGAGGCACCTTAGACTGTAGATCGGGGAGAGGAAACGGCATACTTCGGCGCCATTCGACGAGTCGTCTGTGGAGCTCTTGTATAGTCTGATTTTGCGTCTCCTGACTCTGTCGCTCAGCGTGCTTGGGGGAGTGGACCAGAGTTCCAATGTCGCTAGCAATCCTCCGCAAGGCCAGTATGTGGAGAGGAACTGCCATGGTGGAAGGCTCTAGCTTGGTAGACGTTTTGATAGTGTTCGGATTGATGTCTTCATCATCGGCATCCGCAAATGGCTAGAAATAACAGTTAGAAGTTTTATGAATTCAAAACCAAAAAGAATCGACTGCACACCTCAACTGTTATGTCGTCATCTTGAATGGCAAAAGGCCTTCCAAGGGCCAATGAAACAACGCTACGATGATCAGTTTCGAAGCTCACCATTGAATTCGGGTGTCAACGTGAATAGAATCAATTAAAACATACCGATCCATCATATAAAGAGAAAAGAAAATTCGTTTCTGTTGCTCAGCAACATCAACCGCGAGAGATTGATAGACTTCCGATGTGTGGAGTCCCATTCCAGTTGCCATACGAGCAGCAACACCCACCAAAAACCAGGTATCTTCATTGGAATCAATAACGAGAATAATCGAGAGTAGACAACTTTCAAAGCAACTTACTAGGTCCTATTTTATTGAAGAACGAATACGAGACTTGTAGCATCAGAACCTCCAACCCGGCCTAGTTTGAGCCATCAGTAAATTCATGTTTTGACGGAAGTATCATCATTAGACACTCACCAAATCACCACATCCCATGGCTGGCTCAAAATAAGTCATGGCTTTGTTGAAAAACTTTACCGGCTCTGTTTCGTCCATCAACGAAACAGAGCAGTAAGTCGTCGAACCGATCGCTAGGATCATCCATATTCTGAATTGCCATAGTGGAGACTGTGCCAAAGGATCCAAAGGATTGGCGTATACTCTCCATAGGACCTCCTCAAAGTCATTCTTGCGAATAATTGGATAGAGAGTATGGGAATGCGCAAAATAGAATTCCAGGATATAGCTGATATGAGTAGGCTCTATCAAAGTAAGGCCCGTTGTATCCTCATATTCATCAATGGTTGGGTTTGCGAATAGCGAGCTTAGCGGCATGGGACTTGACAGAGAAGGGTTCATTTCGAAAGAAATTGGATTCAAGTTTGGAATAGCGTTCGTATTAAGGTCACAGCTTTGATGTTTATTGCCGTTGATATCTTCATCAAACACAAAGCCGTCTTGATCTGGAGATAGTCGCCGCAGAACGGTCTGGGTGAGTTTGGCTAAAGGGAGTCCGGAAGAGGAACCCAAATAGCGCTCAGCCGCCGCCTCCAAAGAAACTAATCGCAGTTCTTCTGCTAGGTTATCTGGCTTTTGTCCCAGAGCCTTTAGCATGGGTGAGATTGGAAATTCGTCGAAACTTAGTATCGCATCATCTGCACCATGCACCGGTGGGGAGTTGTTTGTTATATTTCCGGAGGGGATGGGAGCCTCAGCCAGAGGAGAACCATTATCTTGGTCCCAAGGATGTGAAGGAAGATCATTATGAGAGGTTTGAGGAGTTAACGACGCTGTGACTTGTTGTTCGAGCTCTTTAACTCGATGTTCCAACCCGCGGACATAGCTATATGTTGTTAGACAGTCTGTATCTTCGTGATTTGGAGAGGAGAGAAATAGCCGAGGCGTTAATTCTTACGCGACTGGGTAAGATGCTACCTGCGTCTCATCATCGAGGAAGCTGCATGCTACTTTCGCATGCTTGCACGCTTGACACTGTGGCAGAGTCTTGTCACAGCGCTTCTTTCTGCGATGGCATCGCTTGCAGGAGCTTTCTGCCCTTGCAGCTAGTTCCAGCATAATTGGCTCGCATAGGATAAAAAGTGATGGGTGCGGGAGAGGTGGGCAAGGCGAACGAGACCGAGACTATCTCAATTATGTGGACTAGAGAAAGTGAATTTGGGGGCGAAGATGCCTTATCTTGCCTTATCTCGCATGGGCTTGGTAAAAATGGAGCAAATCGGAAGGTTGGGATTTTGGGATTTTGAGAGATAACGCGAATATCTCTCCAGTGAGGACAACAGAACTGTTGAGGGTCGATCTTGAGTGATACTCACCTGAATTTTGCAACGAGATAGTTAGAAGTCAGCCAACATTGACCTTGCCATGACAATTGACCTCCCATGAGACTTTTGAAAAGTGCGGGGAACTAAATTGCCAATGAGAATCGGGGCATTGCAGTGCGGGGGGGTGGTCCATGTGGAGATGGCACGTCACGCTGCCCTTTCTACAGCTTGCTGGAAAGCGAAGGGACAGGTAAATAGAGTAGGAAGAATGAGAATTTGATTCTTGACACTTTATTAGTATTTCACTAAGATCGAAACTTTTTTATCCACGTCATAATTCATTTCCAACTAACTTGTATTTTACAGTAAAATGGACGCCTGGGATTCCGATATCATTACTTGCGCTCATAATCCGCACTAAATTATACGCGAAGTGAAGGAAAAAAATCGAGCAATTAAA